TCACAAGGCTCAAGGGATAACGACCACGACACTATTGACGAGCCGACGACTACAATGGCCCCCCTTCCTCCCTACACTCCCAAAGTCATAGTCCCACTCATTCAACATCAAAAACATTCGGGAAGGCGTGCCTTTGTTTGTACGATTTCCAGTTCAATGATTAGGCCAACATATCAGCAGCAGATACAGGCCGCTCATCGCCAATGCCCACACACTCAGAGGAGCAATCGATACAGGAATGAAAGTCGAAAAGGATATGAAGCTCCCCTTGAGCCTCTTCATTAAAGCGGCTCAGGGTTCGTGAATAAATTCGGAAATTCGGAAATTCGCAACTGAATTCAACGCCAACTTTCGCATAAATTTCGGTATTAGGATGCTTTATCTGCTGAAAACAATTTTCACTGCCTAAGCCGGAAAAATAAGCTGAGCGCCGGCCCGATTGAATGGACCTGTCAATCAAAGCGGTTGCCCAACATCATTATCTCCAGCCCAGTGATGAGTCCTCTTTTTCGGAGGCCGGACCAAAAAGTCCCGGCTTAACCTTTTTCGTCAAGGCTCGCCACTCAATCGGTCAGAAGGTCACCTGGACAACAGATTCGATTATCCTGGCCGGAGAGCAGGTGCTTAAGGATACAGTGTCTCTCTGTGGGTGCTTTCGGTGCCTTTTAATGACAATCTCCCTGTTGGTTAACCGCAAATCCAGAGAGAATATTAACTGTTTAAATGCAGTTTTGAAATATATACCCAAGAATATATATTTTAAGAAAGATAAACTTAGTTTAACATTAATTGTTTAATAGAGAAAACGCTTCAAAAAGAAGATAAGAAATTAAGTGCAATTGTCAGAAATTTTTTCCCAGTGAAACAGCCATCCCCCGAGGGTTTTTTGAATACAGTGAGGGGTTGCCTTTTGCTGTTGCATTCCCAATGAAATCAAATTGCCTTTGCGGGGAGTGTCTCTCGTCTGCATCGTCGGTGGCCAAGTCAAAAAGTCATTGGCCGGGACAACCATCCAGCTATTACTGCACTGTAAGAGGAGCATGAATAAGTCACTGTCTGCAGGGGGAAGAAGGGTGCCATTTCCATTTGACAGTGCCGCCGCTGGCATTGTGTTTGCGCAGAGCAACTTTCGACATTGAGTTATAAGTGCTTCTGCTTGGCTGTTGGCTTAATCAAGCATGAAATAGTTCAATCGTTGCGGTATAGATAGATGTATGGGAAGTATGATTAGGTTATTGACTTGCCTCGCCCCCAAAGGGCTCTAGCGAAAGGGCACTGCTCTAAAAATCACTTAAGTTACAGCTTAAACACCTAAAGACAGGGCGTGAGTTTTAATTTGGGGATTACGCGACGAAATCGTAATTATTTCACTTTAATTAATGAAACAGCAGCACAGCTGCAGGCAAAACACAAACACAGATGGGGCGTTGGGCGGAAAAGCGCGATTTGCATATAGACACAACAAGGAGGGGAGTGCAGTGAAATCTCGAGAAGGACTCTAAATCGTTTTCGCCCATGAATACTATTGGCCTGCTTAAATCGCTATCACCGTCGTCCTTCGCCCTAATTAACGTTATGCAAACTGGCTCTGACACCGGTATTTGCGGCAAGGATAACACCAAAGAAAATTCCAAAGCCATAACATCTGGCATCCAATTAGGCTAATCCAGTTAGCTCCTATGACACAAATTTTGAAGCAATTATCGTGACAAGTGAACTGGAGCTACACACATGCCTAACCAGACACAACAAGGGCAACAACAACAACAACAACTGATTGATGCTGTCACCTGTGAGCAGGAGGTGAAAAGAGGCTGAAAACCGGGATGGCTACATCCTCATCCTGGGCCTGCGGTGTCTGCTCATAAATCACAAACGAATCAGCGAATGCTTCAAATGACTTCATTAAAAAGCGTAACGCACGCATCCAGGGAAGCGAAGGAAACTAGGGAGAGTGCCAAGTGCACTTAGAAAAATGTCACCAAAATGGACTATGGTTTTTGATTTCGTTGGAGAGTTATGGAGTCCTTTGGTAAAGAAATCTTTTGGTTAAAAAAGAGATAAAACATATCAAAAGAGAGACAGTAAAAATTATTACTAAGAAAAAATATATATGAAAGAATACAGCAAAATCAAGTTTATATTGTTCAAATTATCCCCAGTGTAATAAAAAAAAAATAATAGGAGCTTCGTCAGCAGGCGCTCAGTCAAGTGTATATAAGGATAAAGGAAGAATGGGGGGCCTGGGAGATATCCCAAACAAGGGAACTGGGGAGGACGACAAGATAGACCCACTCTTGCTATCCATTATCGAAAGCCGCCTGCGGGCTCATCCCCTGAGCCTCCGCTCCGATTCGCTATTAGCAAGGACTCGAATTCGATGAAATCCCGTCTCCTTTGTTTCCTAAAAACACCAGCAGATGGGAAACTTTCCCAAGATCTCCGCCCCCAAGGCCCTGAACTTTTCCCGTGACATTTTCCACAGTTGTAAGCAACTGTCGTCGGCGGCAACAATCCGTTTTTCACAACAGCACCGTGAGTGGTAGTGACTTCCCGGGAAATCTATTCAAATTATAGCTAAGCAAGCCCTAATTGGAGCCAAAATGTTTGAGTAGTGTCCGAGAAACAATCAATGGCGACATCGACGGCGATGAGGAGGCCAAATTGAAAGCCAAGGCAATCGGAACTAAAAAACAAACTAAGCCCGACACGAATCTGGCAATTGTGGAAATCCTTTTTGTTTTAAAGAAATCTCTCCTTTAGCCAACTAACTACTTGGAACTTTAACTGGAAAAGTTTTCTGGGTTTTGCCAGTTTTTGTTTTGTTTCTTTTCTCTTTTCCTTTGTTTTCCTTTATTATTCACCTCATGTTCCACTTCCTTGCGTGCCTGCGTCCTTTGTCCCCGCCACATCCTGCCACTGATTTGCCGCTATTGTGTCATTGTCCAAAATTTTATTATGACCCACAAAAGTAAACGGAAAGCGGAAAACAAAAAAATATATATATATATCTAAGGAGGGACTCAAACTCGACTGTGTGTTTCGAGCCTTATTGGCGCATAAAAGAATTTCCTTACGCCACCTAATGGGGGGCTAATGATAATCGGCTTGGTCAACGACCTGTTAGCCCCGCGAATTAAGCGCTTTTAAGAGGCAACTCCGGCTTCTGTCCGACCGTTACGATGCGATACGATCCAAATGGAAATCAATAAACCAAAACTACCATGTGGAAAGCAATTTGAAAGTTTTAAAATTGACAAATTTCGTTGCGGCAAAGTTGTAACCATGGGTTGTTCCCCAAACTTTTGATAACAACTTTTAATTGATTGGCAATAAATACGGCCAGCTCAACTTCTAGCCGAAACAGAATTGGGGCACCGTAATCGCACACAAAAAAAGAAGCAGCCAGGACGACACACGTATTTTCCTAGGAATTATCCTAATACGCCACTTGATCAAATAGACTTTTTGGCCAAGAATATATTCACGAAATTGCACTGATTTGTATGCGCTTCTTTTTTAATTCAATGTTTTCAAAGTCGGGCCCCAAAATTAAATACGCGCCGCCATTAAGTATGCAAACATTTCACGTGCTGCTCCTCCAACGGGAATGGGAACGGTAAGGGGAACTGGGAACAAGGGCCACGCCGCCGTACTCACTTATTCCGTATGCTCCGCAGGATATGGCGCGTACTGCCAGTGCTGAATACGATTTGCATTCGCTGTTGGGTTTATTAAAAATTATATAATTTTATTTTTAGCTAGGCAAACGGAAACAGGCCGAGAGATAGACGCACGGACACACGCGAATAGCACACACATAGACATAGGACGGGCGGCCCCTACTTCTACGCCGAGCACATTTTTTTGTACATTTGTTGTTCCTGCTGGTGCCGTTAGGACTTTTCTGGTTAGCTTATCCTTCCAGCGAGCACGACCAAAAGCTACGAATGTTGAAACGCGACTGAGGCTTCAGCAGTGGTAGCAGCCGTCGCTCGGCCCCCAAAGTGAGTGAGAGAGAGAGCGAGTGGCCCCAAAATGAACTGGCAAAAAGAAGAGGCAAACAGGGTGGGGGGCAGATAAGGGACCGAGAAGGCACGAGGACGCGCGAATTCGTGTAGAAAGCGAAGCGGGAAAGGCAGCTGACACATATTTGGCTTTGTTTTGGTTTCGGCCCCACTTAGCCGGCTTGTCCCCCGCTCGCTCGCTCTGGCGCCTGCGCGAAGGGAGTACGAGTACTCTCTGGGACTCTCGCTATCTTACTCACTCCATTTGCCACAAACTAGGCATAAATATGGGCCAAAATCGTAGTTTAAACTGCTGGCCAGTGCTTTCGTGACTCTGATTATTGGAACCTCTCCCGCATTTTCCCCATATTCGCGGCCGTACGTTCATTCTATCGATTTCCTTTTGACCAATATTCCGGTGAACACTTTGTTTACGAATAGGACATCAATGAATAAGTGAGTGAGTGGGTGAATGAATGCACGCGGCACGAGAGTAAATGGCACACGAACACACAGCCTACATCCTTCGCTAGCGGTGTCTCGCTCCCCCATTTAGGTTGAATGACACTGGCCTAAGCTCCTGCGCCCGCTCCCTCTGCCGCTGGGAGCCATTATTGCATTTCCGTTTTGCGGCACATGTTTCGCACGTTGTCCTCAATTCCTAACGGGATGTGCCTTTCTCTGTGTGTGTGTTTGTCTGCATGTTAGCACGTCATCGTTTTCTAATGCACATGCAGGCGAGAAAGAGATGGAGGAAGCGCCCGCAGGGCTCATAACTGTAAATGAGCAGAATTAACGGCCCTAGCGTCAGTTTCCTTTCTTCTTCTTTTGTCTCACTTTCCACCACTTTTGTCTGTCAGTGTAACGTTATTTTTCAATTACCGCCCTAAAAGTATGCAATTAGCGACAAGGTAATTGTTCGGTTGCGATACGTATCGATATTTGTTGTATTTTAAAAATCGCACACAATCACACATACACACATAGCAGAAATAGGTAAACACACAAAAACAAAGCGCCGGCAAAAAGTGTAAATAATAAAAATTAAAAGCACCTGTCAACAAAACGTTGACCACACCGAATTATTCAGTTTGGGCGCTACGCTTTGTAGAAATTCACTATTAAAGCGCGGCTCGGCGAACTTTGTTCCGCAGTCAACATCTGGGATTCACAGCAGCCGCACCAACAACAACGACGAAGCAAGAAGAGTCGCAACCAGGAACGGGAAGAAGAGGAAAATCAGCGTTTCGGAATGAGCAGCGATGCGGAGGAGAAAAGAGCCAAGGTAACACTATAGAGATAGAGATACATCGATCTTAAAAATAACATTGATGAAATATAAATTAAATTTTATGATCAAATTTTAATATTACTTAAATTAAAAATTTTTAAATAAAGCATAAACATATATTAAAAGTTTTTAAAAGATTTTTATAGCGAAGAAAAAGACCACAAAAACCTCTGAAATATTTGCTGTTGGTGGAAAAATAAAATAAATTTATTTAACTATATAAAATAGCATGTATAAAAAATATCTTTTAATAGATATGTAACTCACCTAATGTAAAAAACGGGTTGCTATAGATAAGTAATGATTGATTCTTGACAAGTAACGACAACCGAAATGAACACTCAATCATTACACCCCGTTTAGTACGAAAAATACGCGGTGGGAATCATAAGTCTATCTTTGAGATACAAGCTTAGTTGCCCGGCTATCTAATGCTTGTATTAGTATTAATTTAACACACTTCATTTATTACGAGAATAACTAGAATAATTTGAACACCCTTAGAAGTAAATAATATTACTTTAAGTTAACTTAAAGTACGTTACATTTTTTGATTTTTAAACCCCTTGTAATCCCAAATTAAAAATCCATATTTTAAATATAATAATTAGAAAAAAAGAAAGAGCAATTCCCAAGATCTATTCCAAATCTTATTTAAAGTAGAGTGCAAAAATATATATTGAGATACAATTTTAGTCGGGCATTGGTGATCTAATTCACAAGTACACAGTCACATTCACACCTCATTCATAGAGTAAAAAATACGGTCAGTACCGCTTGAGTTTTATCTTTGTGATAAAAGTTCTAATTAATTGATCCATTGAGTTAGTCAAGTTCAGAATTATGTTTATTCCAAGCGGAAGTTAGGTGTATAGGCATTTCCATCGGTTACCTGTTAATGAATACGCCACCCTTAACCCCTTTCGTCGCTCCAGCCGGCAATAGTTATCCGATTTGTGAGACCCGCCGCCGGCATTAGATAAGATACGCGGTAGAGTGAGTGGGTCGACGAGTGGAATTTGAGACCGGCGCAATGTGTGTGGCGGCTCTTTGGGAGAACAGGTGCTGCCGGGCGATCAGTCGAGCGTTGGACGCCATCGCGATCGGTTGTGCCTGCAGATCCCGACCAGAAACCGGAGTAACCGTAGAGCGTAAACATGAGTGGCAGCGAGAAGAACGTGCGGCGGCGCGTCATCACTCCCACCAGCGATCCCACTAACGCGGATCCGTTGCTGCGGCCCCGCGGATCTCAGCAGTATGAGGTAAGCGCCCAGTTCGGATCCTTGATAAGATTGCCCCTCACCTGGGTCCTAATCTGGCGCGATCGGAGCAACTCAACATGCACATTACCCATGGCCGAGTTCCTCAAGTATCGATTATTTTTCTTCGTTATTTTTTTTTGGCGGCCTGAGTGCAGCACAGCGCTTATCTTGGGAGCGAGTCGTTAATTAACGCACCGCGGATACCCTTGAGATAGCCAGCCGTTCCCATTTCGCCCTAGTTGCACGCCCTGTTTATCAAACCGTCTGGGCTTAGTTTGGGGGAGCACAAGGAGCCCAACTATCCCAATTCGACTTTCGGTGGCAACAGTCTGCGACTTGCCAATGCCAGTTTGACCAGAGATAAGATAACCGCTGATGGATTAAATCCAACACTCTGCTCGATACACACAGTCGATTCCAATTGAGAAACTGACTCATGTCTAGTGGCAGGCGTGCTGGGTCTATCCAGTTCTGGCTAAAACCCATTATGCCCGAATGGAATCTGAAATTTAGGGGGTTTTATGCATGTTCTAGATAGCGATACCTTGGGTATCTATACATCTGTTTTTTACTGATACTTCAGATACATTTTTTTCTGGTATTCTATATTTATTTTATATGTTTAAAGAAGGCTTTTTATAAAACTGATAAACTCAAAATAAAAATTAAACTGAAGAAAGAAATTATAAGCTTTCCTATTTCCTTATATGTTATATTTAAGATTTTTTATTACAATTATTATAACTATAAAAAGTTCTCATTACAATCCATCTCCCTTCTAGGCCCAACCCAATGGCTGTGAGCGCGCCTTCGTCCAGGGTAGCAAGATTAAGTGGTTTTGGGCTCCCGCCTTCTTCGGCTTCTGGCTTCTGCTGTACGTGGCCATCTCTATTCCCGCCTGCAATCGCCTGCCCCGCCCACTGACCATCCAGGATGAGGCCAAGCACCCGGACCAATTTATTGCAGAACGGGCTGAAAACAATCTGCACGCGCTGGTGGACATCGGACCGCGAGTGGTGGGCAGCAGGCAGAATGAGATGGCAGCCCTGAAGTTACTGTCCCAAAAAATGCAAAAGATTCGATCAGGAACAGCCAACGATATCGAGGTGGATGTGCAAGTGGCTTCTGGTAGTTATGTGCACTGGTCCATGGTCAACATGTACCAGAGCATTCAGAATATTGTTGTCAAGATCAGCCCCAAGGGAACCAATAGCACAACTTACCTGCTGGTGAACAGTCACTACGATTCCGTGCCGGCGGGACCAGGTGCTGGCGATGATGGCTCCATGGTGGCCACTATGATGGAGGTTCTGCGTGTGCTGGCCAAGTCGGACAAGCCGCTGAAGAACCCTGTCGTGTTCCTGTTCAATGGAGCTGAGGAGAATCCCCTGCAGGCCTCCCATGCCTTCATTACCCAGCACAAGTGGGCCAAGTATTGCAAGTAAGACTTCTAATTCCTCCTGGATTGAACCTCTTGTAAGCCATGTTTTTTATTTCCTCTCCAGAGCTCTTATCAACCTGGATTCCTGCGGCAATGGCGGTCGGGAGATCCTGTTCCAATCGGGTCCCAATCATCCCTGGCTTATGAAGAACTACCGACGCGCCATCAAGCATCCGTATGCCTCTACCATGGGCGAGGAGCTCTTCCAGAATAATTTCATTCCCTCGGACACTGACTTCCGCATCTTCCGAGATCACGGATCCGTGCCCGGCTTGGATATGGCCTACACTTATAATGGCTACGTTTATCACACGCGTCACGACAAAGCAGACATCTTCCCCAGGGGAAGTCTTCAGCACACTGGCGACAATCTGCTGGCCCTGGTTCGGGAGATCGCCAACTCACCCGAGCTGGAAGACTCTTCGGTAAGATGGAACCCTAACCCTGAGCGAACCTAACTAAACTAATCTGGTGATTAATGCTTTAGAAATATGCCGAGGGTCACACTATCTACTTCGATGTCATGGGCTGGTTCCTGGTCTTCTACACCGAAACTGAGGGCGTTATCCTAAACGTGATCGTGGCTCTGGCATCCCTGGGCATCTGTGGCTTTGCCTTCAAGCTGATGTCTGTCAGCTCGGGAATTAAGCTGGATAAGATCCTCAAGCGAGTCCTGCACACTTTCTTTGTGCACCTTCTATCCGTGGTCGTTGGAGCTGTATTGCCCGTCCTCCTGGGTCTGTTTATGGATGCGGTTCACCTGCCGTTGTCCTGGTTTACGAACTCCTGGCTCATCTTGGGCCTGTACTTTACCACCTTCTTCTTTGGCTTGGCCATAGTGCCGGCCATGTACTTCCACTGGACCAAGCATGTGAGTATTGTGGGATTTTATTGTAAGATCATTTCTTTAATTCGTTTGCTTTCACAGGATAAGCTGCCCATTGGTCAGCGCGTGCAGATTCTGCTGCACTGCCATTGCCTGCTTTTGGCCCTTCTTACCTTGATCTTTACCATCTGCGGAGTACGCTCTGTCTTCGTTCTGATGCTTAGTTGCCTGTTCTATACAATGGGCTTGATTATCAATATTGCCACCAAGCTGCACAGCAAAGGTGGGTTATTTATTAATATAATTTTTTTTTTATTTTTTATTCCTACATTTATTGTTTATATTTTGCAGATGTGGCCTGGGTCATTCCGCATATTGTCTGCATTGTGCCGCCTTTCGTGTTCTTTGCCTACTTCTCGCATGGATTCTTTACCACCTTTATTCCCATGTTTGGACGCTTTGGCGAGAATCTTAATCCGGATCTGGCAGTGGCTGTGTTCAGTGTTGCTGTGGGCTTCCTCACCTGCGGCTTTATTGTGCCCGTTCTGCAGCTGTTTAACAAATCAAAGACCATTATCACTGCTCTGCTGGGTGTGACTTTATTGTGCTTTATTATTGCCATGACACCCATAGGATTCCCCTATCGCCCGGCCACCAATGTCCAGCGATTTGCTGTGCTGGTAGGGTTGACTTTATCAATTTATCAAAAACGCACCTGACATATTTTCCTCATTTCTTATTAGCACACGAAACGCACCTTCCACGATGCCGAAAACCATATCCGCCGCCAGGAATCGGGCTACTTCATCATGCCCCAGGACCGACGCACTTATACTGTCAAGAGTAAGTTAATCAGACTGTTTAAGATGAGTATTCAGTAGCTATTAATGCAATTTGTATATATTTTTTAGATGCAGTAATTAACATGACGCTGGCCCAACGAATTGGCGCTGACTGCGAAAAGGAAATCAATTGTGGTTTGCCGCTTTACAATCAGCGTTGGCACAAGACCAGGTGAGTTAAGCCTTAGCTTTACATGCCTTCAGTTCATAAACTTCTTCTTGTCACCCCAACAGAAAGAACAGTCTCTGGATACCCGCCTCAGAGCCAGTTCTTGGCGAAGATTTACCCACCGTAATTGTGCTATCAAAGAAACCTTTGACAGCCACCAAAATCCGCTACGAGATGCAGTTGAGCGGTCCCAATCACATGGCCTTGTTTATTAAGCCCTTAAATGGAGCCAGCGTGAAGGATTGGTCATTCCACAAAGTAAGATTTTAAAGATCAATTTAAAAGCTCTTTCTTATATTTCCTTATATTTCTAGGCTCCCCTACGTCTCAACTTTGAGACACCATACTTTGTGTACTTCTCGTGGGGCGTCAATGGAGATCCCCTTAAATTCTGGCTAGAGCTGGAGGTAAATTTATGCAAGCTAACCCGCTAAGGAGTCCCTTCTAATCGATCTACTACTATTTTAACAGAAACCCAATGGAAATTGGAATTCATCTACTGTGGAGCTGGGTCTAGGTGGCCATTGGACCCATCACAAGGACATGTTGACGCCAGACTTTAAAAAGTTCCTGGACAGTTTCCCCGCATATGTGGACGCCACGCCCTGGCCGGCTTCCTTTGAGAGCAGGATCTACTAGGTTAAGAAAAATGTCTAGAATTTGTATGTGTTTAAGTAAAGTAAAAGCTGAAATGTTGAGCCATTTTAAGTGGAATTTTTCGCGGTGAACTTTGTTTTTGAGATATGATGAGGTTTCAATGATTGATTTGCGTCACTTATGTGTACTCAACTCTATTGGCCCCCATTCATTTATCAGTAATGAATTATAATTAATCTCAAAAGCTATGCGGGGAATATCAAAGTGCTTTGACTGCCAACTTAAAAGTAATTCTTTCATATTCTACACATAATAAAAAAGAAATTTTTGGCAATTAAAAGATTTATACAGTTAACATTTATAAATCTTAAAACTTATAGAAATTCGCTTCTTTGGTAATCACGTCAACCTAGTACGGCTTTGAGTTACAGGTTAGCCTTAAAAAATATTTATTTTATTCTACTTGATTAAAAAAATACAAAAAATGGAAGCCTTTTTGGGTATTAAGGGAAAAGACTTTGTCATGCTGGCATCGGCGACCATGAATGCTCATCAGGGAATGCTGCAGCAACAGTGTAATTATATAACTTTATTTTTTAAATATAAAAAAATTATTTCCACGTTAACTAATCAGGTATATTGCATCCACTGAACAAACACTCTATGTTGACGGTCCTGGGAGTGGCGGACGGCAACTCGCTTAAATTCAAGAAAAAAATCCTCCTAAACCTGGAAATGTTCGAGATATACAATGGCCATAGGTTGTCCCTCCAGGCAGCGGTGCACTTCTCCTACAAAAATCTTTTGAGGTTTAAGCGGCGTCAGCCCAATAATCAGATAACGATACTGATTGGCGGATTTGACCCCATTCGTGGTCCAGAGTTGCATTGCATTGATTATAATGGCACGGTGGCTGCCATACCATACGGCGTACGTGGCTCGCATCCCGAATTCTGTCATGTTCTCCTCCAGGACCTCTACAAGGCGAATCTTGATCAGGAATCTGCCTATAATGCCCTCCGAAGCTGTGTTGATAAGATCAAGAAAAAATATGTTATTAATTCGTTTAATTTCGAGGTGTTTGTAATCAAAAAAGAAGGCACCGAAAGAGTCACTGAGGTGCATTTTCCAAATGTGACGAAAGTCGCAGAAATAATTAATATTTCAATCTTTATAGACTTTTTATATGTTGAAACCTTTCATTTTTGCCAAGGGACAAAAATGGTTTAAGTTTGAATTATTAAATATTAAACTTTACTTAAAGTAAAATGTCGTTTTCAGTGTGACATTTTACATTTGGTTTCTTGACAAAAAAGTCATAATTCTTCTAAGCACTGTGTACGATTACTTTCGGTTCATCTATAGTAGATTTCTGGATTATCGGATTTCGTATTAATTGGAATTTTATGGCTGCGACGGAGCTTTATCAGCAGGGGGCTTATAATTTATAGTGCAGCAGCGATGGGCATCGCAAAAAAGTACAAGTACAAAAAACCACACGGAGAATTCCCCAACAGAGAGTGAAATGGCAGCGGGTGCCCATTCACCTGATGTGTGGTGCAGACTGATTCAACGGGAGATTGGCAGATTTTAATAACTTAATATGTGCAAATTCTTGAGGAACGCTTATCAGCATGAGTGGTCAAACAATGCCGATGGTTATCTCTGAAGTGGATTCACTTAAATGAACGTGGGAGCCAGCTTTATTTACTTGCCAAAAGATCTTTGTTGTGGTAAATCATATATACCTTTGTTTATATAGGACATCCTGTTGTGATGCCAGACAACCTAATTTAGGATTGAACAACATGGAAATAGAAATTTATAAAGTGCCAGACATTTTTTCCAATCTCAACTGAAAATCTAAAAGCAGATACGAATTATGGTTTAAATTTTGGGGTTTTCCGCACTTACTCTTTGATTCATATATTTTTAACTGATAAGGGTTCATTGCCTGAAATGCAAATGTTATATACTTACATACTTATCAGGATCAGGAAATCCCCTCTTAAGTATATCTTCTCCTAAGATTAAAGGAGTCAAAGTTCTCATTTGTAAGCTCTATCGATTCTTATCAGGCTTACACGTTTTCGATTTATGTTCCCCCGATAAGGTAGCAGAATTTTCCGTATTACTGGGTTACTTTATCTTGACTCCTAATTAATCCTTAATTATAAAGATTTTTTAGATTTTGGACCCCACCACAAGATCTGGGGCCACAATCGAGTTAACTGCTCCATTATAAAGAGCTATAAAGAGCAAACAGCTTCTGGTATCGCGCCTATCGCTGGATGTAATCGTTTTATGCGCCGAACACCCATTGATTATAATCATAATATTTAATTATTATCGCTGGCGTTGCGCCGATAAGCGATCCCCGACGTCGAACCTGGCCCTACTTAATTCTGGGGAACAGCCCCGAGGCGTCTTAGTACCCCAACGGTTGGGCTCTGGTGCGGTTGTATATATATCAGTTCGATTCGGGACCGAGTCGCGTGCGATCTGAAGGTTAGTGCGTTACCATAATTCACAACCACCAAACTGATTAAGATCAGTGAGTGTCCGTGTCCTCATGGTGATATAATCCGCGATTGTAGTTCATTTCTTTAAAATATAAGACATGCTCTTGGGAAAGTGAAAGGAACGTCTGGCGATAAGTTCGGTCCTCGGAAGCAGAATATTTTGGCTTAAAAGAATCGTAGGAAAGTGAATATCTCATGATCTTACTTCAAGTATCCTCGGAGATTAGGAAATTTATATCGGCCATAAAATGGGAACTGGCCCTGTTATCGATTTCTGTTTTTAGACCATTTTCTTGTTGCCTATGAAATTCCTTCGGTCATAATGCCCAAGTGCTTTTTAGGGTGCTAATTGCTTTACGACTTTTCACAGTCTCCCCCACGAAGTTGATTTCACCTCCGTGAACGAACTTCATAAATACTATTTGCAATCAATTTACTACACCAATTCGTTGGAAAGGTTTCGATCGCCTTCAAAAAACAAATTTATTATATGAGATATTTTTAGATTAGTACTAATCGGAGATCGTAAGTGGGTACAATTTGCGAAGATCGTAAATCGGTTTATCGTTGTTTTTAGGAAAGTGCCTAAAAGCATGCAACATTTTTTGCAATCAAGAAAATAGGATTTCGTTTACACATATTTTACCAGATTTCCTAATTACTTCAGATGACTTTTTCCACCGTGGACATCACAGCCGATAAGGATGGCGGCAAGTCCAGGGACAAGAAGTGGCCCTGGTTCGGAGCTCCTCTCTATGCAGCCGCTGCCTTTGCCCTCTTTTATGCCGCCGTTCTGCCCAGCTTCCACAGCTACCCAAAGATGCTTTACGTGAGCGAGGAGGCCCAGCATCCGGACGAGTTTATTGGTGAGCGGGCAATGCGGCAGCTGGCCGAGTACTCGGCGATTGGAAACAAGATGAGCGGCTCCATTAACAACGAAGTCCATGTGGTCGACTTCCTGCTGCGAGAAATTCAAAAGATCATTGACGAAGCCCGCACGGATCTGTACGACATTGAGGTGGACAAGCAGTACGCTTCTGGCGGCTTCTATCTCTGGGATATGACCATTGCCTACAGGAACCTCTCCAATGTGGTAGTGAAAATCTCCCAGAAGAGTTCCACCAACGATAATTATTTGCTGGTTAATTCCCACTACGACTCGGAAGTGGGAACACCTGCTGCCGGCGATGATGGCGTCATGGTGGTAGTCATGCTGGAAACCCTCCGAGTGATCTCACGTTCGGAGAAACCCCTTATCCACCCGGTGGTCTTCCTGTTCAATGGTGCAGAAGAGGCATGCATGCTGGGCTCCCATGGATTTATTACCGAACACAAATGGGCCAAGAATTGCAAGTACGCTGAGAACGTTTCTAAGGAATAGTTTGCTCTTTAACTCACCCATTGCTCGTATCTCCCTTTAGAGCCTTGGTCAATCTGGACTCCACTGGAGCTGGCGGACGCGAAGTTCTCTTTCAGACAGGACCCAACCATCCTTGGCTGGCCAAGTACTACCATCAGAACGTGCCCCATCCCTACGCCCAAACCCTGGCCGAAGAGCTATTCCAAAACAACTTTATTCCATCGGACACAGACTTCCGCGTGTTCCGCGACTATGGCGGTGTTCCCGGCCTAGATATGGCTAGTGTAATGAATGGATATGTGTACCACACGAAGTTTGATAATTTCCGGAACGTGGAGCGTGGCACATACCAGTCGACGGGAGAGAACGTACTGCCCCTGGTCTGGGCCCTGGCCAATGCTCCTGAATTGGATGACACTGCCGCACACGAAAAGGGTCACACCGTCTACTTCGACTTTATGGGCTGGTTCATGCTGACCTATACAGAATCTGTGAGCATAGCCATCAATTGGGTGGTTTCTGTGGCCGCCTTCGTCTGCATTGGCACCTCGGTGTGGATCATGACCCTTGACAATAGCTCGGATGCCCCAAAGGCAGTCATCATGCGATTCGGCATCATCTTTCTGGTGCAGGCGGGTACCTTCTTCGTGGCCTGCGGCTTGACGATTCTGGTGGCTGTCTTCATGCAGGGCGTGGGACTAGCCGAGTCCTGGTTCTATGGCAAGTGGATGGCCTTTGGCCTGTACTTCTGCACCCTGTACTTTGCCTTCGGACTGCTGCCCTCGATTTACATTGGACTTACTAAGAGAAAGACGAACATGAAGTTGGATCAGACCATTATGTGCTTCATGCATGCCCACTGCATCCTGCTGGCACTTCTCTGCATCATCCTAACCAGCATGGGAATCCGCTCCAGCTACTTTTTCATGGTGGCCATCTTTTTCTACGCCATTTCGGTGTTGGTACAGATCGTCCTTAAGCTGACGCTGAAAAGTAGGTTTTTGGAAATAGTTATTTGGGAAAGAGTTATCTAATGTCTATATCCTTCCAGAGAGCTACTTTGTGACGGTTCACTTGCTGTGTCAGATCCTGCCTTTCTGCTTTTACACATATATCTGCTATGCCACACTCGTGACTTTTGTGCCCATGCAGGGTCGCGATGGTCCCGACAGTAGTCCTGATATTATGGTCTCTGTATTTGTCATTGCCACAGGAATCAACTATGCTGGCTTTGTCGTGCGTTAACTTGACCTAAGCTTCTCCTTACATTATAATCTAACATTTTTTATTGCAGATTCCCATCATGCACAAGTTCCGCAAACCCAAGATCATATTCTCCTCCTTCGGCGTGCTTACGATTATATTCATTATAATGGCTGCCACTTCGGCAGGTTTTCCGTTTGTAAAGGAAGTGGCACCTCAGAGGTATTACGTATTGGTAAGTAACTGCTAGAGAAGATTGATAAGGATTCTGGCTTAAGCAACCATTGCCTTTTCCAGCACACCCTGCGAACCTTCCACAATTTGGATGGTACCACCAAGCAAGATTCTGGTTTCTATATTCAGCCAGTGGATACCCGTATTCACGAACTGGATGACACCACTTTCAAGAATGTGGAGCCTGCCAGTTGGACAGCAGCTACCTGTGCCGCCGAACCCTTCTGCGGTCTGCCGCTTTACAGTGGTCGTTGGGTAGACTGGAAGTAAGTTTTAAATTGAAGTCAAACTGGACTCACTACTAACCACCTTATTTTTTATATATTTTCGACAGAGACTCTGCTCTTTGGATCTATAGCTCTCCACCTGTACTTCCAATAGATATAGAGCTCACCCAGGTATCCAAAGAATCCCTGCCAAATAACAAAGTGCGCTTCGAGTACAGCCTAAAGTCTAGTGATCGAGTTATGATGTACATAGCTCCCTTCGATAATGTCAGGGTCACGGACTGGTCCTTTGACCGGACTCCCCTGGATGAAGGACACACTCCACCCTATCTGATCTATTACATTTACTCACTAATGGAGGAGCCATTCAACTTTTGGGTGGAGCTTGAACACGAGGAAAGCAATACCAATGGACCGTACTTCAAGCTGGTGGTCAGCGAGCACTTTGAATACCATCCAGAGCACTACACCGAGGACTACAAGGAGTTCCTTGCCACTTTCCCCGATTGGACCTACACCACCGACTGGTTCTCGGCCCTGGAGAGCTGGGTAGTCTAGGCAACAACGACGATGAGAGTATAGACTCCATAATTATCTTAATAAATAATTTATAATGTATTTTAATAAAATTACATAGTAGTAACTACAGAAGACTAATCTTAAATACAAGTACAAGTTAAGACGTTTGTTCGTTCGATTAGGGCTATTGGTAAGAATGAATTATTACCAATATTAACAGTAGTTGAGGTGGTGTCATGGCAACAATGCGGTTGAGTTGAGCTTTTAGGATGACTTATTTACAGTTGCCAACTGTTGTAGGAACCAAGCCAGGCGCTGACGTGCGCCCAGGGCGGAAATGTGGCCAGGAACTCCCTGAAGTCTTCCGTTATGAACATGTCGTCATGTATCCGGTGGCCCATCAGGGCTATCTTGAAAGTGGCTCCTGACCAGTCGGGATTTTCATGCTAAAAAAAAGAAGAATATATTGTAAGTTTTCCTCTAATCAAATATTTATATATTTTATTACCTCAAATTCAAGCGAGAACTGCAGGGGCTTGGGATCTAAGGCGTATGACCAGTAGACATAGTAAGGTGGCTTTACATTCTGATCCAGTGGATCCTTAATAAAGGACCAGTCTACCAACTTGGTGTCGTTTAAGGGCAGGATGAATATGCTTGTATGATCAGGCCCTGAGATCTCCAGGTCAAATCTTATATTGGTCTCCGATTTACTTGTCTTATCCAAAATGGTCAAGGTCGGAACATATCCCTTACTGGGCTCTGGTCCAGGCACAAAGTAGCTGTTGTCACTGGAAATTAATTTAAAGAAGAAATATAAGACCTTAGCTAAGGTAAAATGGCGTAAGATTACTTACACTGCATTCAGCCAACGGGAGCTGTAAATGGGGAAACCACACATGAGCTCCGAGTCACAGTCCATGCGTTCCGCCTTGGTATAGTTGGTGTTCTCGAAGAGAATATCATCCACAGTGTGCGGACGTCGATCCACTGGCATTACAAAGTAACCAGAATCCGCGTGGCTAATCGTGCTTGCTGCATCGCCATTGTGGAAAGTACGGGCCGTGTGCTGAAGAAGAAAGTTTTCATTGAAATCTTTTATTTAAATTTAAATTATGTTAGACTTACCACAGCAAAGAATCGTTGGGCTGCGGTCTTCTCGGCATAAGGAAAGGCAATTGGTGTGGCGGCAAATATAATAAATACTATCGTACAGATTCCAAACATTGAGATAATCGTTTTTGACTTGCGGAACAGACAGAACAAAGGCACCAGGAAAGGTGCAAACAGTAGAACCATCAGGGCGGTAAAGAATCCCATCAGTATCTCAGGATTTGTGTTGCACTCGCGTCCTTGCATGGGCACAAAGACCACGTAGAAGGCATAGCAGCAGTAGGTGTAAAACATGAAGGGCAGCAGCTGGCAGATGCAGTGCGGAATGAGCCAAAGGAAATCTTAAAAATAGAAACGTTAACCATCTTTAGGTTCTAAGTTTAAGCTCCCATCTATACTCACTTGTCTTGTGAGCCTTTGTGACCATGTTGATCAGCACGGAGAGGGTGTAGAAGCCAATGCATATCATTATAATAAAGGCTGAGCGAATCCTGTAGCTGACCATTACGGCGGTGACAACGGTTAAGATCAGGCAGTGCGAGTGCATCAGCAGCTGGATGCCATAGCCCAGAGGTAAGCCATGCTGGATAATGAAAAAACACAAATTTAGATCAAGTTATTTGAAATATCATCCCTTACTCACCTCCTTGGTGCGACTGAAGTATATGGCCGGCACTATGCCCATGCCGAATATCATGGGACAGAAGTATAGGCCAAAGAGCATCCAATTTTGCGAAAACCACGACATTGGCAGGTTCACCGCATCCAGGAACAAGGCTATGGATATGACTAGAACAATGCCCAGACCCACTCCAGCCACCTGTAGAGCCGTCAGAATGCCGAACTTGGCCCAAATGCGACGCCTAAACATGCCCGTACTGCTGGACATGATCCATATATAACCCACAATGGTGATGCAGACCAGGACACACACAGATATATTTATAATATCGCCCGTACCCTCCGGGTAATAGACGAAGAACCAGCCCAACATGTCAAAGAATATCATATGGCCCTCGGCGTGTTTCTAAATGTGGGAAATGTAAGTAAAAATTATTCATTATATTGGCAAACTTCAGGCTGGACCCACCGATGGATTCTCGAGTTCTTCAGCATTCGCCAAAGCCTTGACCAGAGCCAAGATATTTTCGCCAGTTAATTGGTATGTGCGGCGGGGGATGAGATTAAAGCGATCGTATTTGGTATGGTACACATAACCATTCAAGGTCTGCGCCATATCGAGACCTGAGAAACACAATGTATTAGAGATTAGGTGTTTTGGCACTTCATTTTATATTACCTGGTATATTGCCAAAGTCGCGGAACACGCGATAATCGGTTTCTGAGGGAACGAATCCATTCTGGAACAATTCCTCTCCGATAGTCGAGGCAAATGGATGAACTATGTTCTTGCCGTAATACTAAAATGATAAGAAGGGGATAAAGTATTAAGTTTTAACAGAAATAAGCTTAGTCATACCTTCATCAGCCAGGGATGATCAGGTCCGGATTGAAACAGGATTTCACGTCCTCCGCTGCCAGCAGAGTCCAAGTTGATCACAGCTCTGGGGGGAAATTTATATCCCATTTTAATTTAAAATTCTTTTTAAAGGATTATTCACCACTTACTTCACATTTGGCGCCCAGGGATGTTGGGTGATAAAGGCATGGCTGCCCTGTAGAGGATTCTCCTCGGCGCCGTTGAAGAGGAAGATTATTGAGTAGGTAAGCGGCGTCTCGAACTCGGTAATTACCCGGAGCACTTCCAGCATGATCACACACATCATGCCCGCGTCGCCAGCTCCCGAGCTGCCTGGCACTGAATCAAAGTGGCTGTTGATCAAGAGGGCGGCCTCACTGGTGGCGTTCTTCGGGGACACCTTCACCACCACATTCTGGACACTCTGATAGACATTGACCATGGACCACAGAAGATAGTTGCCAGATGCAATCTGCACATCCTTCTCTATATCATAGAGATCGGTTCGTGCTCTCCCCTCTATGTCATTGATTTCACTGAGCAAAAACTGCACGGCCACCTGTTCATTGGCCGCACTGCCCACGACTTTCGGTCCGATCTTGGAGAGCCTCAACAGCGTGTTCTCTGCTCGCTCCCCGATAAACTGGCCTGGCTTTTGGCGCTCATCCTCTACGGTTTTCAGCTTTGGCATGCGGTGGAAGCTGGGTATCACCACAATGTAGAAGAGCAGGAACCAGAAGGACACGAACAGCGGGGCCCAGTACCAGCCGATCTTGCTCCGATTGTAGATGATCTTCATGTTCTCGTACTTCGATTTCATTTTGGCCTGCAAGTGAGTAAGGGAATCAGTTCACCGGAAAATAAAGCAGGGTGTCACTGCCCCCCACACTAATTGAGTTGAAATGCTCGAGTTCCGATTGTGACGCATTCGGCTGATAAAGCCAGGGGATAATATGCTCCCAAATAAATATACATATTCATATGTCGCGTCACCAGCTAATCGGGCGATAGAGGAAGGGTTAAGTTAAGTTAATGCAGGCACTCGAGCGTCGAGCATCGATTAAATAATTAGGTGCCGTGATAAGGGGGTGCGATCAACTTAAGACTGTCAGTGCACATTCAATGACTATTGATAGCCCTGAAAACAAACCTCGAAAGATGAATGAAGCGGAGGTCCCACTCCCACTATCGGAATCCCAAAAGTGATTATTCAAAGCATCTGCCGCAGATAACACTTATCACCCCAGGCGTCAAGTGGGCACAGGAAATGAAGCAAGTAGGCTGAGGTACTTGAAGGTTCCGCTAAGAAGAGACTACACCAAAACGTGTCAAATACAAATAATATTGGCACGGGACTAGCTCCCGCTGGCTCTGTATAAACAAAATAGTATTTGAAAAATGTATAAAAAATCTACATAAAAACAGAGGAAAGACCGGATAACATCTGTTGGCCATTCGCAGCCTCAAATAAAAGTTTGCCGTTTAAATGGAAAGTATCGACAGACGCAAATTTTGGCCAACGACATTGAAATAATGCAGCTCTAAAAAAATAAACAATGAGAGCATATTTATATTTCGACATTTGAGAAATCTAACAAATTGAACGAATAAAACCGAAGCAAATCAGCATTGAACGAGACACATTTTGTAATTTTTTGAGCGGTATTTCATTCTTATTTATAGCCAACTGGGGTATTATACATATTATCGTTTAATGTTCACACATGTGATGCGGCTCTGAGTTTTCGTATGGGAAAATATTTAATAACAAATGTGTGTTTGTTTGCTTAAAGCGAATAGAAAATACACTTTCGTTAGTTTGTTGATTTCCAATTGTTTCCGGGGGTATACTAACTTGTTTAAAAAATAATACAAATAAAACAATTATAAATAAAAAAAAAAAGTAGAACTTCATTAATTTAACTCTGGCCGAAAATATAAATTAATTAATAGTATGGAAATTATTAGGAACCTTCATATAAAGTTAGTTCAAACCTAATTATATTATTTATCTTTATTGTTGAATATCTTTTGATAAATGAGATCACAGTATTTCCTACTTATTCTAAAGATACTTTATTTAATAATCACTTTTGAGTGCTCTCTGTTTTTATGAGGCCCCAAAAACTGTTTGAATATTGAAGATTTCGAGATGAATGGCCACTAAAATGGGAACTAATGGCAAGTGTCCTAGAAACCACTCAGAACAGCGGTTGAGGGGAAAAGAAAAGTACTGGCTACTGAGGCAATTAAGCGACATGCTTTATATTTCTTTTTATTTTTGTTTTTTTCGTTTTCCGCGACTGCATGCAAATGCCATTTGGATTGCAGTGCTGCGACGACCCATTTTCCACTGACTTCTAGGTGACCCATGCCATCGGCTAGAAGACAAGCGTGAAGGTAACTTCACGGCGGGGAAAAAGCATTGGGATGAGCTCCCATTCAAAGCGCTTATCGATTGAACTAATCACTTGCCACAAAAAAAAACAAAAAAAAAATAAAGAAACAAACAGAGAGAACGCTCTGTGTGGGAACCACGCCCACTTAATAACGAAAAAACAAGAGGACTGAAAAATTGGGGGGAAAGACAGACAGAACTATTTAAAGACAATTTGAATAAGAGGGGAAATGGAAATGGTAGGAAAAGGCAGGGGGAAAATCCAAAACAAAACTTCAGACTGCAGAGGCGTCAGCAATCAACTGTGACAACAAAAGGGCAAGCAAAGCCGGCAACAAACAAATGGAAAATCTTTGAATCTGGCAGATACCTGTTACCTGTGTCTATAGAAACCTGAATTGTGGTAAGGAAAACTTTTCCCAAGTTCTGACGAATAACTTTTTTTTAGTTATTAAAGAAAGATTATAGCTTAAAATTTTAAACGAAACAGTAAATACTAGTTTATACTATTCCTCACATCCACTAGATATTTTATCTATCTATCTTTGATTTTATCGAATAAAAAGCCACTAGTCTTATATACCCTTCTCCTCCTTTATATCCAGGGTATAAAAACAACCTCAACTTGCGACAAGAACCGCATTTGTTTGGACTAAGACTAAAGTCAGACAAACGCAACGGCAAAGAAGTTGGAACGAAAACAATCGCCGGCACAGATACAGATACAGATGCAGATGCGGCTACAAATGCAGATACAGATGCAGAAGGCATTCGAATGTAAACACACTGAAACACACATTACACACAACACAACGCATAGTGTAGAATGCGACACGCTGCAAGGGCTTGAGTCAATAACCTGCCAAAGGAAAGGAAGTTGCGGCTGCACTTTGCGGTTGTTTGTTGAAAGAAGAAAGCTGAAGAGCTGAAGAGCCAAAGAGAAGCCTGGCAACTGTTCTTCTGCGCTCTCTGCTGGCTCACCTCCGGCCTGCAGAAAGGAGTCAGTCAGTTGTTCGCTCTCTGTCTCACGGCAAGAGGAACGATCACCGGCACAAATAATTGGCACTCGCGGGATTATTGGCACATCTAGACCGAAAATAAACTGGTGGGCGAGCGACGACAGAGTCGGATTGGAAACGCGGTCACTCGGCTGCGGCGAGGATCAGCTGATGGGAAGTGGAGGAGCGAGAACAACTGTCCCCGTCAACGGTTGCCGATCGTATGCGGCTGCTGCGCTGCTCGCTTGCCGACAGAGGGTCCCCCACTCTCCGTCTCTCTCTGACAGTGGGGAGACTGGGTTGGGGTCAGTACAATCGAAGAGAGAGCTCTCTTTCACTCACTTGTCGTTCTTTTCCTGCGCTCATTCCTGATGACTCTCCCTCAGTTACAGTTACAGATACAGTAAATCTCCGAAATGGGGGGAAATGGGGAAATCGAATCCTCCTCTTGGTAAGCTTCCTTTTCCGTAATGTAACCACGCGCCGGACGGAGGCCTACTAAATCGCCGGACAATGGCACTCGCAATTTTATACGTGCCTCCTCTGCTTGGTGGATTTGTGTGCGGATTTCGGTGCTCCAGACACACAAGAGCCGGGGGCTTATCACACCCAAGTATCGAGTTATCAGAGGCGGACACCGCAGCCTAATCACGTAATTTGACAGGTAGCACAGGCCAGGAGTACCAACGCACCATCGCCTGTTTCATCCGTATTGGCACAGCGATTACATCCATAATTGCCCGTAATCGAGATTAAGTGCCGGCGATTAGTGGGCATTATGTTAGAAGAGGGGAGAGTTCACTGTGATTTCACGGATTCCTCGAACGCCATTCGAGTTGCGAAAAGCAGTGACACTGCTCGGGAGGAGAGATAACGATAAACGGCCAGACAATGCCACTTGAGACACTTGAGATTCCTTAGTCAACAGAAAATCGGTGGCTCCAGCTACCAAATTTGTTTATATTTATTCCGCGGTAATGTAATCTAAACATTTGGGAATTACACAAAGGCAACCAATCTTTTCCCGATAACAAGAATTGGGCATTCCAGCTGACCGTATCGAGCTTCAGTCCCTCGAATTTAACGCATAATAATTTTGCAGAAATCAGCCGATAATTAGGTATTTGAATTTTTCCCATTGCCATGGAAATTCCTTTATAAATAATCTTAAAAGCAACCTTAATGAGTTATGATTCATAAGATAAAGTTAAAGGCTTCTTTATACATAGTAGTACCTCTTCAACCCCCAAGTTTGTTTACTATTTTTATACCTTGGATAAGATTTGCCATATTGTAATCTAAACAATTCGTAATTACACAAAACAAACAAGTTCTTATTTCTAACTGATTAGGGGCCTAACAACAACGACTGGAATTTCGATCAGCTTTATTGAACCATATTGTACCTTTGACAGAAGACAGCGGTTAATTAGGTAATTACAAGCACTAAATGGTATCGCAAAACTCGAAAAGGGGAACCTTTTTACATTGGAAAGTTTTAACAAGGGAATTTTTCATCTAATTCTTAGTTTTAAAAGGTGAAACTTACTTCTTAAAAAGATGATGAGGTAATAATTATCAAAATTTCTTCTCAGAATTCCTATATACATATCTAGCACTGATAGATAGGCACATAGGTAGCTCCTCCACATTCCGTGCAGTCGAGCGAGAAAACGGTTGACATAATTTGATAGCCATCCGCCAGTTTCCCAGCTATCGAATCCACTCAGGCGGAACAACCTACAACGGCAATTCAATAGACAGGTGAATCTGAAATACATGCGAAAGCAATTCAAATACGTAAACAATCTGTTAATCAAGCAAAATCAGCGGAACCCCAAACCCAGGCGAGGATTCGCAAATACACAGAAAATGAAATGCTGATATTATAATTTAGTTAATATTTGTATAAAATAATAAACACAAAAAAAAAACTTAAGTAAACTTCTGTACTAACTCTAGAGTTAATATATATATATATGTATATATAATAAAAGCAAAGAAAATGAAAATGCTGATATTATATTTAAGCAAATATTTGTATACAAAAAAAAACTAAAGTAAACATCACTACTATCAGAAGTATCTGTAGAGTTAATATATATATAATAAAGGCAAAGAAATCTTTGAAATTTTGTAAAAACCAATTAAACCCTTAAAGGTTGTTATATTTTTACCATATGGAATATATATATATTTTTTTCAAATATTATTAAGTACCAATTCGTAAAAATCGTTTTCACCTGTTTGAACATTTTAGGTTTGGCAAATAAACTTTAGTTTATATATACCAATTTCGTTCTGTGTACTTTAAAGGGAGACAAACGATGCTGCACACAAAGGTGGAATGACACATAAGCGAAAATGGAATGAAATCAGCGACAATCGTACTACAGCCCGGGCACAAATTAATTAGTAAACTCTGTAAAAAAAAAGGCGCAACAAGTGGGCCTGGAGCTTGGATTGGCTTGGGGTCGTCTCTGGGTGCGTCCGGGAGCTCTAGTCTAATGCCAGTCAGTCGATGGTAATGCTAGGAAAGAGACACATCTCGGGCAGTACGGAACCGCAAAATTCCAATATCGGAATCTTTATTATGGAGATCGTATAAGTGACGACAGCAGATTTTATGACTCCAAATTTCTCTAATTCGCAAGTGCCGCCGTCGAGAGTATCTTAAATAGTTGCTGGCAATATCTGTTCCCTTTACGATACGATAAAACTGGACATTTCCTTTGTCATAAAGATAAAACTCGGTTAGCTATTACCCTGTGGGCCCCTCCTTCTGTGGCAGCTCATTTAGTGCGAAAACAAGAAATCTAATAAAATCCCCGCCCGATTTCGGCCCGAAGGTTGTCATAACACTCGTTTATCGAGCAGCTGCTGCCCCCCCGATATCGAAGAGTCACGGCGCCGATTCCTCCGATAATTTTCCCCGCCGAATTCCCACAAAGCTCTATATATCTCAGGGCGACCAGAGCGAATCGAGCCTCAATTGGTGGAGGTCCACGGTTGTGGACGAACTTTAGGACAAAAAGCCCGGGCCGGTCCGGCAGTGATCCTAAAGTCGGTGATCCTTAAAGTGCAATTGGTGTTCCGAAAGCATAAATATCCTGTGATAATCGCGTACCAGTTTTTAAGAAATCCTGCCAAAATGAGTGTACGTATTAAGGATAAAGCAAGCATAACAAAGAAAATCAATTAAAAGTTGTAAGATAAATAATAATAATAATAAAAAAGGATATATTAAGCTGAGTAATCATATGAAAAATGTGTAAAGACTGTGCTAAAATGTAGACCCTAAAGTGAAACGAATGTGAATATTTCTCACAAGAAATCTGTTCATTGGGGGAGCCCCCTTTACCATTCTCCTGCTGCAAATATATAAAGAACATTATCAAAGAGTGAAAAATGTCCAACTCCTTGAAGTTTATTTTGAGTCCAATCTAATCGAAAACAATTTCAAAAATGTGCCTGCAATCAAGGAATTTGAATAAACGATTAAGAGATTATTTGGATTTGTCCAGAGTGATGAAGTGCTTATAATTTTATGAAAATGCAGATCTTAACCGCGGGTCAATGTACAATGCAGTATCATGAAAACTCAGCAAAATTACATAGTTAAATATGTATAGGCCCCCTCCATATAGATAGGAAACCGATTAAGGAACCTACTCGGAATTACATACTTCAAAGGAGCCGTCGCTTGGCGAAAATTGCGAATTTCTTAGCTTGTCCGAGCGATAAAAGGTGCTGTTACTTATTTATTAGGGCGTTATCGTTTTATGGCCGCAACTTCAGCGGGTTTATGGTCCTCAATAATCTCACGTTGACCACACGCCCGTGAATCATGAAACGAACACGCGACGAAGCACGATTTCAATGTCGGCCATTGTTTAGACAAAAAGGAAAAATCAAAAAGAAATTAAGAAACCGTGCCTGGGAACACGCTTATCGATTAGCACATACGCAGGAATTGTAAAACAATAAATTTCCCGGGGGGAGGACCAAGTTTTTGACCAATTCTGATAGGTAAGATACATACATATATGCCGGCTCAGTAACGAGATTCAGTTCACTTGGCGTGGAAGTTGTGGACTTTATGGATTGTTCCAGGCCACCCAAAGCAACTTCCCCGAAAACGTGAGATATCAGCTTTTGGGCAGGTAATTTGTATTCGTCCAGACATTCAGCTGCCAGTCTGAGATTAGATATTGATTGACCATAAAGCCGGACTATAATTATACTTGACTAATCCGTGTTGTTCTCAAGACCAATTCCGCTAAAAATTGTATTATGGAACAATTACTAGCGTTCTATAGCTAAGATTACTCTTCCTTAAATTAATAATCTTAATTTCTTTAGTTCAACTCCAAATACCACATCGATGTGGACTTCGAAGTGCCCAAGAAGCTGCAATGGTACTATGCGCCCGCCTTCTTTGGCTTTTGGCTGGTGCTCTTCCTCTCGCTGGTCAACACTCAGATGAATCACATGCCCCAGCCACTGCTACGCAGCGATGAGGCCAGCCATCCGAATTCCTTCATCGCCCAGCGAGCCGAGGATACACTTATTGAGCTAACACGGATTGGCCCTCGAGTGGTGGGCAGCTTGGCCAATGAGGAGACGACCGTGGAGTTTCTGCGCTCTGAGGTGGCCAAGGTTGAGGCTGAGATGAGCGAGCGCCTAGAGATTGAGGTGGATGTCCAGCAAGCCAGCGGTGCCTACATGCACTGGGAGATGGTCAACATGTATCAGGGCATCCAGAATGTGGTGGTTAAGCTGTCCGAGCGGAATACCACCAACGAGAACTACCTGCTGATCAACAGCCACTACGACTCGGTGCCAGGGAGTCCAGGAGCCGGTGACGATGGCTCCATGGTGGTCACAATGCTAGAGGTGATGCGAGTGATAGCGAAGTCGGATGAGCCACTGGCCCATCCTATTGTCTTTCTGTTTAACGGAGCCGAGGAGAATCCCCTGCAGGCCTCGCACGCCTTCATCACCCAACACAAGTGGGCCAAGAACTGCAAGTGAGTAGCATTTGGAAATGTTTTAAAAGGATAATCCATCTTTTAATGATTTCCAACATCACAGAGCTCTCATCAACCTGGATTCGGCTGGCAGTGGCGGTAGGGAGATTTTGTTCCAATCGGGACCCAACCACCCCTGGCTGATGAACTACTACCGTAATGTGCCACATCCCTTTGCCAATACCCTGGGTGAGGAACTCTTTCAAGCTGGCTACATTCCCTCCGACACGGATTTCCGCATCTTTCGGGACTTTGGCGGAGTTCCCGGTCTGGACATGGCCTACATCTTTAATGGCTATGTTTATCACACAAAGTATGACAGGATCAATGCCTTTCCGCGTGCCTCTTTCCAGCACACAGGCGACAATGTCCTCTCCTTGGCCAGGTCGCTGGCCAATGCCCCGGAGGTGGATGACACAGCCGTAAGATTGTTGGAAGTTGAGACAAAGATAGGATTTATGTAAAAAAATGTACCCTTTCAGGCTCACTCCGAGGGACACAACGTCTTCTATGACTTCCTGGGCTGGTTCATGATATTCTACACTCAAACGACCAGCATCATTGTAAACGTGGTGGTGGCCCTTATCGCTCTTTTGGGTATAGGCATTTCCATATACTTCATGTGCCTGCGATCGGGCTGCAGCTGGAAGGGAGTCCTGCTCCGCTTTTCCATAACCATAGCCATCCAGTTCACATCCCTGATCCTGGCCGTGGGTTTGGCACTCTTGGTTGCTGTTTTCATGGACGGTGTGAACCGTTCGATGTCCTGGTTTACCTCTTCGTGGACGATCTTTGGCCTGTATCTGGCGCCCATTCTCTTTGGAATGAGCATTCTGCCGGCTCTGTATCTGGAGAAGACGAAGCGGGATCCGTTGGGTCTGGGCTTTCGCATTCAACTGTTCATGCATTCGCATTGTATTTGTCTGATTCTGATCATGCTTACCCTTACGGGACTGAGTATACGATCGGCCTATCTGATAATGCTTTGTGTGGTGTTCGATATCGTGGCTTTGATTGTCAACCTGGTGACCAAGTGGCATCGCAAGGGTGAGTGTATATTGGTAAAATAATCTCCTTCTTGCGGGGATATTTATTTAATTTTTTTACAGCCTATTTGTTTGCCATTGCTGTGACCGTTTGCCAAATCCTGCCGTTTGTTTACTTCACATATTTGTGCACAACGGCCCTGGCTACCTTAATGCCGATGCAGGGACGCTCAGGATCTTCAATGAATCCAGATTTGGTCATAGCCGTTTTGGTCTGGGTGTTCTCGCTTATGTTTGCCGGCTTTATTGTAAGTCTAGCCTGAAAATTTCATTTATTTCAGGTGCTCTCACTTGGGTTTAAAAGTATGCCCAAAAGCAAGCAAAATTTGGTACAAACAAATTTTTAGAGCATACTTTTAGTCAACTTTCAATTCCATAATATATTTTTGCAGCCTCATAAATGAATTATAAATCATTTCAATAATGTATATTGCAGTCTCCACTTATCATGTTTTTCCGCAAGACCAGAACGATAGTCCTTTGCTTCCTGGGCATAACCATTCTCTTCATTATTATTGCCGTCACAAATGCGGGATTCCCCTACAAGGAGAAGACCTCGCCACAGCGTTACTCATTGATTGTAAGTTTTACTTTATGAAAAAAAATACATCAATTTAAATAATTAAATTCATTTCAACACAGCATGCCCATCGTCGGCTGCACAATGCCGATGGAAGCACTCGTATCGATGAGTCTGGCCTCTACGTTTATCCCCAGGACAGACGTTTTGAAATTGCAAGAGGTAAGCCTAAGATTTAGCTACGACTTCTTTAGATACTTGTACTAACTTCTTATCCTTAAAGATGAAATCGATGCCATTGGAGTTACCCACCCAGTGAGTGACTTTTGCCATGAGGAAATGTTCTGCGGCATGCCGCTCTACAATCATCGCTGGAACAAGGCCCGGGAATACAGCCTGTGGATCGAGACATCGGAGGCCCCAGAGATACCCACCAATTATCCCATCCTGGTGCTACAGGATGTCAGCGAACTAGAGAGCGTCACGGAGCGGCGCTTTACATTTAATTTAACAGGACCCTCTCACATGGGAATCTTTATCAATGTGAAGAATGATGCCAGGATACTGAACTGGTCCTTCAATGACACTCTGGTGCGCGAACAGGCGGAGCCGCCTTTTATGGTGTACTTCTCTTACGGACTGGACGACAGTCCTCTGGAGTTCACCATCGATGTTGAGGTTAGTAAATACCACAACTATAACGAGTAATTATTCCAATAATTGGACACCATTTATTGTTTGCAGAAGACGACCTCAACATTTGATACGCCCACCCTGGAGATTGGTATCGGCGGTCACTGGGTGACCCAGGACATCACTGCCATCGAGAAGCTAAGCAGCTACATAAGCCGATTTCCCTCGTATGCCTACATTCAGGGTTGGGTGGGCACCTACGAGACCTGGTACTTTTAGGTCTCCGCCGCAAATGATATTGATTCTGATTTACTAATTGTAGTCATTAGGCGTTAACGATTAACTGTATAGAATCTGAAAAAATTACGTATTTTATTAAACTACATTACGAATACTATAATTATAATCGAAATGTATGACTTTTTTCTTGACCCGCATGATGCAATCAATTAAACATACAAAACATGACGGATATATAAACAAAAAGGCGAGTTCCATAGGGAATATCCCTTGCGAGCTTATTATCCGGCAGCTAAATGCAAACTCATATTCATTGATAGTCCAGAAACTGCTGAAACCACGGCTCTCAGCTCTTAGCTATCTGTGAATAAGTAAACCGAGTGGAAAACCCTTGGCCAGATAAAATATCTGCTAGCCACAGTCCAAAATGCTGAGGCTGAGGGAGATTGCAACTCAATTAAAGTGCTTACCCCCGAAAGAAATTTGGCAGACCTTACGATCCCGGTTCGATTATTGCCAAAACAAGGTTAGTGGACCTGGTCTGCCATAAGGAAGAAAAGAAAATAACTTTGGAAAGTCATAGTACACTCCTGCCCACAATTATACGACACCCCGAAAACTTTAGTTTCGACCCTCGTAGGAAAGTCGGGAAGCATATTACAACAAAATCAAGTATGCAGAATTAAAGCTTATTGAATTCTGCTTAAAATATGATTTTTTAATCTCTGATTGGACCTCCCGTTTTTAAATAGCGTTAAAAAAAGCAGAAAAGCCCGATTTTAGCCATGCCTGAAACTGTATCATAGCTATACGACATGTTTCAATTATAACGGCTAGAGGTAATTAATTGGTTTCAAATATTTTTTTTTATGTTTCTGGTAATAATTTAATGAATTGGAAATAAAATGCCAAGTGGATGTTTGTTATCCGACGAAAAAAAGGGAAAAATAAGGGCATACAACGATGCTGGCTTTAATGTAAGCGAAATATCACAGAAAATTGATCAAACACGTTGTTTTATCCCATTTTTTTTTTAAATTCGGATGAATATGGAGTGAAGCAAAGCTCTGGAAGGATCCCAAGTTGCCCGACCGCCATGAACGTCGCATAATACTTAGATTTAGCTATTCGATTGCTTGGAGCGCCACACTTGCCGCTAGTTGCAGTAAGCCTGTGTCACGAATGACTGTCTGGCGGACACTGAAATCATCGTAGTACATAGTCAGAGTAGTCTTAAAGACGGCTCCGTTCTTAAAAATGAGCTACAAAACAGAATAACTTAAATTTTTAGGAAAAAATCTTGGAGACACTGGGGGTCAGTATGACATTTTAACTTATTTTTGATTATACCGTTTTTTTTCAATATTTTTTAGCTAGATAATTTTTTCTGATGAAAAAAATGTTTATCTTGACGGCCCAGATCGGGTTTGACACTATTGGACAGATTTACATGAGGTTATACTTATTTCTTCAAAACGCTGTTTCGGGGGAGCCTTTCATGCGTCTTAAGCGCTTGATCTGTGCTTCCCAGATCCAAGATGAATAGTGGAGAATACAAAAAAGTATTTCATGATCGTCTTCTAACATTTTTGGAACAACATATGGAAAAATATTATGTTTTTATGCAGCATTCACCAAGTTAGAGAGACCCAGCGCTTCATAAATAATCACAATATAAGAGTTTTGGGTTGGCCACCGTGCTCCCCTGGCTTGAATTTAATTTAAAACATTTGGTTTACTTAAGTCAGGCGAGCTTAGGCCAATAACAAGAAATTTTAGTGTCAAGACCCTAAAAAGTGATATTTTGGGTCAAAAGTTTCCATTATACCAATATTTACCTAAAAAGTTTGTTAATTCAATGCCTAAGAGACTTTTTGAGGTTGCCAAGGCTTAAAGTGGCTCTATTAATCATTAAACAATTTTTTATATACCATTATAATTATAAAATATTAAGTAAATCGAAAAAATTGACATGTGTCGTATAGCTATGATACAGTTTCAGGCATGGCAAAAATCGGGCTTTTCTTAGTTTTTTAACGCTACTTAAAAACGGGAGGTCCAATCAAAGATAAAAAAATTATATTTTAAGCAGAATTCAATAAGCTTTAATTCTGCATACTTGATTTTGTTGTAATATGCTTCCCGACTTTTCTACGAGGGTCGAAACTAAAGTTTTCGGGGTGTCGTATAATTGTGGGCAGGAGTGTATATCTATACCCTTGCAGTTTGTAAATGGTTTAGGGGGGCGAGTTTTAAACGGAACATCACTAAACCAGAGATGCATTATTTTCAATTCGGAAAAGATTTTATGATTTATAGGAAAAACCTCATTCGCTGCGTTGCAAACTTATGACTAAAAGTACAATACTCTACCCAGCAAGGGTATAAAAACTGTTCTGAGAAAGTGGAATGTACTTTCTGCATCTGAATTTCCATTATCATTTTATGGACATTACGTCTATAACAATCCTTTACAATGCAATTGTACACAGATAAATATATTTACCGATTATGCATATATCGTAATGAAAAAAGAAAAAAATTTCGAATCAACAGTTATTGGGTTGCGGTGGGTCTAGTTTATCTCCAGGCGCATGAAGTCAATAACTTTAACAATCGAGATAGCAGTTGATGGTAAATCCATTATTTCACACCTAAGCATTTGCTATTATACCCAAATCATCTGGCAGCAATCGAAGAAGGCGATATCATTGCCTAATAAAAAAGTTATATATCTTAAAGAAAAGTTGAGTAGTCTGGAAGGGTGGTGTCAAAGGGAAGAAGCTGTTTGAGATAAGGTAATAGGATTGTTATCACTAGTTTATATATGATCATTAAAATATAAATATATTGCTTATCATCGAGGGCCAATCATAGAGTTTGTTTCTAAAGAAAATATTCAAATGAAATCCCTGTTATTAAGTTATATATATGAGAATCAAATCAAATACATATTTGTGATTTGAATTAATATATTTTTTGGCTTATTTGTTGGACTCTTTAAATGTTATTATTTTTGTTATAGAGATCATCTCCTAAACTATAATTACAATTTTTTTTTAATTCTTATATTCTGAATAATGGTTGTTGTGTTTCTTTCTAAGATCGTTTCGATATTTGAGAATTTTTATCGTTTATTTTTTAATACTTTAATGAACTTAAACATCATTTATTGAATATCAAGTACATCTCCCTTAGCTACGCTCGCTTCAATGATACTTTATCGACTTGCACACGACTTCGCACACATATCTTTGATTTTAATCAAACATGGCCATTGTTCATATAATAAATCCATTATAATTTTTATGACTTTTAAATGGTATCCAAGGCGGGGCCTCTTCGAAAATTTGGCTATTTAAGAACTTGCCTTTTGGCAGAGCAAATCAGTCCGATTCTTTTTGAAGCAGTAAGCTGAACTGCCGAACCAAATCGCAAATATGGGAGACAAGGACAAACTAGTAAAGACATTCTAGGAAGAACATCCTTTCTAAGTATACTAAATACTATTTACCCTTCTCCAGATTTCCGATGAGCCCATCGAAGCTGAAATAGAATCGGCATCCTCAAAAAATGCCAAAAAACAGGAGCAGAACATAAGGGGACCCTGGTACTTGGCCAGCGGTTTCCTGCTTTTCTGGGCACTCCTCTTCTTCGCTGTTGTGCATCCACTCTTCTACCGCCTGCCCACAGGCTTGACCATCGAGGATGCCGGCAAGGGAGTCTTCATCGCCGAACGTGCCCAGAACAACCTCTACAATTTGGTCCAAATTGGCACCAAAGTCGTTGGCAGTGATGGCAATGAAAACAAGACGGTCGATTACCTTTGGAGCCTTGTCATGGAGATCAAGGCAAATGCCCTCGAGGACTACTTTGACGTTGAGGTAGATCTCCAGGTGGGCTCGGGTGAGTACATTCACTGGACCATGGTCAACAAGTACCAGGGAGTGCAGAACATCGTCGTGAAGCTTACTCCGAAGGGCAGCACCAGCAACACTTACCTCCTGGTCAACAGCCACTTTGATTCTAAGCCAACGAGTCCCTCTGCCGGCGATGACGGCCAGATGGTTGTGACGATCTTGGAGGTTCTGCGTGTTATATCCACCACCAAGCAGACCTTCAATCACCCCATTGTCTTTTTGTTCAATGGAGCTGAGGAGAATCCCCTGGAGGCTTCCCATTTATTTATCACACAGCACCCGTATGCAGAGAATTGCGCGTAAGTTTTACAATTAAATATAAATAAAACATATATTTTAATTATTTTAAAATCACGTTCATCCGCAGAGTTCTTCTTAATTGTGATTCCGCTGGCGGTGGTGGTCACGAGATTGTCTTCCAGAGTGGACCCAACCAGGCCTGGCTTATGAATGAGGTAAATAGCTAGTCACGCTTTTCCCTTATCACAGCTAATGTTAAGATGTCTTACAGTACTACAAAAAATATGCCAAGCATCCATTAGCAAACTCCATGGCCGAGGAAATTTTTCAAAGCGGCATCCTGCCGTCTGACACGGATTTCGGTATCTTCGTTAAAAACTCAAAAATCGTTGGTAGGTTTTGAAAAATAAAAATTTTAACGAGTTGGAATATAAGTTTGCATATTATTCCAGGCCTTGACATTGCCCAGATAATCAACGGCTACTTCTATCATACCAAATACGATCGCTTCGAAAATATTCCCCGAGGCTCCATCCAGAGCACGGGTGAGAACCTGCTCAGTCTGGTGCGTGCCTTGTCCAATTCCACTCAGCTGGCAAATACGGCGGTAAGTAAAAATAATATACCATCTGATTTTTGTATTAACCTTTATATTTATTATTAAGGCCTACACCACCGGACACGCCGTATTCTTTGACATCCTGGGGCTGTACTTCATCAGCTACACGGACAGCGTTGCGGTGATTCTGAACTATTCCGTGGCCGCCGTATCCCTTATCCTGGTCTTTGTTTCCATTTGGCGCACTGCCAGCATTTCGAATGTATCGTTGGGAAACGTTCTGTGCTGGTTCATCCTGATCCTTGTCCTTCAGATTATAGCCTTTGTACTGGGCCTGGGCCTGCCCGTGGTCGTTGCCTATCTGTTTGACATGTACGGACTCTCCCTCACCTACTTTAGTACTCCGGTGTTGATGATCGGTCTGTATATATGTCCGAGTCTCCTGGGACTTAGCCTGCCCTCCTACATCTACCTCAGGCTGAGGAAGAACGTGAGTAGAAAGTCCACAGTATCACAAATAAGTATACTTCAATAAGGTTTCTTCATCTGAGCAGAGCAAGGTGGCGTATGCCCAACAGCTTCAGCTAGTTCTTCATGGACACGCCGCAGTGCTGGCCATCTTGGGTATTGGAATCACAGTATACGGTCTGCGTAGTGCCTACATAGTCACCTTGACCCTCGTCTTCTATGCTCTTCCCCTGGCTGTTAACCTGCTGACCACTCTGCACGATCGCGGCTTCTCCTGGACGGGAGTGCTCAAGATTGCCCAGGTCGTTCCATTCCTATACAATAGCTATTTGATCTACACCTTCCTGGTGACCCTAGTTCCTATGATGGGACGTTTCGGCAGGTGAGATTGCTGAGATTTAACTAAAAGGTTTATTTTAACTGATACACCTACTTGTTTTTAGGTCAACCAACCCCGACTTGATCATCTCAGCTTTGAATGGCTTGGGAACAATTCTGGCAATGGGTTTCTTGGTGAGACTGCGCTTTTTTGCCTCAAGGTATTTGATTGTTTAATAATTTCCTTTGTTTAGATTCCCCTGGTTAACATGTTCCGCCGGCCCACCATGATCCTGTTCACCCTATTGGCCATTAGTGGTGTTTCCATTTATGTGGCCACCTCCACCCAAATTGGATTCCCATACCGCCCAAAGACCAACGTGGAGCGTGTTCCTTACCTGGTTCGTTCATGAAACCTTCTCGTAGAGATTGGTGTTTATTTTTTCTCTTTGATCTTCAGCATGTGCGACGAACCTTCTATGAATTCGATGGCACTATCAGCAAGGACGAATCCGGATACCTTTTCAACTTCCAGGACCGGCGCGGCCCTAATCCCTTGAAGAATACCAAAGTTAACCTGACCGGCTTGGTCAGCGTTACTGCCGACTGTGACAAGTACATGATGTGCGGGCTTCCCTTCTTCGATCACCGCTGGGTGAAGAGTCACCTCAAAGCCATGTGGCTGCCGCGAGCCGAACCAATTGTACCGCCTTCAGTTCCCGAACTGGTGCTGGTGAGCAAAACCCTGCTAGAAGACAACCACACGATGCACTTTGAGTTCAGGGCTGAGACTTCGGATCACGCCAGTGTCTTCTTCCAACCGTACGCGGATGTGATCATAAAGGACTGGTCCTTGCCGGCCGCCTATCTGGGTCAGAACTTAGTCAACCACATATTCTTCTCATACGGCAAGGACAACTCAGCACTAACCTTCTCGTTTGATCTCTACGTAAGTACTTTACAGAAAGTATTTGCTTTAATTATTAAATATTTCATTTTCCAAACAGAAAGCCGATGCTGACTTCGGGGTGCCTTCGGTCACCGTGGGATTCGCTAACCACTTTATCAGCAATAAAGGCGATGCTATAAGTCAGGCGTTTACCAAGGCGATGCCTTCCTATGCAGCCACTGTTGATTGGCCAACCTCGTATCAACAGTTTGTGTACTAAACGATTATAGCTTGTCTGTAGTGTTTCCAGTCATGGAGGCCTTGCCATAACTCAATAAAGCATTTCTTATCTGAAAAATCAGTATAACCAACAATTGTGTTATTAAATTATAAAGCAGTTGCTTTACAAGTCTGCCATAAAAGTTTTAGTATCAATTAATAATGAGCAAAGATTTATTTTTTTATAAATTATAACTTTACCAAGCTATCGAGGTTTTTTTAAAGTAATTTTTATGTAATATACATAAAGAAACGTATATATTTTGTATTTTATAAATGTATATTTTATATTAATAGCCTTGCATGGTATTATAATTTCAGTCAGAAGTTTGCAACGCAGTGAAGGAGACGTTTCCGACCCTATAAAGTATATATATTCTTGATCAGCATCAACAGGGGAATCTTTCTAGATATGTCAGAAAGAAATCGATCTTTTGGCCATTTTTGCAAAATTTTATAAGGGGTTACATCATTAAAATTTTTGATTTTGATAAAAAATTGAATTTTCAAAATTTTTAAATATAGTATGCAGAATTATTAACAATAGAAAATCTTGCACAGAACAGTTTTCCGATTTAAAATTAATGCTCTTTTGGCCGAGTTATGATATTTTTAATTATAATAATTAATCAATAAGTTTTTCAATATAAAAAATCCGATTTTATAATACAAAATAATATTTTTCTAAGTCAAGGAATCATTTCCGACCCCATAAGCCATATATATTCTTGATCAGCATTAACATGCGAATCTTTCTAGATATGTCAGGAAGAAATCGATTTTTTTTGCCATTTTTGCGAAATTTGATAAAATTAGCAAAAAGGCCAAAAATTTTGATTTCTTAAAATTTTAAATTTGGTATGCAGTTTTTGTAAATTAATAAAAACTAACACAAACTTGCTATCCAAATCGAAATTAATGCATTTTTGGCTTAGTTATGTTATATTTTAATTGTTACCTGCAAGGGTATACAAACTTTGGCTGGCCAAAGTTAGCTTTCTTTCTTGTTTTAATAGAAAATCAGAAAATCGACAGAAAACTATAAACAAAGAAAGTATAAGCAAAGATATATAAATATGAAATTATAAAAAATAGGAAAGAAACGTGTATTTTTAATAATTGTAACTATTTTCTTTAGATTTCAGAAAGCAATTTTCTATCAATTTAAAATTGTTTTTTGAATTACTATATTTTGTTTTTATATATATATATATATATATATATATATATATATATATATATATATATATATATATATATATTTATTTTAAAGATATTATTTTAAACCTCAAACTAGTTGGCGCTTAAGAATATCGATCTATCGATCGCTGGATCGACCATCACGCAAACAGCTGTTTTTTGACAACAAGACACTCCCCTGGCATTATTCCAGTATCATAAATGTAAATCTTGTTAGTGATCGTTGAAAATCTGTGTAGCCGCCAACTTATTATTATTAGGTTAAGTACAAAAAATTAAAATGTATTAAACAGAGCTCTGGGTATTACCTTGCAAATTACGTAAGTAAAAATATACCTTAAAATGTGGCGTATATACATATGTATGTATGTATTAAAAAGAAACCGGACTTTATGTATGTATACCATTTAGTGGTTTTAAAGTAACAGAAGAAAATAGACAACTGATAAGACAAAAATTCGCCCTTTCTAATAATGACGATGAAAAATATTCTGATTGTACATAAATATATATATGTACATCCATTTCATACATATAAACGAATTTATTTATACTTTGTTCTCTTGCGATTCTGTCAGGTCGGCACTGCTTATTAATTCTTTAGACTTAGACTAAAATTCGGTGAATCCCCGTAAATTGTATCAGCCACATCCAAAACATTGGAGAGTTCACTTTGAAATCATTTGTTTCTTGGATCTGAAGGAATAAGCATACGGAACTAAAAAATATATATACGAATTAAATGGATTCTCTTTATACCGTAAGTACACATAAACCATTTTCTTTTTTTTAATTAAAAAACGTTTACAACTTTTTAAATAAAGAAAACAAAATGTATTTAAGTTCTTTTCAATAGTTAAATATGTTCATTTGTACATTTCAGGCTCTGGACAGTAATCTGGCCACCAGGTCAGGAAGAAGGCGAAGATACCCAAATCTCAGAGGACCATGTTTTCTAAATACTGGGTACCTGCTGTTTTGGCTGCTCCTTTTTCTAGCAATCGTGGTGCCACTGTTCCATCGTCTTCCAAATTCCAAGTCTCTCGAAGATGTGCCCAAAGGCGTTTTCATTGCCGAACGGGCAATGGAGAACCTGCAAAAACTGGTCAAAATCGGACCCAAGGTAGTTGGCAGTGACAACAACGAGAACAAGACTGTGCAGTTCCTGCTGGACGAAATAGATCTGATTCGGAAAAAGGTCCTTGAGGATTATTTCGACATTGAAGTGGATCTACAGCAGGTCTCTGGCTCCTACATACACTGGACTATGGTCAATATGTACCAGGGAGTGCAGAACATCGTCATAAAGCTCAGTCCGAAGAACTGCACCAGCGAGACTTACCTCCTGGTCAACAGCCACTTTGATTCCAAGCCAACAAGTCCGTCTGCCGGCGATGCGGGTCAGATGGTGGCCATAATTCTGGAGGTACTGCGAGTAATGTCCACCGCCAAGCAAACATTTACGCATCCCATCATCTTTCTGCTGAATGGAGCCGAAGAGAATCCACTTCAGGCTTCGCATGGATTCATCACTCAACACAAGTGGGCTCCATTCTGCAAGTGAGTAGACTTAGAACTTCTTAAGACTTGCTAAGTTAACCATTATTACCGCTTTGCTAGAGTTTTTCTGAACTTAGAAGGTGTCTCTGGCGGCGGTCGTGAGTTACTTTTCCAGACAGGACCCAACCAGCCCTGGCTGGTCGAAGTAAGCAAACGTTACAACTACCAAATACCACGTGGGTCTTGCCAGTGACATTTAATGATCTTTTAGTACTACAAGAAACATGTTGAGCACCCGTTTGCAACCACGTTGGCTGAGGAAATATTTCAATCGGGACTTCTGCCCTCGGATACGGACTTTGATATTTTTACGAAATATGGAAATATAGTTGGTAAGCCAAATAATCAGCATTTAGTTCATGAAACATAAGTTACCTATTTATCCATAGGTCTAGATTTGGCACAAAGCATCAACGGCTATACGTACCACACAAAGTACGATAAGTACAATATTATTCCCTCGGATTCTGTTCAAAGTATGGGTGAAAATGTACTTAGTTTGGTCCAAGCCCTATCCAATGCCCCCGAACTGCAACACACAGCGGTGCGTAAACATAATTAATTGTAAAAAATATAATAACTATTCTTTTTTATCATTCGCAGGACCTTGCCACCGGACGTACAGTGTTCTTTGACGTCCTGGGACTCTTCTTTGTCAGCTACTCCCACAGCAGTGGCGTAATTCTGAACTTTTCTATAGCTATTGCTGCCTTAGTCTTAATATTCATATCTCTAGCCTGCATGGCCACCGTATCCCAAGTATCCATTTCCCATATTTTGTGCCGGTTCATACCGGTCTTGGTATTTCAACTGTTGTCCGTTGGGCTTGGCCTGGGACTGCCCTTGATAATTGCTAATTGTTTTGATAAATCCGGCCTAAGCCTCACATATTTTAGCACAGGAGAATTGATTTTCGGGCTGTACGTGTGTCCCTGCCTACTTGGTTTCTTTTTGCCTACTTTCCTGCTCTTGGCACTGCCGCGAATTGTGAGTAAATCATTTATTTAAAACTTCCCAGTAACTTAAAAATGGGTTTTTCTTGCAGGGAAACATTTACTTTCGCCAACACTTGCAAATGGTTCTTCATGCCTTCGCTGTAATATTGGCTTTCCTAGTAATCGGACTGACTTTCTACGGACTGCGAAGCACTTACGTGGTGACCTGGACCCTAATCTTTTATATACTATCATTGGCCTTTAACTTTATAACATGTTTGCAAAATGTCAGAGTTGCCTATACTGTCCCCCTAGTGTTTTTCCAATTTTTTTCATTTCTGTACAACAGCTATTTGCTTTACACTCTTCTGAAAGTCTTGGTTTCCATGATGGGACGTACGGGAAGGTGAGATAATGTCATCTTAAACTAAACTAAAACTAAAACATATTTATTTAAGGTCAACCAACCCGGACTTGGTTATAGCTGGCCTTACTGCAGTGGGAACTCTTCTGGCGATGGGTTTTTTGGCAAGTTAACCTATTACTTTGTTCCATATTTGCCTTTGCTTACTGAAGCGATCTTCATTAGATTACCGTCGCAAATATGTTCAAACGACCCGTCGTGGTCTTAATAATTCTGTTGTCCCTGAGCTTGTTAAGCATTGTGGCAGCTTTAACTCATCTTGGCTTCCCCTATCGTCCTCAGACCAACGTTGAGCGAGTGCCTTACCTGGTATGTCGTGATTTCCAATTCCTTTAAATTCTCTGACTAATTGATCTAACTTCAGCACGTTCGGCGAACCTTCTATGAGTACGACGGCACAGTAAGCAAGGATGACTCCGGCTATTTATTCAACTTCCAGGACCGACGAGGACCCGCTCCCTTGGAGGGCACCAGTGTTAACCTCACTGGATTGGTGGGCATTGCTTCCCAGTGCGAGGAGCACATGATGTGCGATGTACCTCTGTACGATCACCGATGGGTGAAGAATCGTTTGAACGCCATGTGGCTCCCTCGTGAGACACTGATCGACCCTCCACTTGTGCCCAAGGTGGAACTAACAAACAAAATGGTATTGGAAGACAAGAACACAGTGCAGTTAAATTTCACCGTCAATGTTACGGATCATACGAGTCTGTTTATTCAACCATATGAGGGTGTCAACATCAAAAACTGGACATTTCCAATTGCCTACATTGGACAACAAACCACATACCATGTTTATTTCTCATATGGCAAGGACGATACCCCATTATCCTTCTTTATTGAGCTATCGGTGGGTTTTCATTTTGTCTAACTTTCTCTTGAGTTACTCCTAACTCTTTCATCTGCAGAATTCCAATGGAGACTTCAATGTACCCCTATTCCAGCTGGGTGTGAGCGGACACTTTATTGGCAACAAGGGCGATGAGCTAAGTCAGGAATTTGCCAAATCCTTTCCAGACTACGCCGTTGTGATCGAGTGGCCAACCTCGTATCAACGATTTATTTTTTAAGCCAGAGAAATTACTAACTTCTCGAAATTACTCGAATAAATTCATTAAATGGCCTAATTAAGCGTATGACTAACACTTTTTTATAATAAAATCTTGATTCTAAAGTTCATATACATGTGTCGTTAGTAGTTCTTAAATGGTAAAAAAAATGCAAGGTTTCCCTTTGATTTTGGAGTACTGGCTGCTAAGTAAAAAAAAAGGAATCAGTGTGATTTCTTTATTAGCACAAGCTCCCCTGTTTAATGATACCAAATCAGTTCAAATATCTTAATTTTTTTATCGTATCTTAACTTGAACTATTGGGCAATAAGAGTGCATTATTGCTTGATATGAAATCAGCTTTCTTGGTTTTTCTACGGATATAAATAGCTGGTTTAATTCAATACTGCCCATTTAGTCATAGTTTTTAAAGAGTGGCGAGCAGAACGAAAAGATGAGCGATACAGAAGATCTCGTAAGACGATATTTAAACCGATTTTTAATATTAAATTCAGTGGGTTTACTTTAGATACTGGAAAAATCGAGGCGGAGAAAAGACAGGAGGGGACTTTACCAAAAGCCCAGAGTGCGGTGTTTATGGGGCAGCGGCTTCCTTTTGCTTTGGATCGTCCTTTTTCTAGCAGTGGTGGTTCCCTTATTCCATCGCGTTCCAAGAACCAAGTCTCTCGAGGATGCATCCAAGGGTGTCTTCATTGCCGAACGGGCAATGGACAATCTATACAATCTGGTCAAAATCGGACCCAAAGTAGTTGGTAGCGACAACAACGAGAACAAGACTGTGCATTTCCTGCTGGGCGAAATTGCTCTGATTCAAGAAAAGGTCCTTGAGGACTATTTCGACATTGAAGTGGATCTACAGCAAGTCTCTGGCTCCTACATACACTGGACTATGGTCAATATGTACCAGGGAGTGCAGAACATCGTCATAAAGCTCAGTCCAAAGAACTGCACCAGCGAGACTTACCTCCTGGTCAACAGCCACTTTGATTCCAAGCCAACAAGTCCGTCTGCCGGCGATGCGGGTCAGATGATGGCCATAATTCTGGAGGTACTGCGCGTAATGTCCACCACCAAGCAAACATTTACACATCCCATCGTTTTTCTGCTGAATGGAGCCGAGGAGAATCCACTTCAGGCTTCGCATGGATTCATCACCCAACACAAGTGGGCTCCTTTCTGCAAGTGAGTAGCTTCCTAATTCGGTAAGACTTTCCAATAAAGTTATTCATTACTTATCCATTTTAAGAGCTTTTCTTAATCTGGAAGGATGTTCTGGAGGAGGTCGTGAGCTGCTTTTTCAGACAGGACCCAATCATCCCTGGCTGGTAGATGTAAGCATACCTTAAAACCATCTCAGTCCTTTTGTTAATCCAATATTCTCTCAATCAGTACTACAAGATGCATGCAAAGCACCCATTTGCTACCACAGTGGCCGAAGAGATCTTTCAGACGGGCTCTATGCCCTCCGATACGGACTTTGGGATTCTGACTAAATACGGACAACTGATTGGTATATTGGCTTAAAAATATAGAAATGTTCAGCTTGGCATGATTTCATTTTTCGTAGGTCTGGATATGGCTCAAAACATCAATGGCTATACGTATCATACAAAATACGATTCCTACAAGATCATTCCCTCCGATTCTGTTCAAAGTATGGGTGAAAATGTGCTTAGTATAGTTCGCGCCTTATCCAATGCCACCGAGTTGCACAACACAGAGGTAAGTTTATTAATATTAAATAATATTTGTAGTAGTCTATTTTATATAAATTATTTGCAGGCCTTCGCCAAGGGACCTTCAGTGTTTTTCGATGTTATGGGACTTTTCTTTGTCAGCTACTCAAACAGCAGTGGCATAGTTCTTAATTATTCAGTGGCCATAGCTGCCATCATCCTGATCATCACATCTCTGTGTCGCATGGCGGGCATATCCCAATTGACATTCCACCACATTTTGGGCAGATTCCTCCTGACTCTAATAACTCAGAGTGTGGCCATTGTGCTTGCCGTGGCACTGCCCATATTAATAGCGAATTACTTTGATAAGTTCGGCCTAAGCCTCACCTACTTTACCACACGGGAGCTGATGTTTGGCCTCTATGTGTGTTCCAGCTTGTTAGGTTTGCTCCTGCCATCCTACGTATTTCTGAAACTGCCTCGAAACGTAAGTTAGCTGTAATTTTAGATAGCTTTTAATGATCTTAAAATTTGTCTCTGTAGCGAAAGATTTCCTTTGGCCAACAACTTCAAATGATTCTTCATGCTCATGCCATACTCTTGGCTATCCTGGTAATCGGATTGACTCTATATGGCCTGCGGAGCACCTATGTGGTGACCTGGACTCTCATCTTTTACGTTCTTGCCCTGGCCGTTAATCTAATGACCTCTTTCCACGATCGCGATATGTCCTGGACAGGAGCATTGTTAGGCTTCCAAGTCCTCTCGTTTTTGTACAACAGTTACCTGCTGTACACCCTCGTGAGGGTAATGATTGCTATGATGGGGCGCTTTGGCAGGTGGGAGGAAAATCTCATAAAAGACTAACTGGATACTAAATCTTAGTTATCTCAGGTCCACCAACCCGGACACGGTCATGGCCGCCATTAATGCCTTGGGAACTGTTCTGGCCTTGGGATTCTTGGTAACTATATTCTCCATTTTTCACGTTTCCATTAATCTGAGCCAGGGACTTCCTTAGGTTCCCCTGGTGAATATACTCCGAAAACCTGGCCTGATGGTAATCACTCTGTTGACAGTGGTGGGTGTAAGCATTTGGCTAGCCACCTGCACCCACCTTGGATTCCCCTATCGTCCTCAAACCAATGTTGAGCGAGTGCCTTACCTGGTTAGTCTTTATTTATAACTCCTCTGAAGACTTGGTCTAATTATTCCTACTTCAGCACGTACGGCGAACCTTCTATGAGTACGACGGCACAGTGAGCAAGGATGACTCGGGCTATTTGTTTAACTTCCAGGACCGACGAGGACCCGCGCCCTTGGAGGGCACCAGTGTTAACCTCACTGGATTGGTGGGCATTGCTTCCCAGTGCGAGGAGCACATGATGTGCGATGTACCTCTATACGATCACCGATGGGTGAAGAATCGTTTGAACGCCATGTGGCTTCCTCGAGAGACACTGATTGATCCTCCACTTGTGCCCAAGGTGGAGCTCATTAGCAAAATCATTTTGTCGGACAAGATAACCGTGAGGTTTAAGTTTACTATTCATGTTACGGATCATACGAGTCTGTTCATCCAACCCTTCGAGTACGTGAATATTACCAACTGGACATTTCCGATGGCCTACATTGGACAACAAACCACTTACCATGTTTATTTCTCACATGGCAAGGACAATACACCATTATCCTTCTTTATTGAGCTATCGGTGAGTTGTACTTGCATGAATGTCTTTCCTGGTTTAATCTTACATTTAATATTTGCAGAAATCCAACGGAGTCTTCAATGTACCCCTGTTCCAGCTGGGTGTCTGTGGACACTTTATTGGCAACAAGGGCGATGAGCTGAGTCAGGAGTTTGCCAAGACCTTTCCGGACTACGCTGTACTGATCGAGTGGCCAACCTCATATCAACGTTTTACTTTCTAAATAAAATACTTGGGTTGAAAATTAAATATTAATAAAATACAACTTTTATTAAATTTGGCAACTAAAATGATTAATTTATGGTTGGGGTACTTTACAGAACTATAATGTCTGGCATTAATTGCTTATTAATTGATTTAAATCTGGTAGTGGCCGGCTATAAACTACCGACAAACACAAATTGTCTGAAGTTTAGTAAAATCCACTTAAAACCAATTAATCGTATAGTAGGTGAGCTCAGAAATTTCCTCTTAATCATCAGGTGGGCAATGTTCCAATCCTCGATTAAGACTATAATCAATGTAGATTTCATAAGTACATTAGTTGATGTTATGTTATAAAATATCCGATTGTATCTAGAGAAAAGTTGCGCTGCCATTTCAAATCTTTTCAGAAATTGGGGGTTTTTTTTTTGTCTATTGATTTTTTTATTATTCCTAAAATCATGTTAATTTTAGCTATCAGCCTTGTTATGGTATCATTAAAGAACTTGAAAACTTATCAACCCACGCGTGTTTAAAACACCCACTTTATCGAGTCATAAATTAACTCAAGATAATTGAATTACCCTGGGCAGGTTATAAGTTCTACAATGACTTATGCTCGTTTAGCATACATTTTCAACCAAAGTTGGTAATAATGAGTGTATGGTTGCGGTGGGCCATAGGCCATATAAAGCCTTATCACCGATAATTGTCTAGAAAAATCGAAAGCGTTTCATATCAGGTTTAATGGTTATTAAACTCTTAAACGTGTGCGATCGGGTCCACGAGTTGATTGATTAGTAATAGGAAACCTACCCTAGGTTAACAAATACTATATTAAAAACAATTAAAGGTAAATAGTGTTTTAATAATAATTATCAATTTTTTAAATGGAAGTAAACTGACAAAAATAATAATATTTATAGATGGCAAACTTTTCAAGGCCCATTTGTCTTTATTTATTTCTTACTAGCTTGTCTTATAATAAAAGAATACTGGCTACCCTCGCGTCAAGTACTTCATGAGCATGGCATAAAGAGAGAAAGAGAGATTTGTGCCATAAAAAAGTACTACTCGATAATTATTTAAAAATTTTCCATTATTTCTAGGGATATAAAAACGTTGAAAAAATGGTTTTCAGCCCGGTCTCAATTTGGCAGTAAGACAGACCGGTTTACCTTTAGAGGCTAATCAGAAAAAATGGGTGACAAGGATAAACTTGTAAGGATATTTGATCAACTGGAGTTCCATTCGATTACTGGAGGATCCTTTTCTCGCCTTCCTCACACAGATATCAGACGAACCCGTGGAAGAGGGTGTCCGATCCCTGCCCAGGAAAAGCGGCAAAAAGCAAAAGGGATTCTCTCAAGTGCCCTGGTACTTTGCCAGTGGCATTGTCCTTTTCTGGGCATTGCTCTTTCTTACGGTAGTGAAGCCCCTGTTTTATCGCCTGCCTCAACCCCTGACCATCGAGGATGCCACCGCCAAAGGTGTCTTCATTGCGGAACGTGCCCAAGCCAATCTCTACGACTTCGAGGCCATCGGAACCAAGGTGGTCGGCAGCGAAGGGAACGAAATCAAGACCGTTCAGTTCTTGCTCAAGGAATTGAATCTGATTAAGGCAAATATCCAAGAGGATCTCTTCGACATGGAAATCGACCTGCAGTATGCCTACGGCGCCTATGTCAAGTGGAACTTGGTCAATATGTACCAGGGCATCCAGAACATTGTGGTCAAGCTCACGCCCAAGGGCAGCACCAGCGAAAACTACATTCTGGTGAACAGCCACTTCGATTCCCAGCCCACCAGTCCCTCCACCGGCGATGATGGTCATATGGTTGTCTCGATTCTGGAGGTGCTTCGCGTAATCTCCTCGACTCGGCAGACCTTTGAGCACACAATTATCTTTCTGATCAATGGATCCGAGGAGAATTCATTGCAGGCCTCGCACGCCTTCATTGTCCACCACAAGTGGGCCAAGAACTGCAAGTAAGTTGAAGGAGAAAGAGCTTGATTGCTGGGAACATGGCTAATTAATATAATCCTTTCCAGGGTTGTCATCAATCTGGACGCAGCTGGCAGTGGTGGTCGCGAACTTATGTTCCAGACGGGTCCCAACAACCCATGGCTTGTCAATGTATGAAATTCTGTTAGGTCCTTATAAAGGAAAAATCCTAAATGTTGGATATCTTTTAGATTTACAAGAAGGGCGCCAAGCACTACTTCTCCACAACCATGGCCGAGGAAATCTTCCAAACTGGTCTCGTGCCCTCCTACACGGATTTCGATATTTTCGTGGAGTATGGAGACGTCATTGGTAGGCTAGACTTTCATACATTCCTTTTCCTCGTCCTAATACTGTTATTTTCGTAGGTCTGGATATTGGCCAGTGCATCAACGGCTTTGTCTACCACACCAAGTATGATCGCATTGATGTGATTCCACGCGCTGCTCTACAGAACACGGGAGACAATCTCCTCGGCCTAGTGCGCACCCTTTCCAATGCCACCGAGTTGCGTGACCTCAGTGTAGGTTACTCCAAGCTAAAGCTATAAAGAAACTATCTAAAATTATTTATTATTTACTCTATATGTAGGCGAACCCTGGCGGAAACACTGTCTTCTTTGATATCCTGGGACTGTACTTTATCAGCTATTCGGCAGAGAATGGAGTAAAACTTAACTACGCCGTGGCTGGACTCACACTAGTCCTGGTCTATGTCTCGCTCTTGCGCATAGCTGCCAAATCGAATGTGTCCTCCGAGCAGGTCCTGGGCTGGTTTGTCCTTGTACTGGTACTTCAACTGGTGGCTTTTGTCCTTGGTCTGGCTCTGCCGCTTGCTGTGGCCTATGGACTGGACAAGTATGGCTTCTCGCTCAGCTATTATGCCACTCCGTCGCTCATGGTCGGTCTCTTTGTGTGCCCCAGTCTCCTGGGACTGGCACTGCCCAGCTACATTTATCTGAAGCTCCAGAATAACGTAAGAATTCTATGACTATGTGAGGTCTATAGACTAAGCAGTTATATATTTAACAGGAAAAGGTCCCGTTCGCCCAACAAGTTCAGCTGGGTCTCCATGGACACGCCGTTGTCCTGGCTGTCTTGGGTATTGGAATCACCGTGTACGGTCTACGCACCGCCTACCTCATCACCTGGACACTTGTTTTCTACATCATTCCCCTGGTCCTTAATCTGCTGACCACTCTGCACGATCGCGGCTACTCATGGACGGGCATTCTGAAGATCATCCAGGTGGCTCCCTTCCTGTATAACAGCTACCTCATCTACTGTTTTATTGTCATTCTCACCCCCATGATGGGTCGCTTTGGACTGTAAGTTCGGTGTTTCGAGCAGAAAAGGATGTTTATAATGTATTCCTTGATTGTTTTTAGCGACACCAATCCTGACTTGATAATTGGTTTCCTCTGTGCCCTTGGTACCATCTTATCCATGGGATTCCTGGTAGGTTCTGCCCAATTCTGCCCTTAATAGTTTCCTAACTATTAATATTTCTATACAGATTTTGTTGATTAACACTTCCCGCAAATCCGGCTTCGTCCTGCTGGGTCTGTTGGCCGTGACAGCCGCCACTGTGTATGTGGCCAGCTCCACTGATATCGGCTTCCCCTACCGTGCCAAGACCAATGTCCAAAGAGTTCCCTACCTGGTAAGTCGCATCTCTCAATTAAATCTTATCCGTCTCCAAATATTCTGAAAAATTGCAGCAAGTGCGTCGCGTATTCTACGAATACGATGGAACCGTTAGCAAGGATGAGTCCGGTTACTTGTTTAACTTCCAGGATCGTCGAGGTTATGCTCCCCTTGTAAAGGCCGGCGTGGATCTGACTGGATTAGTCAACATGACGTCCGACTGTGCCAAGTACATGATGTGCGGAATGCCGCTGTACGATCATCGCTGGGTGGAGGCCATGGAGAATACTATGTGGCTGCCGCGAGAGACACCCGTATGGACACCAGCGGAACCCATTTTGGAGCAGCTTGGCAAGACCCTGCTGGACGATGGCAAAACCATTCGCTTCGAGTTCAACCTGACCTGCACGGATCACACGAGCATTTTTATCCAGCCCAATGCGGATGTGACCATCCCCAACTGGTCCTTTGTGGAGAACTACACGACCACCTACAAGCCTCCGTATCACATTTACTTCTCGTTTGGTATCGATGATTCCCCGCTCAACTTTTACATCGATGTCCTGGTAAGAAAATTTAATATTATTATACTAATTTTAAGCTTAATTTATTTATATTTCTCTTCAGAAATCCGATCGCGACTACAATGTGCCCCTCTTCCAAATGGGCATCTCCGCCCAGTACATGCACGTGGATGGCGATAAGGAAGCTATAGCTTTTGCCAAAACTTTCCCCGCCTTTGCCGCTACTATTCAGTGGCCAGCTATCTATAAGAAATACGAATTCTAAATTGTTATTATATAACAAAAATTTGATTAAATATATGAACTATATGTATTTTTAATCGGAATATTGCAGTTTAATATTTATATTACCCAGAAAAGGTATACAAATAGGAAAAACCTTCTGTTTAATTTCTGCTGATAAAGATTTCCGCTATCAATTATGCTAATACCGCGCTGATAAAAAATTCGCTTCATCAGTGCGCCTTGTGTTATATAGTACTCCATATAAGTGGGTTTAATGGCCTCTCAAATCTCAATTATGTGGGTTCAGGTCTAACGCTATATCATCTATAACAATCGTTCAGTTGTGGTGGGTCTGGGAATCATAAAGATCGCTTATCGCCCAAGAGGAGTGATAAATCAAACAGCTTGAGACATAGCAATTACTTTCAAGTGTAATAAACCTTTAATAGCCCGTGAGTTGATATTTTAATTTTAATTATTTAACCATAAAATATGTCTATATTTTTGTAATTTGTATTAACAAAATATGGATAATATATAAGTATTTTTGACTACATATCGAGGAACCTTATAGATGCACTTTTAAATATTTAATCTCCAAAAACTTTTATGATTTAAAAGAAGAGATTAAGTTTGTAAATCTTTTTAATCTATGTTTAAATAAACCAAAATATATATTTTTTTAAATATTATTATTTTTTATCATTGAAATCATTGAAATCATCGAAATCATTTAATATTAAATAATATTTTATTTATATAAATAAACTTAATAATTCAAGTTCTTATAGTTTTAAAGAAATATAGTCTTGATCTAAAGGTCCAAAAATATAAAAATTCCTTAGTGGTAAAGTATGTTTCCTAAAACTTATTACATATATTTTTTTCTTTGAACTTTTAATATTAGTCATGTTCTCCTAAATCAAGAGACTTCTGGTCTCATTTCATTATCGATTAAGATAACCAAAATCGTTTTTAAATATAACCTCCCTTTTTTAAGAACTGGTTAATTTTATGTTCACCCGAACTAGTTCCAGAAACAATGGCCAAAACAGCTGTTTTGCTGTTTATTTTGTTATTTGCTTTCCTGTGATTAAACCGCGTTCGGGACTAACCATGTCCGATTCATCACTTAAGCCACCCGCCAGCAACAAGCCTCTCAGACCTCCTCAAGTGGTGGCTCTCAGCGGATCTCCAGGTGGCCTCCAGTTGCCCGTCACCGCGCCTCAAAAGCTAAACAGCAATAGCACCAATGGCAACACCTCCTCTGCCTCCGGCTCTGCCACCGGCAATCCGCGCAACAAGTGCGCCCTGAAACCGGGCTACTCCCTGATGAGCTGGATACGGCTGTGCAACTCTGGGGCGGATCTCTCGGGTACCGGTGGACGCACTGTGCCAGTTTCCCGGAGCGAGTTGGCGCTCCACAACAAGGTCGACGATGCCTGGATGGCTATTCGCGGTCGCGTTTTCAATGTCACCCGGTACATGGACTTCCATCCTGGCGGCGTGGACGAACTGATGCGAGGCGTTGGGCGCGATGCCACCCAGTTATTCGATGAGGTGCACGCCTGGGTGAACTATCCCCAGTTGCTGGGCAAGTGCTACATAGGACCTCTGAAAGAGAATGCTGTAAAATCCACCAAAGATCCCGTTAGCCCAGAGATAACATCGGCGATTCCAAAGCCAACTGAGATTTTGCCTCGCTTTGATTGGATTCAGCAGAGGAGCGAGCTAACCCTGATCTTCTACACCCGCAGCTTTGCCAACCCGGGTATGGTGGTCCGAAGGCAGAACTCACAGCAGCTAGAAGTACGGATTTTAATAGGTCAACAGTGGCACACCTTTGACTTCCAGCTAACAGAGAAAGTGGAGTGGCCTCCAAAAGTTGCGAAAATGGGTGCAGAAACGGGAAAGATTGAAGTGGTGTTGGGCAAAGAAGAGCCAGCACCTTGGCCAATCTATGGAACACACACCACTCGAAAGTTGGACTCCAACAGCATACAGGAAGAACATTACGATTACCAAGTAATCCATCGTGAGGATTTTAACCATGACTCCTTTGAACTCAGCCTTCAAAGCGCTGAACGAGATCGATTGATGCTTCTACCAGTGGGTTACCACATCAACATTGAAGTTCCAGTGGACGGAGAGCTAATCCACCGAAGCTACACACCTGTGGACCACGCATATCTAAGTGTAGATACAAATTCGGATAGTATTTCCTTCTTGATTAAGAGATACCCCAACGGACCCGTCTCCAGTCACCTGCATCAGCTCCAAGTTGGATCTCGTGTCCAGCTTGGTCCTCCTCGTGGAGGATTCCTGCTTTCAGAGCTGAATGCACACCGAAACATTCTTCTGCTGGCAGCCGGAAGCGGGTTGACACCGATTTTAAGTCTGATTCAGCCGATCTTGAAGAGGAATACAAATCGCATGTAAGTCGGTTGGGAAAAGTTAAGAATTCTATAATTAATAATGATCTATTTGTTCCCAGAGAAACTCTCCACCTTTACTACTTCAACAAGACATCAGGCGATATTTGGTTAAAGAAAAAACTCGAGGAAATGCAGACCCAAGACGAAAGATTCAGCTGCAAGCACCTGCTGTCCCAGGTGGAGGAGAAGCCTGAACGAATATCGCTGGAGTTGCTGACTTCCCTGTTTCGGGAAAAGCAGCCGGACAGATGTACTTATGTGGCAATTTGCGGACCAAGTGGCTTTAACACGGCTGCGGTTGATATTTTGACCCAGCTTGGCCTTAAGCCCAACCAAATGCACGTCTTTCGCGGCTAAATGGAGGAGAAACTAATCAAATTGCACAATCTTTTCATCAGTTTTATTTTTTACTGTATAGCAAATGGTTTCGACTTTTGTTCTTAATTTTTTTTATTGTTTTTACATGTGTTTTCGTTTTAATAATTTAATAAGTTTAACAAATACTAGAAAAATTGTTGGATTTGTTTTCCCTTTTGCTTGTTAACAGACTCCAGCAGGATCGTGAGGATCGTCTTATCGCGACATCGCTCGCGTTGTCTACCGATACACACTTTTTGCTTATGTAAAAATCGACAACCGAAAAAGTAACCAAATGGAGGGCAGCGTACAAAACAATAAATAGAAACGGCTTGGTAGGATATATAAAGAATATATATAGGATCTGAAGAATAGTACATATTTCACCGCAAAAAAAACGGGAACCGCTGCCAACCTGCCAGTTCCAAGTCACAGCGACTCGACAACAATTTGTTTTTCGACGTCCACCAAGACGTTTAAGTAGACATCATTAAGTAGTTGTGATTTTGTTGGTGTATTGTGTATGCGGGTGGTGTCTTGCAACTCCAAGTCTTGACCTAATAGGAGCGGATTGCCGGCGGCACCGTGCTGACCTCGTTGTCCAGCGTTGTGTCAATCACATTTCTATAGTCCAATGTGATGTCGCCGTTGTCGTTGCACACCCAGGACAGCGTGTGCTTGCGCCAGTGCTGATCGATGGGCCTCTTCTGCTGGCCCTCGAGGGGTTTGCTGAAATCCTGCACAGAAAAAACCATAAATAAATAACCATTCAATGGGTGCAATGCCTCGGACACTCACATATTCGTCTTCGCGGGCCTTGAAGTCCTCACGGGCATGGGCACCACGCGACTCCTTGCGCGCCTCGGCGCCCACAATGGTCATCTGGGCATTGGCGAGCAGGTTCTGCAGCTCCAACGTCTCCACCAGGTCAGAGTTCCAAATGAGCGACCTTTAACAAAGTAAAAGGGAATCAGTTGCAGAACAACAGGGTCTTCTCCAGCGGGAAACTCACCTGTCTACGACCTTGATGTCCTTGAATTGCTTGTAGATCTCCTGCATCTTGGTCACGCCCTGCTTGAGGATAGGTCCATCGCGGAACACAGCAGCATGGTGCTGCATGGTCCTCTGCATCTTCAGGCGGAGATCGGCGGTGGTGATCGAACCGTTGGCATGGCGAAGCTTGTCCAGATTGGCCACCGAGGCCTCGCCGGCGTTGTCCTTGAGAGTGGGCGCCGGTGCACCGGGCTTCTCCAATTCAGCGATGGTCTTGGCACAGGCACGTCCGAACACAACCAGATCCAGCAGAGAGTTGGCACCCAGACGGTTGGCACCGTGCACCGAGCTGGAAGCAGCCTCACCGGCAGCATACAGTCCCGGGACAATAACATCCTTGCCGTCCTTGTCGATGGTAATCACCTGTCCACGATAGTTGGTGGGTACACCGCCCATGTTGTAGTGCACCGTGGGCAGCACCGGGATGGGTTCGCGCGTCACATCGACACCGGCGAAGATCATGGCGGTCTCAGAGATACCGGGCAGGCGCTCGGCCAGCTGCTTGGGCGGCAGATGGTGCAGCTGCAGGTACACGTGATCCTTGTCGGGTCCAACGCCGCGGCCCTCCATGATCTCAATGGTCATGGAGCGCGAGACCACGTCACGGGAAGCCAGATCCTTGGCCACTGGAGCATAACGCTCCATGAAGCGCTCGCCATTGCCGTTGATAAGGTAACCGCCTTCTCCGCGGCAACCCTCGGTGATGAGGCATCCAGCGCCGTAGATTCCAGTGGGATGGAACTGAACGAACTCCAGATCCTGAGAGGGCAGACCCTGACGGGCAACCATGGCTGTGCCGTCGCCCGTGCACGTGTGAGCCGAGGTGCAGGAGAAGAAGGCACGTCCATAGCCACCGGTGGCGATCACGGTGTTCTTGGCACGGAAACGATGCAGCGTGCCATCCTCCAGATTGAGGGCCAGAACACCGCGGCACTCGCCCTCCTCAAAGATCAGATCCAGGGCGAAGTACTCCACAAAGTAGTTGCAGTCGTAGCTCAGGGATTGGCCATAGAGCGTGTGCAGCAGGGAGTGACCGGTACGATCGGCCACCGCACAGCAGCGATGGGCCTGGCCGCCCTTGCCAAACTTCAGACTCTGACCACCGAAGGCTCGCTGGTAGATCTTGCCGTCCTGGGTGCGCGAGAAGGGCATGCCGTAGTTCTCCAGCTCGATGACCGCCTTAGGTGCCTCACGCGTCATGTAATGAATGGCATCCTGGTCGCCCAGCCAATCGGAGCCCTTGACCGTGTCGTACATGTGCCACTTCCAATCGTCCTCCTCCATGTTACCCAGTGCCGCATTGATACCGCCCTGGGCGGCGATAGTATGCGAACGGGTGGGGAACAGCTTGGTGATTACCGCTGTGCGGAAACCCTCGGCCACCAGGCCAAAGGCAGCCCGAAGGCCTGCTCCTCCTGCTCCCACAACAATGGCATCGTAGGCATGATCCACCACCGGGTACTGCTTGGAAATCTTGTCCGGATTTGCCGCCGAGGCCTGCTGGCGGCCATTTGTGATGTGGTAACTGCGTTGCGCTCCAATGGCGGCAACGCGTTGCTGTAAAATGGGAATAGAGAGGAGATTAGTGAGGGAACATTGCATTATTTAAGATTATTTAAGGCATACACAATGCCTGAAATATATAAATGTTGCAAAAAAATATAGAGGAAACTATTTTTTTGTCTTTTTAATTTAATTTAATTTATTCTACGCTTTCAGTACCCACAGCTTGCTTTCAGTGTAACTGTGATTATTTTAATGGCCCTCCCGCTGCAGTTTGTTATAGAGATAGCAACGCTTAGTCTGAACAATTCAGTCATTCAAAAGCCAGGCTTGTCTATAAAGTCATCAGAATATTGTTTGTTTTTGTCATCTAACCATACATAATTCACATTCATTTGCGAAAATAATTGCGTAAACTTTAAGATTGCTAGCAAAGAGTGAGAATAAGTAAAAGTTAGGTATAGGATTTAATTAAAATGTTACATTAATCAAGTTATTTTCTCGCCTAAAATGCCCTGAATACCCATACTAATTATGTATCTTCAAGTACTTAAGATTCTTATCTTATCAGGGAATTTCTATTTAAATGCAAGGCTGGAAAGTTTGGGAAATGCACGCGAGAAGTACCTAAGTGTACCAATTTACACGCTTTGTATTTGTAAAACAAATAGGAAACCAACTAGGGGGTTCCAGAACTCTGCTCTATACAGCGGAGATGACGTCCACAACCCAGAATTCTGCGATAAGAACCAATGAGCGTCTTAAAGAAGGGGCGGCTTTCGGCACAGATAATTGCTTATGTAATCAGTAAATTATTTAATTGTGGCTTTCCTCTGGAGGGAAGAGGCTACTCAGGAGGGGTGGGCCATGATCAGCTCAATTGTATAATCAGCTGTTAGTTAGCTGGCCAACGACGGGCCTCCCGGGCTCTCTTTTTACACTCTCACTCACTGGGACCGATCATCTCATGCGATTTCTCCCTATTGAGCGCAACTAGTTGTTGTTGCTGTTGTCGTCAAGCCGAAAGCCACCTTCCACAAACTGCAATTACAGTTAATGGATGCCAAGTGCAGTTCGTTGCACGCACCGTGGAATACACGAGATGAGTGTTCCAACAGTGGAGTCAAAGCGGGGGGCGGGGCAGCAGCAACATAACATAACCTAGCTGGTGCACACACACACTTTTTCCGACTTAATAATCGTGAAAATCACCAAACACAGCCCGGAAAAACTTCTGTTGCCACAGCCGAGCTGCACACTGTCCCCTAGAAGGCAGGTATCAACACCTGGCCATCAAATTCTGAGCAAATTACATAACACTACGGCGGGCGGAACGTTTTTGGCCAACAATTTCTTGACGTTTCTGTTTTCACATCACGAGCACTGGGGGATTCTGTCCAAGCCGGTTGTATAACCACTAGACACATATACCAGGAGGGTTACGCGGTTGCTGGAGCTCTAACGGATTACCTACCATGGAGGCGACTGCATTTTTGGCCAAAATCGATGGTACACGCATGATTCCGGACATTGTTGGGCTGAGAGGAGGTTCTTCTGCTGCTGCTGCGTCGGTCGCCTGGTTTCTGCAATTGAGTGGGTCAAGAGTGGGATTACGCGCGTGTAACAGCAAGTGTACGTTAATATAAAAACAAATAACTACGTGTGCGGTGGCCTATGTGATTGAATAGTAAAAGTTTACAAACTTTTTCAAATGTTGTGTGTGAACTGCCGCTCGTCGGCCCTGCAGTTCGGTTCACAAAGTGAGCGACCAGCGAAAAGCCCAGAACTAGTTCATCCGGGCCAGGGCAGCTGCGATATAGTACATTCGGTTATTTTAAATACTTTAAATCATTTTTGGATGAAGACGTTTATTCTTGTGGGTGTATTTAAAGTAATTTAAAGTAATTTAATTTATATTTAATTTATATCTAAATTTGGTTCAATGAACCAGAAGCTCCATGAACTGTTTACCTTTTCAGCGTGACCAGACAATAAAAGTACGAAAATCCTTGAATTTATAAAACAGCTGTTGTATTGTTTATTTGGGGTTGGGTAAAAACATTGAAGCTAAAAAATGCTCTTATTTATAGAATTACATATTGAGATTACTGTCACAGAAATGCACTTTCACTTGGGGTTCAAGGAATTACTTTGGTGGTTGGCGACTACCGCAAAGATTGCCCATTTCCTCTGGGGTGCGGTCCGCCAAATGGTTTATTCCCATTTTGTAAGTGACTTCGCCCTTTTCGAATTTGAGATTATGCTCCTCAATTCGGGCTTTGGACTGGGCGTATAGATCACGGCGCTTCAGATCCTCATCAGCTTCGTAGCTCTTGCCGAACTTGGACTGCAACAAAAGATAACTTTTAGGATATTGCGTTGTGGGAAATGTTGTAGGGATTCCTCACCTTGTACTCCACCCACTCTGCATCCGTAACCAGAGACATGTTGACACTTGGAAGTTTTGTGACACACTAAATTTTTGTTTCAAATCTGAGAATTTATCACGGGTCAGCGCTGAGTCACAAAACACGAACAAAACAAAGAAACAATGAACGTACCAGATGGCCAGTGTTGCCAGACGACGGTAAAAGGCAGTGGAACCTCGGCCTAATGAACCGCTGAAACATTTAAATTTCGAATTAACTTGGGTTTTTAAATTAATTTATAAAGAATATCATTTCTCTACAAATGATATTAAAATATACTTTCAAAATACCAATAAGGATAGTTTGATTTTCTTCATTAACATTTTAATAAAAAAAAAAACTAGTTTCGAAAATGAAGAAAAACATACACTAAGCGTAAAATACATTAAAATTAAAAAATATATTACAAAAACCTTTTGGATTTTTTAGAAGCTAGGAATTAGAGCTCGAATTTTGTTTTGTCCTTATCCATGAGTTACTTCCACAGCTAAAGGATATATCCCAAGGCAGCCCTTTCAGAGAGAGACATATGGCTAGATTGACCAGGCTGTTGATGCCGGTCAAGAATTATAATCCTAAATCATACGAATCAAGAATTAGATGAACTCTACTGTCCCGGATATGCGAATCCTTCAGCGTTTTACTCCATTTGCTACTACAGATAAAAAATGGTATTGACGATCGGTTTTTTTGAATTTTGTACAATTTCCAAGTGTTTATTTATTTCGTGTTTGTTCAGCTTCGTGTGTGTTGTTGTGTGTACTTTAATAATACGAATTTAAATGTATATATATTTATATGCATTTTCTTACAATCTAAACGAATTTGAAGAAACAACTTTCCGGTTTTTCGTTTGCTCTTTTCAAAAGTAATTTTCTTTTTATTATTTGCACAGAGATTGAGAATATTGACAAATTTCTAATGTTAATCTAAGGACAAAATTATACAGACTTTTTGCTTTGATGACGCAAAAAAGTTGCTAGAAATAAGCTTCTGTCGTTGCGCAAATAATCAATTTAATTGTACTTTATATGTTAAGTAATTTATCGTAAATGTTTGCTGTTTTTTATTATATTTTTTTTGTCTAAGGCTCAGCATAGCAAGTATTATATATGTATTGATTTATAGAGCAGAGGGTTTATGTGTGTGTGAGTGGGGGTGTTGGATGGGGGAGTGTGCAGGAAAAGCAGAAACATTCGGTTTAATGATCATAGGGTTTTAAGTTTCACGTTTAATGCAGTTAATTTGAAATTTAAATGCGATTAAGTTGTGCCTTCTTAAAAGTTTTACATGCTATGGCAGTCGTATATATATGTATGTATAGATAGTTTGTTGCAATATCAAGTGGGATAGCGATTTCAAATCAAGCACATCTACTTACAAAAGAAATGCTGGAAATTTGAAACTCGACGACTTTTTATGGAATCTCTGTGTTCCCTGTGATTGTGTTTCTGCTTTTCTCTGTTCAATTTGGATTTTTGTTTGTTTTTCTTCATAATTTATTGATCGTTTTATAAATATATATATATATGTATATGTATGTATAAACAGTTTTACGTACATAAAAATATATATGCAATTATTTATATATAAAAAAAACTAATACAGTTATTCATCATTCGTTTGTGTGCAAAGTGTGGCTGCTGCTGCTGCTCGAAATTGAAAAAACAAAACAAAAGAACTGAAAACATAAAAAGCCTAATTTGACAAACGCACACACACACATGCAAAGAATATCATATATTGTTGTTTTGTCATCGATTTTATTGCATTTATATAAAAAATATTGCATTTAAGTATTATATGTATTATTATGTATGTGTCTGAAGACAAAAGTTTGCTTTTGTTTAAAACAAATCTTAGCTTGTTTCAGGGCAGCAGCACATACATAGTAGCAATTTCTTCTGCTCCTCTTGTTATCCTTTTTTCTGTTGTTTCAACTATGTAATGTGTGCTTACGTAGTTTATTTTAAAAGCTAATACATCTAGTAGAAGATTTTTGCATATTTCTTGCATTGAACAGAGCGGCGCCGTGTCGGATATATTGCATGTGAATTTGAATCTGAATCTGAATCTGAATCTGAGAGCACTGCCTCTCGTTATCATACAAATTGTGGGTGCTGCTGTGGGGCCATCGTATAAATTAAAAATTATAATTATTTTATAATAGATATAATAAGCTGCGAATGCGAATTGGGGGGAGAAGCTGCCTTCGGTTCGGGTTATCCTTAATGATTTTAGCTGCTCATCGGTTCCTTGTTTATATGCCTCTCCACTCTCTCCTCCTCTTTGTCTCTGTTATATAATGCTTCTTTCGCTGATTTCTGGCTACCGTTTTCTCTTCTTTCGTGGTTTTCATTGTCGTTTTAATCTCCTCCTGGGTTCTCGGTTCGCTCGGTTCCCGTTCCCCGCTGGTGGTGGGAGTGTATGTGTCAAGATTGCTACTCCTACTACTGTTCGATCCCCACCTTAGGCCTCGGTCTTCTTCTTCTCCTTCTTCTTCTTCAAAAACGATGGTGTGCGCAGGCCCTTCTTCTTCTTCTTGTCTTTCTTGGGTGACCCGTCCGTGGAGACATCCTGGAACCGTAATAGAAATTTGCAGTGAGAATATCGTTTGCGCTTGGGGTTAGTAAATAAGTCAGATGAGGGTTAGCTCAGTATAATAGTTCGCGTATAACAGTTATAGATTAGAAGAGCTTAGTACAGATAAGCTCATCTAGGTTTTCTCCTAATGTTATTTACGAACTCTTCTCGTGAAAATATCGTTTGCTCTTTGAGTTAGTAAGTCAGATGAGGGTTAGCTCAGTATAAGAGCTCGCGTATAACAGTTTAAGATCGAAAGAGTGTAATAAGGTTTTGTCAGGGTTCTCCTAATGTTATTTGCGAGCTCTTGTGGTTATGCATGATATTCCAAGATCAATGTGGATATATGTCTTGAGATGATCGGCGATCTGATTAGATTTACTTACCTCTTTACTGCTCTGGGAGAAGGTGCTCAAGTGTGCCTCCGAGTGGTCGCCGTTTTGTACGTTTTCACCTGATAAAAAATAGGTTACATTTAATTAAATTAATTAACTTTAATGTCATTAATTTCCTACAAATGTAACTCAGTGGACGCACACAAAAATGTTCTATATTAATGTTTAGATTTACGTTCACCTTTTTAGAGACGCGCACAAACTAAGGCAAGTGTAAATGTATTTAATGGATGTTGTATTATTACACAAATGGCGTTGGGGTTGGGATAACTAAATACGGGAAACATGCAACAAATATATATAGTTTTAAAAGCAAGCACAAACACATGCACAAAATACACAAAAACATAAATATAAGTAAATGAAAAATGGTTACCTCTGTACACTGATTTTATGAAGTAATGGAGTGAGTATTCTTATCTAATATTAGCTATCGAATTGTGTAATGAACTCTTATCTTTATTTATGTACATTGAAATTATAAAAAGTTATATAACAAAAATTTAAATGAAATTGGACAAAAAATGAAACTTAACGAAAATTCACAAAATATTTCTGGATTATAATAACTCTGGATCTCTTAACTCTGCAGATTCCCATATAGTATTTAGAAAGCTCTTAACATTACATTTAAGAGAACAAATAATGGGATCATTTACAGTCATTTATACTTAATTTAAAGTTACGTTAGATTTAGTACAGAATCATTTCCCTGTTGTTGATTTATAAAAAGAGATATTTAACAAGAGTGAAGATTCGATAATATTACTTCAAAATTATTATAAAAGGCTTGACTGAAACTAGAGTTTAGGATTTATACATTTGGGAAATGCGAGTTCGACAGTCGTGGATAATCGCCTTGTTGTGCATCATGTGCGCCTTCACCACACTGTTGAGCAGGCGCTCCAGCTCCTTCTCCAAGCTAATGAGCAGTCCCTCCGAGTTACCCGGGTCAACGGGCGATGACTCCTTAACAGGTTTGGGTGGCGGTGGCGGCGGCATTTCGGTTCCGGCCATAGCAACTTCCACGTAGCTGTACGTATGACACAGCGCTGGTGCCGAGTTGCAGCGCTGCAACAAGGAATTCGGAGTCGTCATCGAAGATGTTGGCGATGCGAGCGGAGCACGATTGCTCGCCAGCTGCACTTGCTGTTGCAGCTCTTTTTGGCGCTGCTGATATGCCAACTGTTGGGAAATGTAGTGGATCTCCTCATCAATCACCTTCTCCAGCTTGGCCCGAAACTCCTGTTCGTGGGTTTGTACCGTCTCGATGCATTCGGCATTGCGCAGCGACACATTGATCAGTATCTCAATGGTTGTGGGCAGTTGTCCTGCTGCTCCGGCAGCTGTTCCCGTTAAAGGCGAACTGCTAAGGGTTAGCCTAACATGCTTGCCCTGTGTGTAGGCCTCCGCCTCCTGGGTGGACGAATCGTTGCTGGTGGTGGCCAGACGTTGGCGCCTGCCCGACGAATTGCCCAGGCCGCTGTCATCGGTGCCGCCACCTAGAAACAAACCCTGCTGATCGGCCTCGGGCTGCTCTCGAGCATTGCCATCCGTTCCACCTCCTGGCAGGACATGATTGCTGGGCAAAAACGTATAGCTGCGGTACAGGCCCGAGTCCTGCGGCTCCGGTCTGCGTGGCGAGGCAACCGCAAGGCCACTCATCATACTCTCCAGTTCTTCCATGCTGTCATCTGCACTGTGCCCACTGCTGGTGGTTGTGACGCTGTAGACGCGCTGCTTTCGCTTCAAAGGCGAAACCTCCAGCTGGATGTGCTTCTCGGACACAAAGGATTGCGATTGCGTTTGGGCTTGGGCTTGAGTTTGGGATTGGGTCTGATTGGTCACCACATTAAGCAGCCTGCGATTATCCAGGCTCAGTGTGGTCAAATCGATAAAGGAGACAACCCTTTCGCGCTGCTCGGCCACTGTCTGCCAAATGGATTGATGCTCCGGATGCAGGGGAATGCTGGGGCAATTATTTAGCGGTGAATTAAAGCCAAAATGGGAGATGGTGCGATAGGGCATTTGTGTGGATGTATCCAAAGACTCATTTCCTGTTAGGGAGGAATTGGCCTGACCAGACGCCGTTCGACTAACGGGAGTGCTACTGAGCAAGCTCATCTCATTGCGACCGAATCCACTCTCATTGTGGGCATTGCTTTGATCAAGGATATTAAGCGCCGGATAGCTATGCTTGCTCATAGCTCCCACCTTGTGAATGACGTACACCTGCTGATCAAGTGCTCCCATTTCCAGGCTGGAGGTCAAGTAACGATCAGGTGAATACAGAAACTCGTACTTATAAGCGAGATGGAACAGAAGGGCTGCAAATGAGAGGAGGTAACAAAGAGGGGGGCGGGGCAAGTACATGTTTGGTAGATGGTGAGTATGCATAATGATCGGCAGGTGAGTAAAGATCACAATTGAACAGGGAGAACTCACAAGACATCACCACTACTTAAAACACTTGACATCAATCGTACAATTAACACTTAACATGGGAGGGATAAATCTCAGCTTACAGGGTTATATATGGGATATATGTATATTATTTATATATAATAGGATATATATATATATATATTCATTTATATATGTAATTTCTAACCTTAGCTTAAGCAAAATTGACTAAAAAGACTTACTACGAAACTTATTATATAGCATATATTGTATATATGGATTTAAAATGGATAATAATTTAAAATACGAACGCAAGATACCAAACTTTATTTCCTTTTAAACTTTTACAAAAACTACAAAATAAGGACACACCTTTACCATACAAATTTCGATTAGTAAAATGGGGTTACAAAGAATATATATATTATATATATATGGAATGTGAAGCGAGTGTAGTGGAGATAATAATAAAATATAAACTTTAAGTCCATTGTTTCATTTTAAATTTGTTTCTGTTAGTTTACTGAATATTCAATATGAAAAATATGAATGAAATTTGTTTACTGAATATGTGATAAATTTTGTGAATAATATAACATTAAATTATAACTTTTAATTCATGCCAAAATAAAATCAAAGTGCTATTAAAATATATAAATGTAATGCAAAAAAAAAAATAGAATATATAACAAAACCGTTTTCACATCATTCCCCTGCGACATAAATAGTGTTTGAAATCCTTCTCTTTTCTTCTTTTTCTGGTTCAACTGATTCAACCAAGATATCCTATGACATCCTTAAGTAATTCCCCCTCTAGCTTTATCCAGCCATCTCCCACGTAAAGTTAATCTTCTTCTGATTGTTAACCCCCTCTGCTTATTTGCGTTGTTTTCCCGCTGCCGCCTTCGAAGTGCTGGGCTTGTTGTCATCCTCTTTAGCCTCCTCCTCTTCCTCTGACAATGTTTTTACCACCTTGAGTAGCTGCTCATTTTCGAAATCACTGTTACTATCAATTTCCTGCGTCGGCTTTAACATTTTATTAAGTTCTCGCGATGCAACCAATTCATAACCGGATGACTCTTCAATACTTTCGCTTTTGGGAAGATCCTTGCAACTTTTTTTTGGTTCAGATTTTTGCTGGTGTTCTGAGCCACCTTCTAGGCGCCTAGGCACCTCCCAAAATGACTCCCTTTCAAGTTGGCTAGAGGTTTCTGGTGTGAGCTCGGATTCAGGTGCTTCCGGTTCGTTTGTATTCGAGTTCATTGATAAGTGGTAAAGGCTGCTAGCCTGTTGGTTTTCCGACATTAACGATTTCATAGCGTTGTCCTGTGAGCTTGATTTTTCAATTGTAACTTCTCCCATGTATATCTCCGAGGAGCTTGCCTCTATGTAAGACTCTTCAGTCAACTTCTCCCGACTGGACATGGAGGTCAAAGGCATTTCATCGCCTGTTATCTCCTCTCCGCTCATCTGTAGATTTTCACCCTCGTCGCCCGTATTATCGTTGGCACTGTAGTACATGGTGCTGTTGGTGGCATTTGATTTATTGGGTGCTGCCCGGAATTCGTTCACCGCCTCCTCCTGTTCCTGCTCCTCCTCTTGGCTGGCATCCTCCATTTGGAACGTGCCAGCTGAGTCGTTTTCGGAATCGCCGCGCACAAAGAATGTGCGGCTGGAAAGGGTTCGCTGCATGGAGGTTGAAGAAGATCCTAGTTCGCCGCTCTCCTCTGTTGTAAAGATTGGTTGCCGCAAGGGAGGAAGGATTGCTGGCGGCTTGCGACGCTTGGCAAACGGGGAGGAGGGACTGCCACGGAAAGTGTACAAAGCTGTGGTAGTACTCGACGAGTTGGCACGCTTATGGCCTGCTGCAGCCCTTGGAGGCGTTGGCAACGAAACCCAGAGGCGGGCGCCACTATCACGCTGGCCGCACTGAAACGCGCATACCGACGACGAGCCACTCGACAAGGTCCTGGAGGCGGTGTTTGGGTTGCTCTTCGGTTTCTTAATCGAACCTCCCGCAGTACGCGGTCTGCTGGCATTGCGTATATTTTCCTCGATAAAGTTGCGTTTACGGCGGAAATTTGGCCGGCAAATAAAAGTCGTTGATGAGATGACGCGCTGAAGAGGAGTTCTCATCTTAGGGTCTTCCTCCTCTTCCCCCTGGTCCGCGCCCTTTAGTTGGTCCTCTGACCACGAGTGCGACAAGCGAGATGTGGATCGCGTTGTCAGTTGGACATGAGCCATCGAATTGCACGGGGCACTGATGTTGTGGGCCGACATAGATGAGCCACTCGGGGTGGAAGTGAGGTCTGCTGGCGAAAGTCCCGGCACTGGAGAGGTGGGACTGGAGTAAATGTAAGTACGGGTGCGAAAGATTTCCTCGGTGACCAGATCTTGCAGTTTCTTTGGTGTCATTTTGTTGCGAATTGAGTGATCAATTTTCCCAAAGATAGCCTCGCTCTCGTCAAGCCTGTCAGCCTCGATGCGTTCAAGAATTTCACGTTCCAGGGGCGTGAAAATAGTGCTGGCAGTGTCCAAGGGAGCTGGATTTTCTGGCAAGTTCCCAGCAATGGCCAGGAGCTCTGCCTCCTGGTTTTCGTTTTCATCCACGTCCTTCTCGTTGGCAATTTCCATTTCCTTTTCTGAGGGCTCTTCTGGCTCTGGCGAAACGGGAGACACAGGCTTCTCGTCATCGCGCTTTTCCTCCTGTTCCATGTTATTCTGTGCTCTATTGAGACTATTTTCTTCATCGCTTTCACTGCTGCTAGCAGAGTCTGGTTCCACGAGGCACACAGTGTCATCAGCATGGGGAATGTTGTCCAAACTAATCGTTCGAAATAGCGGGCCACCACTCTCCCCAAGAGAGCTGCTCGAGGTCACAACCGATGATTCAGTCGTGTCGTTTGCCTGCAGTCTCTTAGTGGTGGCAACCAACTTTTCCAGATGCTCACCGGCTAATGTCAGATTCTCCTCAAACTGCTGTAGGATTTTGGGTAGCTCATCACTGACCAGAGTCAGAGTCTCTTCCAATTCGGGAGAAGCAAGTGGCGCCAAATTAGATGTACAATCGGGAGTCACACATATCACTTGTTTCTCAGCCTCTGGCACGAGCCCTGGATCTTGATCTTGAGCCGTCAGTGAAGTAGCCTCCAGTTCTTCCTGTTCTGTAGACATTGGCATCTCCTCCAGCTGTAGCTGCTCTTTGGCCCCAAAAAATTCAACATGGTCTTGCCAAAGCTCCTCGAATTCAGACTTTCGACGCTGGCGCTCTTCGCGCGACATCAACTGCCGTTCAGCGGATTCGGTTGATCCCATTTCTTGCTCTTCGATGGCAAAATGCTGTGTTACCTCCAACAGGATCCGGTGCTGTCCCAAACCTTCTTCGGCTAGGTTCTGCTCCTGCGGTTCTAGCCATCGTCCAAAGCTCCACACTTCAGTGACATCCGCCATTTGCTCTGAACGATATACTCTGGGCGGAGCAGCACTCGTGGCGCTCGCTGCACTGGAAATCTTTGGCTCCATCTCCAATCCTAATCCCAATCCCAGACTTTCGCTGCTAATAGGACAACCAGGAGAATAGTTAACATTTGCAGACTCCTCCGAGAAATTAAATCTTTCGATTTGATTGAGAAAATTTGTGGTAGAAGAGGACGATGCAGGATGTCCCGGGGTCTGAGTGCATGCATTGCGTTGCAACTTTGGACTCTGTGTCAGCATCATCATCTCCTCAGGTTCGTCGTCGACCAGTTCGGTCAGAGTGGGCAGCAGCTGGTTACGATGCAGGGGCGTGGTTATACAGCTGCTTGCGACACTGCTGGCTATCTCCTCTTCGCCACTGCTGGCGGTCGTTCCAGCAGCCCCAATTCTTTGCAGCCCCGGCTTAAGGCGTAGCAGCTGATCGAAGCAGGCCTGGCACAGCTGCTCGTATCGCGGTGTGGCAAAGATCTCTTCGTAGCTAATGGCCCGCTGCATTGGTCGATATCCCGTTCGATCCCGATCCCCCGGCAGATGTTTGTGCTCCAGGCGTGCCGGTTGACGCGGCGATATAAATCCAAAATGGGAACCCGTGCGATACGGTGCCGGATGCGGGGAATTTGACTGTTGCAAAGGACGACGGGAGACAATGGCAGAACCACCAACAGCGGTCGTGAGCGTGCTTGTTACAGTACTCGTACTACTGCCTGAACCATTCGAGGCCACGGATCCTGCACCCCGATAGCAACTGGCTAAATATCCTAACTGCTCGCTGTGAAGTGACCGCAACAAAGCAGAACACACTTGTGGCTGCAGGCAAGGACCACCCATAGAACAAGCTGTGGTGGCATAAACATAGGAATATAGTTGCTGCTGCATATGCTGTTGCTCTGATCGATTGGTGGCCCCGCCCAGAGATGGGAACAGATCCCTGCGGCATCGGCTGTTCGTGGACAAATTCCTTTCCCGCCCATGCTGCTGCTGCTGCTGATTTTCTTTATCATCCTCCTCTTCCTCTTCATCTATCTGAGATTCTTCGTTATTCTTATCATGTCCTATATAGGGGGCCAAGGCCAAATCAAGATGGGAGAGATAAGGAGTCGGAAACAAGGTCAGTAAGTCACAATTTGTCATAATCTGGGATGAGGAGACTTTCGAAATCCATACGTAAATAGGAGACATACTGATACGTACTGAAAGGCAATACCATGATGTTCCTGAATTGAATAAAAAATTACCTAATAAACAGGTGATACCTAAAAAAGAGCTCTAAAGAATCCGCCCACATACCTAGAAAAGATTCCTACCTACAATAATGTTATAATCTAATCAAACCCAAAATAAAGTTAAGTTTACCAACTGTAATTTGTAAACCACATTATATAATACGGTTTAGTAAAAGAATATATAATAATTAAGACTCAAAATCATATGGCTTTCCGCATCTTATTAATTACATCTTTGGTTCTTTGTTTAGTTAACTTTTGGTGCAACAACGATTAACCATATATGCTTTGTGGATTATAGAGGGGTTATATGGACAATAAAAATATAGAAACCCGTAACAAAATGGATTATATATGGGGTTATTACAAAAATGTATACACCGAATAAGGAGTATTATTTAAAAGAGATTAAATGAATTTTTATATACAACAGTGGGCGTTTAGCCTGAGTACATTGAAGGTTGGTAGATCTAGATCTTTCGATCGGGGTTTGGTTTGTTTTTTACCTCGGCCAGTTGGCGGCTTGCGATTTGTGGCTGTATGAGAGCGTTCGCCGTTTATAAAACTAAGAGTGGCTAAAATATAGTATTGAGAAATTGAAATTATAAAATCATATTCAGCAAGTAGAAGGAGTGCGAAACAGACGTAATTGTGTGTGCCTTAAGGTAGGAATACATACAAACATACGTAGTGTAAAGAGAGTGAGCGTTTTTAGTAAAGAGAAAAGCATGCTTGAAAGGGTTAGTTTTTGGCAACAACTGCGGAAGCAACCAACAAATAAAAAAACAGCTGCAGTTGAAAATAAAAAGGGAACACACTAGTCAGCACAGAGTAATCCCAATGGAAATTGTAAAGAAACAGCAAACTGAAATTCAACTGCTCGGCTTTTGGCGGATAATGTGATTCAGCTAACAGCGATCGGCTATATAAGAGCTATATGTAAGAGCATTCGGCAGAGATGTGTTGAATGGAGTTTAGTTTGCAAATGTTAAATGTTTGTTTTATGCTGTATGCTTTATGCTGAACTGTTATCTATAAACTATTTGACTTGATTGTTTGATTTCTGGTTCTACACACTAAACCTCTTGAGGCTGCACTCACCAACGTGGAAGGGATTTTCTTTTTTTTTAAACTGCTTATTAATTATGTTTATTTTTATAGTGTTTTGTTTGTGTTTTAAAGAGCGCAGCAGCCGCAGTAGTAGCAGTAGTAGTAGTAGTAGTAGAAAAGGTAGTATGTAGTAGTGGTAGTAGTAGAATTTTGTGTTCTGTTCAGAGCTTCGGTGGTTGCTTCCTGTTTTTGGTTGCTGTTTTTTCTTCGTTTCATTTTACATGTTTTTATTTTTGTAGGGTATTTTTTTTAAATTGAGGACCTACGCACACACACACACTTTGCTTTTAACCGAGCACACTAACTGCTATATTTTGATTTAGACTCTTAGGAAATTGCCAATTTATTTGGTTTTAGGGTTTCTTCCTATGTGAAATAATAGAAAGGTAAAATTTTTCATTTTACAATTGCCGAATTTGGGGAAAATAAAAGAAAAATTTTGCAAAACATAAGAATAACTACTTAAACTGCAGCTTTCTTTACTATAATAAATGGCTTGTTGTTGAATTAATTGCTGTTGTAGTTGTTGTGTTGTTGTGCTGTTTGGTTGTTCATAATTGAAACTAAAAAATCATTTAATACACGGCGAACAACAGTTGGTTCCTTGGAAGTATCGGATGTGAGGTTTTAATAAAATGTTGCCCAAAATAATTAAATTGAAAAAAAAAAAGAATTGAAAGAATATTAACAAAAATCTATAACTTTTAAAATAATAAAAGGTTTACTTTGAAAACATTTATAGAAAGGATGTTGTGACGGTATCAATTGCTACAAGTAATTTTTTGTTGACTAGATTATGTAATTGAAGTGTGTGTGGTTTTTGGCAAGTGTGTTTGTTGTTTGGTTTTTCAAAGATGAGCAAGTTCAGCAAAAAAAAAAAACAATAAAGATAAACGAAAAAGGGGAAATGACATAAGAAAAGTGTTAGAAAAATGTTAGGAATCCAATAAATAACAGCTATACCAAATAATTAACTAAAAATATCAATAATACACTACTTGGGAGTAAAGTTTAAACCTTAAATGCTAATCAAAATACTTAATAATAAACATAGAGCAGCCGCGCATAGAATTATAATTATAAATATAAAACATAAGGAAACTAATAAAATAAAAACGTATAAATGCACTAAATGGGATAACAAAATAGGAATAATAACGAGGAATAACAAATAAACTTGACAAACAAATTGTTTTAAAAGAAATCAAATTTCGATCACATGATAGTTGGGAAAAAGACATAACATAACTCTGGGACACGTGTTTTTTGAATGTCCTTGCGTGTGTGCGTGATTAAAATTAAATCGTAGATGAACTAAAAACAAAAATCAAGTGTAACAGGACAAAGACATTATGGGACTTACCATCGCTGAGCACAACTTCCGCCTGTCGTGGCACCGGCGCCTGCTGTGTTTGAATCTCAATGACTTGGTGCTCTAAAAAAATTAATAAAATAAAACATATTAGTAACTGCCAATGAAGAATGCAATTAAAACTGCTAACTTACCGGTCTCTGGCTCGCTCTGAGGGTATTTCTTTGTCCCCGCCTGCAGGACAGCCTCGGATTCAGAGAAATCTGTGTCAGTGTCTGAAGATAATAGCAATATAAGAGTAAATTATCAAAATAAGATATAATATTTATTTACGCCCACTTACATTCGCCATGCACCGACTTCTTTTTCCGCTCCACCGTGCGTTTGTATTCATTAAGCTCATCATCCGTGACATTATCGAATGGATTCTTGGCATAGGGAGCCTTGTACACCGTGGCATTGTGCTGGAATCCACGCTGGATAATTCCCTTGGATGCGGCACCCATCATTACAACATGATCGCCTGTCTGCGACACTGTGGCATCCTTGAGTCGGCTTGCCTCATCCCATGTGACGCCCTCCAGAATATGGGACTGTGGTCCGGCGGAAATCTTATCAGCACGTCGATTGTCCTTGATCTGTTGTTTGATATTTTTCAAGCTAGTTTAGATTATGTTTCATAAACAAAAACCCATAGAATACTGACTTGTTGCTGGACCCGCTTAAACTCTCTCGGATTTGTTCCGGCAGGCACAAACTGGAGTGGATCTTCTATCCTCACTGGCGTCGAGTGGGTGGGAGAACCCTCAGCCACCCACTGAGATTTTGTATATTGTACATTGGACAATTTTTGGTTTTTTTTTTGTGGGAGGGTGGGTTGGAAAGAAGCAATGCAATTGAAAAAAGAAAGAGAAAGAAATTCGTTTTAAATGTGGGATGATGAACAACACTCAAGGTTCTTATTAAAGGGTGAAAGTATTCTTTTTAAATATATATCTTTGGTTACAATTTGTTTAGACCTTATAATTAGGGTTAAGTTCTTAATTATTCTGTAGAGTTTGACCCATTCCATACTTATATCTTGCAATGATCAAATAAACAAAAACAAAACTTAAATAGCAAGCAAAATGATTTTGTGCCTTGAAAAAAAAAGAATGCAAAACAATCACAAAGAGAAAAGTATTTCCAAAAATAAAAACATGCAAAGGAAAAAGTTGATGAATGAATGAAAATAATAAAAGATAATTATAAATGAAATCAATGAAATCGATTATTAAATGTTATAAAATGCTGATTGATTTTTAGTGTAATTTGAGTACTTTTAATAGCAAAATTTCTTTCTCTTTCTTTGCATTGTTTTGTTCTGTTTTGTTTTTTTTTTTCACCTCAGCAATAAATCGTAAAGGCGGCACAAAATCATCTATGCAAAAGTTTCATTTTGTTTTTTGTTTTTTTTGAATACATTTAAATATTTATTTGATTAATGCACATGTTACAAGTATTTGGTTTCTTGCTCGCAAAGCAGGTCAAAGTATTTTGGTTTTAGCATGAGTTAAATTCTATTTCCAAGGTATATAAATATATAGTTTTTGTGTATCGATTATTTGAATTGGCTTAATAAACGCTAAGAAGAAACTTTGATGCGTAAAGTTGCAGTTTAGTAGCAGAGTTGGGAACTAAAACTTGGCGCTAACTAAGTGAAAATCAAAGATGGAATGTCTGAATATATAGAAGTGCTGTTTCAACTGCGATACAACTATTTCCCTTCAATCTCCTTAAGGCTGGTGGTTGTGGTTTGCTGCTTCATATCTTCGAAAGTAATGATCTCTACCTTTGTAATCTTCTTGGGATCGGGAGTGCCGGTTTCCAGGACCTCGACCTTTTGGTACACGTTGGGCGAGTTGAGCCACCTGCTGCGATCGCCACCCTTGCGTAGATCACCCTTCTTCCAGATTCTAAACAAAAGGGAAGATATTAAATTAGATATGTACATCAAGAGAAAAGAACCCGAAATTATATTATATTATTGAATATATCGACTTTAAATCCGATACAGTATTGATATATAGATATATCCCCTACAATATAGAAATAAGTTTCTCTTACCCTTGACGGAAGAGCTCCTCCTCCTCGAGCAGATAGCCCAGAGATGACACAGCTGGCGGTAATTCCACATCGTTCTTGGGCTTGGGTGGATCAGATTTGATCAGAGGATGGCGGTAGATATAACCAGTGCGATAGCCAGCATTATCCAATGTACGCATCAAAGCCTCGAACTCAGCACCGCCCACACGCCACTTGGGCGGACTGCCAATCTTGGGCGTGGCAGCGGCTTCAGCTGCATCCTTCTCAGCAGCAGCAGCACCATCATCGCCGGCCGTAACAGCGGCAAACTTCTTCTCCAGATCCTCTGGAGGGCGACGCGACTGCTCATAGATGGCCTTGCGCGACTCCTCTGGAATCAGCACCAAGTTATCCACACCGACGGGCAGCAGCTTCAGTTGGGTCTCGCACGCCTGGACAATGTGGCAAGCGGCAAAGTAGGCCTCCTCAATGGTCTCGCCACAGCACAGGGCACCGTGGTTGGTTAGCAACATCACCTTAGAGTTCGGACCGAGGTTGCGGACAAGACGGTTGCGCTCCTCCTCGTCGAACAGACCAGTGTACGCGTGTGTGGTGATCTCGCCCAGCACGCAGGCATCCTTGGTGAGCGGCAGCAGACCAGCCTTCAAGGAGGAGATAGCCACCACAGGACTGCAGCCAATGTAGATGGCGCATCGGATATCGGGACGTGCAGCATGAATCACCGAGTGGAGGACAAAGTCTTAAATGGAGAAGAGACAAAGTTAATTGAATATTGAATATTGATTTCGATTGACCAGTATATATTATATCTTGTTAGACTTTAACTTACGACTCTTGTTCACGCCAAAGTTGGTGGTGCCCTGCTCCACAATCTGGCCCTGCATATCCACCTTGTTTAGCGCTGAGGCAGTGATCTCGTGATAGAGAAGCCCATACGGATTGACCAGGAAGTACTCTTGATCAACCTTGAGACGTGCAGTGATCTGTGCGCCCAGACCCTGGGTCCAGCCATTCAGATCGAGCAGACGGAATGTGGCGGCCAGCTTACACCGGAGTATCTTCTCGCCCTTGGCATAGCCCATGGACTCAACACCGCGTATGTCGTTGATGGGCACCATGCAGTTGTTGCTCTTGAATACATTGCCCACCCGCGTCACTGGAACGCCCACAATGTCCGAAAGCTGCTGCAGAATACCACTGGCACCGGCACCGCCCTCACGGGCCGAGTCCACAATCCGCTCCAGCTCCTCGCGGAAGAGTTTCGAGCCCATGATGGCCTCCACTCGCTTGCGACGCTCCATTTCGCGCATATCCTGTACAAAAGGGGTTGTGAGTAAGAGGGGTGTTTGTTTCCTCCATTATGGCTTTCCTGGGTGCAGTGCACAACGTACCTGTTCAATATCCGCGGGACGTGCTTTGTTGCTGTCATCTTCCTCGCCGGCAGTGGGATCTATGCCGTTTTGTGGCGGTTGCTCGACTTCAGTCATGATTTATTTCTTTTGTATTTCAGTTAAAATGCTGCAATAAAGAACGGAGAAGATAAACTTTACGTTAGGCGGTGTTTCTTTCATCAACTTTACGCTCAGCTGGAAAATTTTCGACTGACCTTAAAAAACTGCAAGGCAGTTGAACAAACGAAAAAGGGGGTGGCAAAACACTGAGAGCGGCTGACAGAGAAAGAGAGAGTAAAGTGCAACCACCCAAATGGAAGAGAGTTCTCTCTCCGTCAGAGACAGTCGTCGGATTTCCCTGAGAATGTCAAATGGCGTTGGCCAGGGGGAAAGCAGAGAAACCGCCGAGGGGTGAGAGGTGACACACACACAAAATGGACTGCCGCATATTTCCACTTTAGTTAATTTCTAATTTTGGCTAAAATAAATTCCTAAATTGAGGGGAGAAAAGAGCGAGCACCCGGGGGAAAATGCATAAGTACTTCTCTCTACATTTTCTCGTATCCACGTGCTAAGACGGCAGCCACAGAGAAAGAAATATAAACGGAAGAATCGGTGAAAACTATTTTAAGATCCATTCGGCTTTTTACGAAACCCCCAAAATTCATTATGCCTCGAAAGTCAAAACGAAACGAAGGAGCTCCTCCTCTGCTGAGCTGTCTCGATCCCGAAACGAACCAAGAAGGCAGAGCACCAACCAAAATAAATAAACAAAAAAATGTGTGAGTGTTTCTGCTGCTGCTCTTTAAATTTTAGGCGTGGTGCGCTTGACTTGGAATACCACGAATAATAGTATTAACCTTCAGAATATCGTAAACAATTGGCCGGCGAATAAACATAGAAAATAATGTCATCGCTCCGCGCAACTGAGATAACAAATGGAAATGCAATGAGCCAAGCTCAGCCAAATTCGTAACCCGAAACACAGCTCAATTTCCATGTGACACACTTGAGATTGAGAAGCAACAATAAGTCATAATTATGGTGCATTATGCTGACCCGATTTCTTCCACTACACCCACCAGCATTTCTTTAGTTCTCTCTTTTTTTTCCCCAATTAAAAGCACAAATTTCTACATAAATATGCCAATTTAGAGAGGAAATTGCAATGGGAAGTGGAAGAAGGAAAGGGAAAAGCAAAGGGGGAGTGAGCATGAAGCATAGCCCCTTTCGTGGGCGGCGACTTTTGTAGTCGGCTTATGTATGCTCAGGAAAAAAATGTGCTAAAAAAAAAAAGAACAAGGAACAATACTATAATCGCTGTTACAAAGATAAAAAACACCTTTGCATTTTAAGATAAAGTGCAGCGATTTGAGAAGTAAGTATAATGCCAAAAACACACTAAAATCTTGTCCAAATACAGATTTTTTAGTAGCCAACCAAGGAACCTTTTCAGCACTAATTTTGCTAACAAATTCAATCTTACACCTCAGAAATTAAATTTAAAATTATCTAAAATTGTTTTCTGTGCTGCAACAATGCATTATCAAAGGCGTTTATTTGCTGCTGACTTTGCCGTTTGCTAATTATGACGTATTGGCGACGCGTGCCGCATATTTGAGCTTTCTTTTAACAACAATATCGTGATGTGCAGGTAATTGAACTTTGCTGCCAACAGCAACACCTCACCGCACCTCACCTTGCACAACTTATTCGTTGTGCGTGGGCGGCGTAAAATGTTCAGTTTTGGGTTGAAATCAAACAGAATAATGCTGAATAAACGCTTTTTAAGTGACTACAAGAAAGAGATGCAGACGAGCTAGGGAGTTGTTGTGTTTAATGCGTGGGCCTTGAATAAACTTAACGAGCCAAACAGTTTTCCAGCGTGGGTAGATTCAGACTCCTCCAAAACGGAGCTAGCTGAGAGTTGTGTAGGTGGCAAAAATAAAGAAAACTAGAAGTTCTGGTAGACAGAAGAAGCCTTTGGTTTCTCACGCATTGCAAGCTCTTGGTGTGCTCAAAAAAAAGTCTTATTATCTGATGATTTTTGTTAAATATTTTATGCAAGCTGCGATCTGTTTAGTTTTTAAGTTTAAACGCCCATTAAACCAAGATATTTGTAGCAAATACCCAAAAAACCAAACTCGAATCTGGCTACCAAAAAAGGATAACAATGTCAATGGATTAAACCCCTTTTGGTGACTCCACACACACTTTTTGTTTTTGGAAGCTTTGGCCGCACCAGTCAGCTTCTCTACTCCACTTTCTGTAGGCTCTTTCTCTCTATGACCTTTTTGTGCGGAAGACAACAATTAAATTTAGGAGCAGCTAACGACACAGAGACGCCGCCATCGCCACCGTCGCGCCGCGTCGCGTCAGCGTCAGACAAATGTTGTTGTTGACATTATGCAATTACATCACACTTGTTTGGCGCGGACACACCCATGTCTTTCAATGGTTAAAGTGTGCCGGCTCCAAAACCGGCAGACAACAAAATATATGTACACATCTGTATGTATTCTATAGAATGTTGCAAAGGCAAGGCTGATAACATAGGCCTAACAGCCAGCGAACACGACATTCATTTGATAATTTGGCAAGGTCTGGCCAAGATAACTAATACAAATATTGATATTATGATCTGATAAAATAATAATAAAAAAATTATAAAATAAAATATTTATAAAGTTAAGAATCAAAATATTTAATACTAAACTTGTGTAAATAACTAAAATGACGTTGAAATGTTAACCAGTCTAGCTTTATACGGTAATATTTTAGCGAAATTTAACCTATTAACTCAAGTACAATTAAATATTTATTAAATCACAAAGATTTTACATTTCTATAAATTTTGGTCAAAATTCTCAATCACTCAAATATATTTCGTACTCCAATTAGCAGCTCAACCAATTGACCCAGAGAACCAAACCGAACACCCTCTAACAGGTTGGCTGATAAGTCCCCGGTCTAACAAAGAAAAACACATTTTTTTGTCAAAATTCGTTATTATTATTTAACATAGTTCCCTTCAAGAGCGATACAACGATTATAAAGACCTTCCAATTTTTTGATACCATTTTGGTAGTACTCCTTCGGCTTTGCCTCAAAATAGGCCTCAGTTTCGGCGATCACCTCTTCATTGCAGCCAAATTTTTTCCCTGTCGCTGGGGGCCAGATCTGGAGAATACGGTGGGTGTGGAAGCAGTTCGAAGCCCAATTCATGAATTTTTGCCATCGTTCTCAATGACTTGTGGCACGGTTGTTTTTGGTCAAATGTGAGCTCGCGCGGCACCCATTTTGCACAGAGCTTCCGCATATCCAAATGTTGATGAATGATATGACCAACACGTTCCTTTGATACTTTAAGGCCTATGCTATCTCGATCAACTTTATTTTACGGTCATTCAAAATCATTTTGTGGATTTTTTTGATGTTTTCGACGGTAACCACCTCTTTCGGGCGTCCACTGCGTTCACCGTCCTCCGTGCTCATTTCACCACGATTGAATTTTGCATACCAATCAATTATTGTTGATTTCCCTACGGCAGACTCCGGAAACTTATTATCAAGCCAAGTTTTCGCTTCCACTGTATTTTTTCCCTTCAGAAAACAGTATTTTATCAAAACACGAAATTCCTTTTTTTCAAATTTTTTCACAATAACAAAAGTTGCTTCACAAAAGACGCTCTATCTCACAAACTAATTGACTGACAGACGTCAAATTTTGAGACGAATCATTTAAAGGTTAGTACTATATAAAAATAATATGCATTCAATACTAGCGACGTCATCTATGTGTCAGACCGGGGACTTATCAGCCAACCTGTTATATGCGCCTTTTCACACATATGAATACTGGCGTTAATTAAATTTTTCAAGTATTCAATTATCGCGCAACGGAAGAGATCTTACGCAATCTTCCACTCCATCGAGCGCAGCCCAGGCAGCTGTCCCCCCATTCATTGCCCCCCAAGTGTGCAGGCAATAAGGTCGCTCATTCAGTTTTAATAATGCAACAAGTCACTCACTCGCTCAGTCAGTCAGTCAGTCAGTGGGGCACAAGCCCAGATTCGATGAGGGCGATGATGATCATGTGGAACAATCTTTCAAAACCGAAAAAAACGGAAATAAGAAAACATCCATCCCATATGGCAGCGGGAATAATAAAAGCGGATAGTCAGTAACAAAAACAAGTGCAATAAACCAGCGCCAAGTGTAAATAATAATAATTTTTAGCTGTCAAAGACTCTGAAGGGAAAATGATAAATGGAAATGTTGGCGGTGACCACTTTAAAGTAGTTGAAAAACTAGCTTAATTTCTAAACTAAATACTGTTTGTATAAATTGACGTTGTGCATCACTGAGATGAATGGCACACCGTGAAAATATATACAGTTTTTAATATGCGAAACGTGGTCAGAGAGAACTGGCAAAGTAAATGTTTGCGGGCCTCGCAATAAGAACGTTTCACACCCAAAGACCATCCCCCGGATTTTTTCGCCGAAGCACCAGGAACGAGCAAGAGGGCCGAGCTGCTCCGACTGGCAACTGCTATGTTTGAGTTTGGACGCGCTCGCTTCACAAGCAGTCGTGGCCGAGTGGTTAAGGCGTCTGACTCGAAATCAGATTCCCTCTGGGAGCGTAGGTTCGAATCCTACCGGCTGCGATGGAAAGTAACTTTTTTTCTGTTTACTTTTTTATTTTCCGGAAAACTTATTTCTCTTGGTTTTATAAAATGTTGAATTTGGCATATGATAAAAGAGAAACAGAAATAAAGATTGTCAGATATTTTTTACTGGCTTTAGTTCCTATTTTATAGATGAATTATTTACCTGAATTAAAATTCTTAATCGTAATTATCAAACTAAGAACTTTATAGGCAACTTTAAATTGGAAATTGAAGGAATGATCTTTCCATAGTGTTGTTTATTATTTTAACACAACTAACAAATAATATATAAATAGAAAACAATTGACAATTTTTTCTAACGCCGAAAACTGGCCAGTGTTTGGCTGCCCCGATTTCAGCTGTTTCCGTGGTGTAGCGGTTATCACATCTGCCTAACACGCAGAAGGCCCCCGGTTCGATCCCGGGCGGAAACATGTGGATTTTTTTAATGGATATAATTTTTATTTTATTATACTATTGATGCTTTCTTTTTAAAATTAACTCCACGCCAAGGAAAAAGCTTAAGCAAACAACACGTTGAATCATCGAGTTAAGCAGAGCCAGTTAAAAATATATTCATATAAATGAAAATTCTGTTTACATGGACTACATTCTAAATTTTACTTAATAAATCCTTTAATTTAGCCGCAGTTACTATCTGTTCCCATAAAACGCACTACTAGGCATTTGGCTAACGAGCTTCCAGCCGTTTCCGTGGTGTAGCGGTTATCACATCTGCCTAACACGCAGAAGGCCCCCGGTTCGATCCCGGGCGGAAACAGGTTAAAATTTTTTGTTTTAATAATATTTAGCTGTCAGATTTTTTTAATACTTTAAAAGTAAAAAAATAAAATGTATGTTTGATAATGCTAGTAACCGGGGCTTTAAGATAAAGGCGAGATAGTAGTAGATGACATACTTAATCCAATAACTTGGCCATGTTTTAATTACGGAAATATCTTTTTCTCCTAGTTTTGTGCAAATAATAAAAAAAAAAAAAAAACCGTTTCGTATTCAATGAAACAGAAACATAAACAAAAGTAATTAGTTGTTTCACTTTTTCCATTCGTTCCAAATAACGAAAAGAGCTACTAAGCTTTTGGTTGCTATGCCACCAGCTGTTTCCGTGGTGTAGCGGTTATCACATCTGCCTAACACGCAGAAGGCCCCCGGTTCGATCCCGGGCGGAAACAGGTAGAACTTCTTTTTTTTTGTTTCTTTTTAAAACTTTTAATTATTTCATCCTTTATTTTATATAGAAACTAAATGTATATACCCCTAATTATATAAATTAAAAAGAAGTTTATTCAACTAAGGGGCTTTATGTCGTGCGTTGGCCTATCTTTAATCTCCGGACCTGTCATCACTGAGATGTCTTTATTTTTGTATTTGGCGTTTATCTCTCCTCACTTTCAGACACTGCCGTGTGTGGAATTTCTTAATAAGGTGGTAGCAGCAGAGGGTCTAGCCGTGAGGCTTTTCCGTCCGTGTCTGCCCCTTGGTCTTGGGTCTTGCTAATTTTGTTTGTTTTGCTAACAAGCTGCCAGCTTGTCTGCCTCGAACCCGTTCATTCGTTCGTTGGTTGGTTCTCTCCTGCCGCTCTTTCCTCTTCTTACTTCACTTCATTGTACTTATCTTCTGGACCCAGTGCCAGTGCTGGTCGGCTACCGAAAGTCGCGTGTGAGTCACGTGGCTTGAATTACAAAATCCGCACATAAATCTCATCAAAGTTAGCGGCGCCAACGCCCATTATGTGTGTGAAGAAAAAAACACTTGAGGAAAGCGCATAAATACAAAATTTTTAGCTGCTAGTGGAGGCCAAAAAAAGAAAAGTGACAACAAGTGGGCAAAGGCAGAAAAAGTTTAATGAAAGGAAAATGAATAGCGCGTCTTGCTACAAACAATTTGTTTGTAGTATGCTTTCGTCTTCTGTTTGACTTTTTGTCTGCTTTTTCTGCCCTTGATGTAAGCCAAAGCCTCTTGTAAACCCAACAAAGTGTATTTTTTATTCCGATGCTTCGGTGTCGTCTTTGACTCACTTGGCCAAGGGCCAGAAAAAAGCTTGGCCAATTTTCGTATTTTTGATTCACATAAATTTTGTAAAATTGCCAAATAAACTTGAAATCTGCACACAGTCGTTGAGGTTGGGTGACGTCCATGGTGGATAATTCATAAATTATGTTCATTGAATGGTGGAATATATGGATTTAAAATCATTCGATGCTTAAAAGATTGCAAATATTTTTGCTATAAATGTTGTTTTACCATATTATAAATATTGATTTAAAATGATCTATTTACTTAAAAGAAAACCTAACATAATTAAGTTATTCTCGTTATTTTCTTTGCCGCCCTTGTTACTCAAGTTGAGACCCGTAAATGGGGGCTGAAATAATCATATTTGTAGAGTATGACATCACCCAGGACAATGTCGCACCCAGGACCTTTCACCCTCCTCCGCCCACAACGCACACAGAGCTATCTTAAAATCGAGCAAATAAAACTTCATCCCCTCGGAATGAAATGACGTCACTTCCTGTCATTAACTCAAAACGAAAGACAAGCATAAGCAGCGCACAACAACAGCCCCCCCAGAAGCACCCACCCACTCCAAGGATATATTTTTACGAATCGCGTGGAAGCATTTCCCGGCCGGCAAACTGAACTGTTGGCGCCACCATTCTGATATTCTGTCATTTTGTGGCGCCAAAGGTTTTCCAAATTGCATAGCAACACGACGGTAATGAAAATGCCGGCCATAAAAGCTCGGGAAAAAAAAACAACAAAATAATAAAAACGAAATCAACATAGTAAGGAAAGTAAGGAAAAGACCAATAAAAAGGTGGGCGTGACACGAGACAGGTATTTCTGTAAGGAATCGCGTCTCATTTCACTTGTCCCGAGGGTTGTGAGGGGGTAGATGTGGTTGGTCGTTGAACCCTTCTGTGGTGACCCGAACACGCGACTGCCGACGTGTGGCAATGGAAACTACTGAGCCTGCTGCGTGTTTACGGTTAGTTTAAGGTTCCCGGATAATCGATGGAAAACCCATCGACACACACACATGTCCGTATCGACAGTAACTTAATCTTGATACGAACACATACTATATTTTGCTGCATTAAATGGGATTTTAATTGCACAGTCGCCGACATGTACAGTAGAGTTCCGGTTTGTTTAACAATTATAAAATGAGTTTTTGAAGGGTTGAAGACGAATGTCCACAGGACTAAAGCAATCAGAATTAAATGAATATTATTATATCCCTGTTGTAAGATATTACAACTAAACCAAGAGAATTTCTTTTGAACAGAAATTCTATCCAAATTAAAAAAAAACAGACAGAACAGACTTGGAAATACAAATAATATAATATTGTAAATCCCCATTTCAGTTTCTTAATTACATTGCTTAAGCCCTTACGAGATAGTTTTACAACTTAAAGCTAATTTATAGTTTCTGCTAAGAACGCCCTGTAGTTCGAAAGCTTGTTAAAGCGTGCAATATTTTTTACGTCTTTTTAGTTTTGTTAAGTCCAAAGCAGCGAACAAAACTTAAAGAAAACTGTTTACCCTGATTGCCAAAAAGAAAAAAACCACAATAATAATAAAGCAAGAAGCCAAAGTTGCTGGTCTCACAGTCTGGTTCAATGACCCATTTATGAAAGTGCTAGATGAACGCAAAACGATCCAATCCTCATGCCGGAATTTCTCTCCGCTGTCGCTCTGTTTATTGCTGGCAGTGTTTCGTCGAAAGCCAGTGTACCATGCCCGAAGGGTAAATCAAAATTTATGCAGTACCCATAGAAGCCGGAGATATATATGGAACATAGCGCAGATCCATGTGGACATAAATGGAACAGTTCAACAGTATAAAAAGCGCCAGCCAGACTCAACGCTTAAGTGGCTTTTAATTCAATTCCAGCCGAAGCAGAAAGAGAGAACGGAGAGTATACGAGATGTACGAAAAAAATAAAATCCAGTGAAACAAAGGTCATGCTTAATTGAATTAGAGGTGAAGTTATGCGTGGCATGTAAAGTGATCTGAGAGATAAGGTTAAAACAGGAGAGAGTACTGCAATTTACATATCAATTACATGGCACCTACATGTGTAAATAGTAAACAACAAAATCAGAGATAGCTACTTTTTTATTCAGCTTATCGCGAAAACACAAACAAATCCCGCCCCGTGACATCATCGTTAGTTGTTGATTATGAAATATGCATAATCAACCTATGCAAAACTGTAGTGACAAAGAGAGATGACAAAAATCTCCGCTTGAGTGCCATTAATACAAATTATTTATCTCCCTTTGATGGTCATGATCTCGATTAGTTCTCAATTAGTTTGGCAAACAATACAAAAAAATAAGAGAAAAAACACGGAACACAATTAGATATCGCTCAAGTCTGGCGTAAGCAAAAAGTTCAAAGTTGATTGAGGTGTGGCTTCCCCTGTATTTTCCTCTCTGTCTTTTTTCACGCTACTCCTTAGCAAACAAGTGTCAATAAAATCCAAAGAGAGCCCTCCTCAATCACAATCATTGCAAAACCTTGCACAAATATGTGGCAACAGATAAAATATATTTAAAAAATAAAGTAAATAGAAGGGGAATCGAGTCTTGTTTGCTCCGCTTTCAGTTGATTTGCTTTGCACTTGACTTATGGGCGTGTATTTGATGTCAATCCAAGAATAGATCTAAAACTCACCTTAAAATTGAATTTGTTGCGTGATTATAATACTTTTATGATTTTCCTGAAAATGAATAAGATAAGGTTTAAGGTTAGTTAAGTATAATATTTATGTGGGAAACCCCACAGTAAAATCAAAAAATAAATACATTATCTTTTGATGTCATTTTAATGTTCTGTTTACTTAGAAATATAAAAAAAACCCAATTAATTTTTTTTAATTTGCAGTTTTATATGATTTTATTAAGATAAGAATCTCTGGCTTGCAAAAGTTTGCCTTTGGGCAAGTAAACATTAAATAATATAAAAATTCAAAGAGCAGAGAGGAGAGAGAGGTGTGAGCATTTTCCCTTTTTCTTGGCAAACAGATTTCCCGTTTTTCTACACACATAAAACAGAGAGTTGTTCAGATGCTGCGTCTGCTCTGCCAACGTTGATGCTGCGGTCAGCGCCTCTGCTCGATGATGTCATGTGAATATTTTTAGTTAGCGCGCTTTATAATATTTTCGTACTACTCGCTACTTGCCCAGACACACAAGCACACAAAAACACACACTGAATGGCTCACCGATAGCAGACGCTCCCAGCAAACAAAATAAAATAATTGAGTTATCGAGGGGGAGGTTATTTCGGCCTGGAATTCTTTGGCAGAGGAAAATCACTGCCTAGAGACTACAATTATTAGATTTTCGGACAGTTTTTTACAATATGCTGAATACCAACAATTTTATAATCTTCGACTTTAAAAAAAGTTTTATTATAATATATTACCATGTAATTTACAACATTGCGGGTTTATAAAGATACTCTATATACCCAAATATTAATTTAGTTTAATTACACCTTTCTTTGATGCGCTCAGGCGATCAACACATTACACTTGCAACGCACAATTGCAGTCTGAAATTGGCCAATAAACGCGCTCTAAATGTTTCTGCGTGAAAGCCCAGACACGAAACATTGGTAACGCAATTCAGCCGCTTCTGGTGTTGATTTACAAACCGAGATCGGCGTGTTGAATAGAAGCTATAAACGATTATGTAAGCCGCCTCTTTCGTGTGCAGCACAATTCGCTTTTTCTCTCCCCCTCGGATTTTTTTTTTTTTTCCTTTCTTTAATATCTTTTTTTGTTTTGCATTATGAATTCATTTATGCAGCAACACGTTTGCGCTTATTGTTGGACTACTCGACTCTGGTTTGTTGTTGCCTCTATTGTTATATGATGATGATAATGATGATGGCCTTTTTATAGAGCTTTATTGTTGCCCTCGTGTTTGGCAATGTTGCAGTGAAGAGAAGTTGTTTGAAAACCTGATTTTTATTGACATTTGTGCCCAGCAAAGTGGGTTAGCCATTCATTAAAAGAGGGAAATATCAACTGTTAAAGAATTGTACAAAAAATGCTGGATGTAGTTGAAAGTGTTTTCTTTATTGTTGCCCCTTGAGCCGTAAACAAAATCTGCAGTATATAAAAGTATTTCCTATGCAATTTATATCCGGCTAAGATTCTCTTATTGGAATCAGTTCTAGTTGGACGTTGGCGGAAGAGTGATTGCATTGCAATTAGGTGTACATTATGGTCAGCCACTTGTCACGTTTGAAAGCAACAAATAATAGACAATTACATTTAATTCTCTAGTATTTACATTAATTACAACAAATTGTGGCAATTTAAAGAGAAGAAGAGAAAATAAAACAACAACTGAGAAGGGTTCCATTTCCCACGCCTACACAAACGGGAGAACGAAATTAGCCTAAATTCCAATTTAAATTTAGTTCAGTCGGATCAGGCCGCCATAATAACAGGCTTTCAATCACTTTCAGCCCACTGAGAGCGGTGGTATATCCGAGAGAGATGGAGCAAGTAAGAAAAACAGACCCAGAAGACGGAGGAAACAATTCCATTGAAGTTCAAGCGCAGCAGAAGAAATGACAGCGAGCAATGTTAAAGAAGGCAAGAAATGCAGACACACAGCTCCATCAGCTTTGTCGTCTCCAATCTTTATAGAAATTGTCTACATTTTTCCTTGCCTTCGCTTCCGAACATTTTCGGTATAATTATCCACATTGTCGTCGCGCCTTTTTGCCTCTCATCATTTTCTGCTGGTCTCGAGCTTAAAAAAGCCTGAATAACAACACAAGACACAGACTGTTTATTGGACTGCTGCACTTTAAGAGTAAGCCCTTTTATAAAACGAGTATTTTCAGGAATGCATTTAATAAATATTTAATAATAATGATGAAAATAAAATTAATATGTATTTATTTTTAGAAATAATATCTCCAATGAGGGAATACTTTTTATAGGGTATCCAAATTTCAGTTTTTTCTTGACTTGTTTTCTTTTAAGATTTATGTTTTGTTGGAGCAGTTTGTTTTTGTTATTTTTGTTGGCTGATGCGCTGCTGCTTCTGCAACTGTACATTTGTTATTGCTGTCTCCGCCTCTTGCCTTCTCCCTCTATCTTTCATTCTCTCTCTTTCACCCCATCTCTCTTCTCGAGTTCTGTGTCTGGTTTATTGTTGTTGTTGCTGTTTTATTGATGAGCTGCAGTTGTTTAGCCAGCAGCAACATCTCTCTTTTTTTTAATCTCGCTTGTGTCTCTGTTTTGAAGCTTGGCACGTACGCCTCTTTTATCTACCTCTCTGTTTTCCCCTTTCTCCTACACCCTCCCTCTCTCGCTCTGTTGCATCTTCACTGCAATTGGCTTTGGGGCAACAACAGGGTTCACTTCTTTTTATGTTTTGGGTTTCTGGGAGCCATCAATTTTAAGCGCTTGCTTTTAGACAAATTTGTTTTTGGTGGCAGCTGGGCTTGCCAGACTTTGTTTGTTATGCTTGAGAGTATTGTTACTTCAGGGTGAATTTTAAAAATTGTTTTTTAAACAGTTTTTAAATAGTTGGGATAAAATGTATGGTTTTTTTTTTTAAAGCCGATGTTATTTTCATATTGACAATTATAATAAAAGCGTTTAGAGAAACTGGTTTTTGGCGTCAACAAACAAAAATCAAATGCAAATTATTTAAGAGTTTACTTATATACTTTTAATTTATTTTAACTGATGGTTAAGCCGGGCTTCAAAAAAAATCCCATTTTTTAAGGGATAGACTTAAGAAAGTGCATTAATCAAAGTAAACGTCACAATTATGAAGCCCCCAACCACTACGTTTTCAAATCAATTAATCACCGGCAAGATGTGACGTCAGTGGGAAACTCGATAAGCACACGCTTGGGTAAACAATTTCCAATTCCCAATCAAGAGTCATTAGGTCTGCTGTTAACCCATCAGACAGAAAATGCATTTGCATTGTCGGATTCCGAAGGGAAGGAAAACGGGGGACACGCCTCAATAAAACTTAGAAAGTTAGGATTGAATGCCGGGGATTTCCTACACTTGAAGTGCATTTCTTATCTTTGCATTCTCGCTTCTTATTTCTTCTTTGTTATTGTTTGTGTGTCACCGTTGCTCGATCGGATTTTAGTTTTGTATTTCCGACGCGTCTCAATGCAAACATTTTGTAGGTTAGGTTCTTCAACAATTGTTTACAGTTTTAACTATGCACTTCCTCTCGTTAAAAAGAGACACACGGTCATATATTCTGCCATCTCACTCATTTCATTTCTCACTCTTAAAATCGTAGCGGAAAGCGACAATAAACAACGGGTTTTGTCCTGTTTTTGTTGCTATAGGCACGCTTTTTTTTTCTTTTCGGTGATTTTAATGTTAAATTTAAATACATATAGATACAGATAATGCCTCAACGATTTTCGGAAATTCTCGCAATGCAACTTGCGGTGTGCAACGGAAAAAGGTACACAAAAAAATGAATGAACAATTGAAAAACCTAAACGAACGCGAGTCACGTCTAATTTGCGAATTGAAAACGGACAAACTGAGCAAGAGGAACAAATGAAATAAACACGGGGAAGTGATAAGGGAACGAAAAAGAGGGAAGCATAAGCAATGAATTATAAAGCCCACTGTCCATGTGCCCATTTGTGTGTGTTTGTATTCGAATTAGCAACAAAAGCTAGCCAACAAAAAGAGCAAATTTTCTTCTTTTTGTATTTTTTCACATAAGCAATGTGTGCGAAATGACGTCATGTGGCATACAAAAGGTAGCTGAAATTTATCAGGCGATTTAAAGAGCACGCGAAATGGAATTTTAGATTTTGATACGCAAAGCCCACAGGAAATACTTATAGGAAATCATTATAAAAAGAGAGCTCCAGCTTTAAAGGGGTTACGCGAAAACGGGATCCTTGTACTCATTGTAACATGAAGTAGTTGTTGTTGGGCAGACCCACTTTACAGGTACTTGTATCGGAACCGCAATCTAACCAGAAAGCGTAACAAGAGGCATACCCTTCTGATAAGATTGCCAGGTAACAAAATACAGGCAAACTTCTATAACTGGAATCACCATCGTCACACCATAATTCTAATTCGTTGTCTTTTTAAAATATTTTAAAATTAATGTCAGTCTGTTTTTAATATTAATTAAAACGTTGCTTGGTTTATTAACTTTAGAATTTTGGTATAACATCATGTTTTAACGAAAACAAAAATATACAAAACTGAAACCAACTGCAAGAACACAAAAACCTTTGCTGACATAGAATAACACTAACAAATCGTGTAAACAAGTTTCCAATATTTACAAATCTGTTTATCACTTGTTGCCGCTTTTCGCCATTTACTTGGCTGAAACCGCGAATGGCTTAGAAGAGCGAAAGAGAGGCGGCGGAGACCAGACCAAGAGACCAGCAGTGGAAAAGTGGGTCAAACCGAAACTTGCCAACAGATGCGCGCCAGCAGGCGATTTATTAGCGACAGCCAAGTGCATTAGACACACTCCCGAGATTCGCAATGGTGGCGAGTATTTGCGAGTGGCAACAAATTGCTGATAAAACCTACGGCTGAGACCTCAAAACCAGTATGACGTGCAACTGTATTTCTATAATCTGACAAGCGCATAGAAAGTCTGGGGAAGAGACGCATGAATCATGTGAAAAGGAAAAGCACACGCACACATACAACCCTCACACCCACCCAAAAAGAGAGTGGGGCAGGGAGAGAGAGAAAAGAAAAACGACTAGAACGTCAAGCTCAAAGCATAACAGCAAAGCAAACACACTCGCACGCAGTGTGTTGCGTGTGCTTGACCAAACCCAAAAAACAAAAACAACACTTATTAGAGGAGCACAAAAGATGGCGTCACCACCGGGCAGCAATTGCCGCTCATCATAACAGTAATGGGATGTGCAAGACGATTCAATGTAATATAACGGCTATCCTAGTTGTTCAATAGCCTCCAAGGCGACGGACACTTACCGGTATTCTTCGTTTTTTTCTCGTAGTTCGTAGATCCTCCAGTGGCTGAATCGCTGGCACAGGTCACAAATACAACGGTCACACTCACTATACGTTAGAAGGGGAACGCACGCGTTTTATATTTGTACTCTCGCTCTCGCACTTTGGTTTTCGGCTGCTATTTCGTACAAACACACATATGCCGCAGAGACTATCAAAAGGGGAGGGAGAGGGGAGAGAATTTAATAGAATTAAATTTTTGTGGGATCGAGCAATATTTTCTTTAAAACTTTTAGGAACGCCGCTGCTCGGCTTCGCTTCACTTCAGTAAATAACTGTTAATATGTTTTAAAGATGGCGCCGCTAACGGCACTTTGCACCGCACCAAAAAGGCTAAATAATTCTCTTTAATGCACTGCACTACGGTAGAGTGTGAAAATATCTTTTTAACTTGTACGAACTTAATCAAAAGTCTGCGGACCGACGAACAGCGCACGTTGACAAATGGACGAAGAATGAAACGCAAAAGAGAACCGCGCTGAGAGCGGGCGGGCAGTGTTAGGCAACGTCAAGTGGGTGCAGTCAAAAAACAACAAGCAACTGCTCCCGCTTCGGGATCCGAGTCCGATTTAACTTAATTTGGCGAATAATTAAAGAGTTTCACTTTGAGTGGCAGAAATCTCGGATTGCGCAAAATTGTTCAAGAGAGCCCGTGAGCGAGAGAGGTGAGAGAGACACATCATCCTGCAACGCCCAAATATACCTGTGTGTGCGTGAGAGAGGGAGAGAGTGTCGGGAGGAGAGAGTGTCGGGAGGAACGAATATTTGGAGCAAAGCGTATGGGAAGAATAGCGGTACAAGACAAGTCCTTTTCGCCGCTCTGACCACAAAAAACGCTTCTTTTGGCACTCGTTTCGCACTTTTAGGTATTCATCACAAAAACCATGTCAATTAAGCCGCACTCGTCGATTATGTCATATTATTTATTCACACACAAGCGCCCGCCGCAACATATACACACATTCGTGCGTCTGTATTAACGGCGTCCCATCACCGGCAATGCCGTGAAAAAATCAATGAGCCCTGCGAGGTTGTTGTCGGTATTATAATCCGATTCCTGATATTATAACTGAGTCTTTTTGTGAACACTGAATTCTCCGGCTTGCGGGTGCGAGAAAAACCACTGCTTACAATTTTTAAATGCTGAATTTACGGGAATAAATTCGTTGCGCGTGATGTGTGTGTCGGTGTCTGTTTTATTATTGAAATTCGTCGGAAAAGAGCGTTTTTTCTCCACCACTGCGACTGGTCCCACTGAGGCATTGCCAGACTGCGCGGGGATATCTCAGGTATTCCGCGTTGCCAGACTTTACACATAACTCGCCCGGCAAGCAGTACACGAAGCAGTTCTGCCGGCGTTGCCAGATTTTGCAAAACATTCACAAAAACGTTATCGGTTGCCACTCACAAAGCAACGCCGACACGACGCTGATTATTCGATAACATCTTCTTTTGACATGCAATTTTACGCTGAGCATAATTAAATTTTTGATCTCCGGAGGATATTGCAAATAAAGATTTTATCTACCAAGTTTGAAAAAAAAATTGGATAAAAAATTTGGTTTAAAAAATACCCTATATCAACATGCAATGGCGAGAATATCCAAAACGACAGCACTAACTATTCGATTACTAGTACCGGCAGTCAGGTGTTCGGATCCAGATACTTTATAAATATTTGTTTAGTATCTTGTGAGTAAATATCTTGAGAAGTCCGTATCGTTCCGCTGCTGTTGTGATTTTCGGGGAGTGAAAGTGCGTGATTCGAATATCGCTCTCTCTGGGACAATCAAGGTCTATTTGGAAATGGGATAATATATACATTAAAAGTGATTCAATTGGATGTTCTGGGCATCCGTTCGCATACTCGCCATCACGGAAATGAGCCAGGCTTAAAGAATGCATTAATTACCAAACCAGTTTGGGTTTCGCAGTAGAATTACCAATGAATCTATATACTAGGCGGCCAAACAATCATTCGAATCGGGCAGATGGGGACGGGAACGGGACCCTAAGCATATTTTGCTCCAATTAAAGGCCAATTTACGTTATAATACCCTATATAGTATATAGTAGTTCCGGACTCAATGCCAATGTCACGGCTGGAAATGGGATCTGGGCATGGGAAGTAGCCGAATCTCCCGAATGGCGCACACCCTTTGAGTCAGAGAATCTCATGCTTCCGAATGATGTCACACAATGTAGCATATATAGTATATACATATGTAGCTGAACATATGCGAATGAATTATATTTGGGTGCGAACCGAGGAATTCTTAGTCTCCAAAGTATAATTTCTGTTTGAATAAACCTAATGCTCGTTGCGTGAATTAAAGTAATTTAATTAAACCCGCGAGTCACGTTGGGAATATTAACGCTTAACCCCATATTTGTGCCTCGAGGTGTGTTTTTAATACCCCTGCTAGGCCCATCTGTAAATATGAACGATATACGTTTAGGACTTTGCCAACTAGATATCAATATTGGCGCAACAAATGTATATAGATTGGTTTTTAATCTCTGACGGCACCTCTTTAATTTTAGATACCTGAGCCATCATGGACGACTTGAAGGGATTCTTGAGGCAAGCGGGTCAGGAGTTCCTGAACGCGGCCGGCGAGGCGGCCATGGGAGCTGCCAAGGATGTGGTCGGATCGGTGATCAATGAGATATTCATCAAGAAGGAAGCCGACACCAAGAGGGTTCTGCCGAGCATCAAGAACATGCGAGTTGTAAGTAGAACCCAAGGGTTATCACTCCATCTACTATATACGGGGCCTAGACAAACATACATTTATACGATTCATTGAGATCCACATGCATGTTAACCCAATACATTCCACTCAAACATTAGCAACCATTGCAATCCTCCAAATCTTCTCAAACGTTGTACTATGGGAACGTAAGTACTTACTGCTGTCATCGTTATGGCATTGACACAATTCCGTCCGAAGGATAATGTGCTGCCAAAGTGTCGTACTGTGTGTTGTCCTTGTGTGTGTTTCTTTTTGTGTACAAAGTGTACAAAGCATCAATACTCCTTTTTGAATCCATTACACCAATATACTCTGTACATACAGCTATTACAAGAAAATTGTGAGAGCTTGCGATAAATAACTAATGCCAAGTACTTTCTGTAGCTGGGTGAAAAGAGCTCGAACCTGGGACCCTATTCCGAAGTGCAGGACTTCGAGACCATAAGGAATAGCTGCGTGGCCAGTGGCTCGCTCTTCGAGGATCCCCTTTTTCCGGCTTCGAACGAGTCTCTTCAGTTCTCCCGGCGACCAGATCGTCACATTGAGTGGCTGAGACCTCATGTAAGTTATATATTTTTCCCTGATTTTCTAAAGTATTAATTTAAATTTAATTACTCAAGGAAATTGCCGAAAATCCACAATTTTTTGTGGAGGGCTACTCTCGCTTCGATGTCCAGCAGGGAGAGCTGGGAGATTGCTGGCTCCTGGCTGCCACGGCCAACTTGACCCAGGAATCGAACTTGTTTTTCCGCGTAATTCCACCGGAACAGAGCTTCGAGGATAATTACGCTGGCATCTTCCACTTCCGCTTCTGGCAATATGGTAATTCTGAATTTAAAACTCACTGTAAATCAGTTCTTTAACCGCTTTTGTTTTTAAATAAAAGGTAAATGGGTGGATGTCATAGTGGATGACCGTTTGCCCACCTACAATGGCGAGCTGATGTACATGCACTCCACGGAGAAGAATGAGTTCTGGAGTGCCCTGCTGGAGAAGGCATATGCCAAGTATAACGTTTTACAGAAACTAATAAATAAGATTAATTAATGAACTGTTTTCCCACAGACTTCATGGATCCTACGAGGCCCTGAAGGGAGGCAGCACATGTGAGGCCATGGAGGATTTCACTGGCGGCGTTAGCGAGTGGTACGATCTGAAGGAAGCCCCTGGTAATCTCTTTACAATCCTGCAAAAGGCCGCCGATCGTAATTCCATGATGGGTTGCTCTATCGAACCGGATCCAAATGTATTGGAGGCCGAAACTCCCCAGGGCCTGATACGCGGCCACGCTTACTCCATCACCAAGGTCTGCCTTATTGATATTGTCACGCCAAATCGCCAGGGCAAGATCCCGATGATACGAATGCGTAATCCTTGGGGCAATGAGGCCGAGTGGAATGGCCCTTGGAGTGACAGCTCGCCTGAATGGCGATATATTCCGGAGGATCAGAAGAACGAGATTGGACTCACTTTTGATAGAGATGGCGAGTTCTGGATGTCCTTCCAGGATTTCCTCAATCATTTTGATCGCGTGGAGGTGGGACCTAAAACAATAACATAACATCATAAGAATGTGGCTAATATAAACTCTTTAGATTTGCAATTTGTCGCCAGACTCGCTGACTGAGGATCAGCAGAACAGCGGCAAACGCAAGTGGGAGATGTCCATGTACGAGGGCGAATGGACACCTGGCGTCACTGCCGGTGGTTGCCGCAATTTTCTGGACACTTTCTGGCACAATCCGCAGTATATCATCACGCTGGTGGATCCCGACGAGGAAGATGAGGAGGGCCACTGCACGGTGATTGTGGCTCTGATGCAGAAGAATCGCCGATCGAAGCGGAACATGGGCATGGAGTGCTTGACTATAGGCTTTGCCATCTACAGTCTCAGCGATCGAGAGCTGGAGAACCGTCCGCAGGGCCTGAACTTTTTCAGGTACAAGTCCTCGGTGGGAAGGTCGCCTCACTTTATCAACACTCGAGAAGTAAGTTTTTTTTAATTATTTTAAAATTATTTTGAACCTTAAGTGGGTAACCTGGATTTGATTACAGGTATGCGCTCGCTTTAAATTGCCTCCTGGCCACTACCTGATTGTGCCCTCAACTTTCGACCCGAACGAGGAGGGCGAGTTCATCATTCGAGTGTTCTCCGAGACCCAAAACAACATGGAGTACGTAAATGTAGACAATGACAATAATGAGTTTGTATATTAGAGATAATTCGTTCGTTCGTTCGGGTTTCAAATACTCAAAAGCTTCTAAAGTGCAATATGTGGGTATGTGACTACAGTATATATTTCTAATTTCTAATTTTAGCGCTAGCAATTGTTGAATTAAAATTGTTTGTTACCCTAAAACACATTCCCTTTTGATGGTTAAATGAGGGAGAGAAAAGCATGCTCCTGCTCCTGAATATTTTCTTTTAATTGAACTCTTACAGTATTGTTCTTAAAGTTTTTCTTTTACATTGTCTTAATTTATTAAAAGCTATGTCCGTCTGTCTGTCTGGTTTTAACTTGGCAGAAGTGAACTGAAAGTGGAAAGTTTAAAAGTATTAAGTATAAGCTCAGAGCAAGCTACTTGCAAGTTATTTTGTATCTCAAGAGGTTTTAAGAGGGGCGGTTAGAAAACTCGGCTTATTCTATTTTAAATTCTTGCTTTAATGTATTTTTCCCATGTAACTACTCTACTTATACTATTATTCTAAAGTAACAATAAAGGATATACCCGGATATACCCACAACAACGTATTATATTTTGAAAATGGTCGATCCCCACAACTATTTTGCTTTAAATATTCATTGAAATCCCTTTTTGTAGTGTACACTTGTTTAATTACAACTCGCACATTATTCATCAATCATTTCGCTTTTCACTTTCCACTTTCATTTAGAGAGAATGATGATCATGTGGGTTACGGCGACAAGGCCGATACGGTAAGTAGTTCGTGGCAAACAGGATCGCTTAATTAGGTATTTCTTTTTGAAGATATCTCCCGGATTCCCAACACCAAAGCCCATGGATCCGCAGAAGGAGAGCTTGCGTCGCCTGTTCGATAGCATTGCCGGCAAGGACATGGAAGTGGATTGGATGGAACTGAAGCGTATCCTGGATCATTCAATGAGAGATGGTAAGAAAACACTATATTTCTCAACTCGTAATGTGTCCAATTATTATATATTCTTCTTTAAGATTTGCCAAAACCGGTGGTTTTCAACCGTTTCTCCCCCAATAATGCATTTGAAACCCAGGCTGCTGGTCCTGGGGATATGGATGGTGGCGGTGCCTGTGGTCTTTTGTCCTTGATTTGTGGACCCTTCTTAAAGGGCACGCCCTTCGAGGATCAAATGGGAATGAACGATCAGTCGAACAAAAGGCTAATGGGGGATAATCCAGCAGATGGAGGACCTGTAACAGCAAATGGTAAGAAAGAGACAAAACAGAAAATAAATAAGGAAATATTAATGAATTTACAAAATATTAAAGCAATTGTGGATGAAACCCATGGATTTTCCAAGGACGTTTGCCGCTCCATGGTGGCCATGTTAGATGCTGACAAGTCCGGCAAGCTGGGATTCGAGGAGTTTGAGGTGTTGCTGTCAGAAATTGCCAAATGGAAGGCCATCTTTAAGGTTTACGATACCGAGAACACGGGTCGTGTGTCAGGATTCCAGCTGCGGGAGGCCCTTAACTCAGCTGGCTATCATCTAAACAACCGCGTCCTCAATGCCTTGGGTCATCGTTATGGCTCGCGTGATGGCAAGATTGCCTTTGATGATTTCATCATGTGTGCAGTTAAAATTAAGACATATATTGGTAAAAAAAAAAAGACTAAACATATAAATCTTTGATTATTTATAATAACTTCTTTTTTTTATAGAAATCTTCAAGGAGCAGGACACTGAGAAAAATGAAACGGCCACGTTTACCTTGGAGGAATGGATAGAGCGTACAATATACTCTTAATAAAAGTTCTTCTTGATACTTAAGTTAGCAAATCAACTCGAAGAAATCTACATTTACATGAAATCTCGTTGTCCTAAATCTCCAATATTTTGCATTATACAGTACAAAACAAAGAGTACTTCCGGAGAAGTGTTGTATTTATAGCTTGTCGTTATAAGTGATTTTCATCGAATCTAATGACTCCGCTAAATAATTGTGTTTTTCCTCCCTAAAGAGAATTTATTAAAAGGAATTGTATCTTGAGGCAATGTTAACTTATTAAAGAATTCCACAACCGATATGCTATTTTTAAATTTTTATTTCGAGTTTGTTTAATATATTTAATCATAAATATTTATCAGAAATGACTCCCTCACTGCCTTGCAAGCTTCAGACTAAAATTATTACAAATGATTTTTATATAAACAAAACACAGAAAAAACTCAATCTTTCGTTTAGTAATTCAATTTATTTGTTGTTGTTGTTGTTGTGATCGAGAACCTGGCACCAAATGAATTAGCTCGGAGTAAAGCTTGTATATTGGTAGAATATATAAATCACAATATAAATGTCTTAAAATACACCCAAAACTGATGCAGAATTACATTTTTAGTTGTATTAGATCGGGGTCAAGTTATCTATAAATATTATTACTAGCCAGCTTCTATCTTTTTCATTCAAGAACGTGTGTCTTTGTTTCTTAAATTATTTTGACTACATGACGATGTGAGAATGCGGCCGGCCGAGTTGGGGGGTCTCGTCAAACGTTGAGTAAGTATCTTCGAAGTCTACATATATAAGTGCTTCATACGTAGAGATAAGCGAATTATCCGCTGAATATATATAGAATATATATATATATTTAGGTATGTACAATAGTTTAATCATTAAGTTAATATCTAGAAGAGTTACGCATGGCCATGCAAGGCGGACGTATTGCAATACATGTGCTCCCCTGGGCTACTAAGTGACTCCTCGACAATACGCAAAGGCTCATTTGTCGTCGACCTTGTTGGATCGTCCAGGCCAATGCTCATTCCTCTTGGTAAGCTGCCACTGGAGGAGGTGGCATTTTGCAACTGCAACTGGGAGCTGAAGCTCTGATGCAAATCATTATCGTATATCCCCGTACTTTGTAGCAGATCCCCCGAATTGCTGGACTTGAGATGTCCACCAAAGTCGTTCAGGGTGGTTGTGGTCGTCGTCGAGGTTGACTCAAAACTAGATAAACTGGTGGTGGTCGAATCCCTGGGAACGCTGGCTTGTGGAAATACATGCTGATAACGTTGGCGTATCGAATCGACGACATCGAACAGATTCTTGGCGTCCATGGCCAAGACATGGGCAGCCGATAGCATACTCCTGCAATTTTTTAGAACAAAAACATTAGCTCAGGCACTCTTAAATCATAATGTTTTAAACCCACTTTCGATATTCACAATCCAGGGTTGTGTCGCTGTATTGCTGAGCCAAACGCATGGCTGAGACAAGCTCATGCATATCCTTGGACAGCACTTGATGGGCCATTTGCACTTCCCTGATGAAAATAAGCAATTTAATAAGTTAATTCATATTAATTATAAGTATGGCTTACTTAAGGGCCTGTGCTGGAAACAGCACCGATATTTTGTCCACCGATGTGAGCAGGTTTCTCAACTTGACGCCCACATTCTTAACCAGTTCCAAATAGCCTTCGGTATTGGCTTTTTCCACACCTTGTGACAGCACCATTATTGATTTGACCACCAATGTGGTGGCGCAATAGACTTCGTCATCTGCCCGATTCAGTGGGCGACCACCACCACCAAAGTTTCTGGCATTTTGACCTGCCTGCTGCTCATCGCTCACCGCTGTCAAGCCAGACAAGTGATCCGCCGAAGAGTTGTTTGACTTTAGCGAAAGAAGGTTAGCATTTGGCGTCATGGGCCTTGAGTTGGAGTTGGAGCAGGAGTCGGGCAAGCTAGAGGGTCCGGCGGACATAAAGTCCAGCTTGAACATTTGTGACTGGTGGTCGTTGAGGGATCCATGAGGTATAGAGCTAGATCGCCGCCTCTGAAAGATGTAAAAAAAAGGTATGAATGAATATCGTAAAATATATTGTTTCTTTATTATTATTTGTACGATATTGTTGCTACTTACTTCTTCCTGGATTAACCATTCACTGTCACTATTGCTATCCTTCCGTTGTTGTCGCAGTTTTTCGCCCAAAACATTGTGTTTGGCCTGAAAATTAAAATGAAAATAGTCTAAAATTATTGTAAACAAGATAAGCTTTTAAATTTCATAAACTAAAATATAACATAAAAATCCACTAATATACAAACAATACATACATATATATAAAAAATAATAAGATTCAATCAAATAAGGGAAATAATAGGGTAAGGCAAGCTTTTGGCTGCTGGTAACGAGTCCAATGAAGGGCCAAACCTGATTTCCCATAGCCTCCGCCTGCAAGGTAGCCATGCAAACAGCTCCATCGGATATGTTGGGTCCACACATTGGAACCACATTTTGAGCCCCCGAAAGCATCCATTGTCGCTCCCATTCCCGCTGATTTCGCAGGCTTTCATCATAGTTTTGCGGTGATATAACTCCAAAGGAGTCTTTTGGCATATTTGGCTGTATTCCCTGTATAAACTCTACGGGGGCTTGTGCGTGTGCAAGCTCTACTGGGTGAGGAAGCATCATATTCATCACCGGAGGACTGCAATTAACTTGTTGCTGTTGCTGCTGCTGCTGCTGTTTGGCAGACACACAGGTCTTTAGTCCAACACCACCGAAATCGTAAATTTCCTCGGGCAAAGCTTCACATTCGATAGAGGTTTTCATTTGCTGGCGGTAGGCGTGGAAGTATGTGTTTCGCTCCATGCTCCTTGAGCGCTCTGCTGTATTCGTAAAGTGCGGCGGCTGCGTTGGCTTAGTGTTGTAGAATACTAGATTTTGGGCGGACATCAGTGATTGATGGCGCTCCAGACTGCCACCTTTCGAGTGCATGGGCTTTGCCAGCACCGGTTGGTGCCTCTCCAGGCTGCCATAAAGGCTGTAACCCGTAGCTGTAACCTTTGACACCGCCGGATTAGCTAAATTATCGGCAGCGGCGGCGGCTTGCATTTGTTCCTCAGTGCTGTGGGACGGTGGACAAACGACGAAACTACTCTTTGAAGGCAAACTACCAGTAAACATGTGGGGACTCAGGGGATCGAGAGGGTTAGCTAAAGCGGTTAGAGGATTTGCATTGCTTTGGGTCTTTAGTAGCCTCTCAGACTCTGCAATGGGGTCAAGCTTCAGCATATCTGCTGCCGGTAGCTTGGTGGTCTTAAGCGAAACATTCGATTTGCTGTCATCTAATCCTACGGCTAGAGTATTAAATACCGAAGCTGGTGTGGTGTAGGCCGCCGGATTGATACCCCGCTTCTGGTTCTCCATCATCAGCTTGGCCAACACCGCGGGATTTTGTGCAATGATATAGGTCTGAGGTATCGACGTTGTTTCATCCACTTTTGGCATCAATCCTGTAATATCTGCAAGCAAAACCAGGTTTTTGTTTTAGACGGAAGTTAACTAAATAATTGTTTCTTATTTTACCAGAATCATGCATCGCTCTGGATGGCTTCAGTGGCGGAATGTCGACTTCATCACCGCCCACCCAGGACATGGTAGCCACTCGCCGGTGCTCTCGCTTTAGAGTCTCCGACGAACTGATGCTATCTTCAATAAGAATTTCACTAAGGCAAGAAAATTGAGTTAACCACTGGCAAGTTTTTAACAGTTTCTATGAACTCACTGTAGCGTCTCCTTAATCCTCTTGAAATTCGGTCTTTTGAGGGGTTCGTAGGCCCAGCATTGCGACATCAGTGAGTACAGCCTTGGCGGACAATTCGGAGGTAATGGCAGGCGTTCTCCGTTTTCCAGCTTTGAGATAACATCGCTGTTCTTTACACCTTGAAAAGGTTTCACGCCCAGCATGAGGATTTCCCAAATGCAGACACCTAAACCATAGAGAAAAGGGATGAGAAGAATTTCGGGAAATTATGCCTTATGTCTGCTAAACATACCAAACATCCACACATCGCTGGCTGTGGTGAATCTTCTAAAGTTTATAGACTCCGGGGACATCCATTTAATGGGCAAAGCAACTGGAAAGGTAAGCAAAAGTCATTCTAGTTCCTTGCTAAACTATTGAATTCTCTCACCTGTGGGCGTTGAATGATAATACGACTGATCGGAAACCCAGCGGGATAAACCGAAATCTGCCAACTGTAATGTGAGAAAAAGCCAGGTAATTAAACATTAAACAAATATTTAATGTAGGCACACAAACCTTGACACAAGTTGGCGAGCTGACAAGTACATTACGCGCAGCTATGTCTCGGTGTACGAATTTCTTCGACTCCAAGTAGCTAAGGGCCGTCGATAGTTGGTAACAATACTTAAGCAGAGTTCCATGACTTAATCTGAATATAAAGAGGAATGTTTATAGACATGGAAACTTTACAGGAATGAAGAAATTCCCCCCCACCTTTCGCTATTTGTCTTTAAATAAGCTCGCAGTTCACCAAGCTTAGCCAGCTCCATGACTATCCAAATGGGCATTACGCTGCAAATGCCTATTAAGCGTATAATGTGCGGGTGATCGAACTTCTGCATTATATCTGTAAGATTTCACGAAATTTGTTATATATTTTCCTCACAAAAAAACCTAGTGGTCTACTCACAAGCTTCGGCTAGAAAATTTTCAGTTTTCTCGGGATCATCATTGGCTTTGCATGTCTTAATTGCCACTTGAATGACATCTGGTCTTTGGTCGCTATTACTATCCTTTCCATTGCCCAGCAGGTTCTTGACTTTAGTCGCCGACTTTGGTAGAGTATATGTGCCTACATAAACATCTCCAAACTGGCCCACGCCTATTTTGGCACTCGGTATTATGTGGGCTCTATCCAATTCGTAATTTCGAACAGTGGGCGTTGAATAATCGCCCTCGCCCTCCAACAAACCAATCTCTGCGTAATCATCCGTCAGCATTGGTTTTCCCTGACCCGAAGAAGTCATCAATTTATTCGATTCCAGCTGTGTGGCGTCATTGGGCGATGCCTTCCCGCTATCGTCGCTGGAAGAATTAATCTCACGCTGCCACACCGTAAACTCTAGGTCTTTTGACAACAATCTGCAGTAGCCGTCAATGAGGTCGGCGATACTCTCAGCAGTCTGAAAGCAAAATATATATACTATAAAACAAATAATATATAGGAGACACTCACATTAATTCCATTGCACGTAATAACCAAATCTTCAA